TGGAATATGCAAAACGAAACACACTTACAGTAACACGTGCTATGGCGCATCTAAGTTATGATGACACCGCTGTACGTACGCCTGCTCAAAATCATCGTGACAAACAAAAATCGAGACTGCACTCACAAGATAAGGCAGGAAACCCAAGAAACCACAGGCCTACCAAAGATTAGTGTGCTGCTCCTCTGGGGGCTCGCAGCAAAAAGTGCCCCGATCCTGCGATGCAACTGAGTAGGTTCTTGCAAAAATAATAATCATCATCATAATCATAATCATCAGGTTTTTCATGGGAAACCGGGAACCCTAACAAACTTGAGTTTGCAGTTACGCGTTTGAAGTTTCCCGTTGCAAGCTTCCTTTTAGCGGGGCGTTTATTGTTTAGTGCCGCCATGTTGCTTCGAAGTGCTTCACTTTTATCGCCCATAATTTATTGATTCGAGTTCAAAAATCTAATTACCACACAGCAGGTGGATATAGAAATCTGCTTCGTGCCTTTAAACATGAGGCCGGTACAATGTTTAATGGCAAAATACTTTGTCGTGCGTCACTCACCGCTGGAAGCCCATCCTGTCGTTCAAACGTGAACTGCAAATTAACGCGACCGCAAGACTGTGGTCACGTGACACTGCCAGGTTTGCGGTTTGCGTAATGAAAAACCTAATACTAAAGGTCTCTAATCATCATAATACGTGTAATAGCCAGCCCTTTTTAGTTTTTAATTTCATGTCTTATTTTCCAATTTCACGACGCATAGGCGAACTGTTTGTTTTAAATCTTGCCCACGAGCACACATAATTTACGAAAAGGCAAAAGCTAAACTACCCTAAGAGCATCACAAGGTCTGAATTGGAAAACAAAACTATAAGCCAATAAGGTTTTTTCAACATCTACAGTCTTCAGGACAATGGTTAGCGGATACCATCGGCTTTGGAAATCTATAGAGGGCTAATCATTACGCACTCCATGGAGAAAACGTGTTTCAGAAATGCATGTAGTCAATGTTGACGAAGAAAACTGCAAACAATCACATTATTGCCGCGGTCAGGTAAGTGGACGCTCTAGTCACACTGCACTAACTACAGCAATCCTAATTTACTAGGGGTAGACAATTAAATCATTCCAAGGTGTTCATAGAGTTATCCTAAAGTCAGTGCCTTTATATACCTAAATTTTTCAAGGTGACTTTCTTATTATTTTCCACGGACTGCCAATGCAGAGGGCCGGGTGACTTCGAAAACTTCCACAAATTATAGAGACTAACAATACTGGAGAAAGTAACTTCTGTGTTTTATTTAACTGATACACAGATCGCAGATAAAAACTATGTATAAAAAACAGACAAACAAACCGGTTTCAGTCTTGAATCGCAAGGTCGGCAAACTCATATTAATTGAAGCGCCGTGACACAGATTTTATATTAAATGTAAACACTAAATGTTTCTTTAATTTAAAAACTTTAAAAGTATCTCAGTTTTCTTAATATTTTTACTAGTTAAAATTCATTTAGAAAACAACGCACTGAATTTAGCTACTGTAACAGTTGTTTGAATTGTATGATATATAAAATACAAAGACTGATGTCTATGCTCGAGCCTTTTCAACTAAATCTAATTTGAACGCGGAAAACCAAGTAGTGAGTCAGTTTCAACTACATCCTTTGCTAAGCTTACAATGCCTACTGCTATTCACTATTTAAGGTCAGTTGAAGAACCTGTACAATTGCTTTGGAAACGTTTTCGAGACAATTAGTTTCTGTACGTTTTTGTGTAGTCATAAACAAGTAGTTATTTTTGTGTGTTGGTATAAACAAAAGGTAAAGACTCTGCATTCGAGTTCCGTTTGAAAAACCTTTGGTTGCGATGGAAGGGCAATAAAAGTTTATATAGGCTATTTGATTACGAATCTTATTACGTTTCAAATAATGTTCCAATCGCATAAGCAGCAGCTAGGTTGCAAAGACGAAATGGAACGCGATAAAGAAAAGAGTTTTGGCTAACCATTTAGAGTAAATAATTAATTACAACGATTATATATCGAAGCTGAGGTGAATAGCAAATGTTTAAGCCTTCAAGCTAGCCAATCAAAGTATTCACTTTCTTGGTAATTACTAATGCCAAGAGAGAACTCTTGCCAATGCCAATTATTAACCAATATTGTTACGGCTAACTCTAATCCACCATCTGCTTTTGATGTTTATTCAGTATTAGATTTCTAATTCATTTTTCCATTTAGAAAGCACGAGGACGTGATCTAGAATTGAAATCTCTCGGCGTGAGAGAGTCAGTCTGTCTGCGTACTTGAAGATGATCATTAAAATTCACTCAGTCAACAAGCTTATGCAGCTGTTTAACGGCCTTCGACCCTTGGGTTGCTATTTCCCTGCCATTTTTTGCACCTCACGCATTTACCGTCAGGTATACTTTAGGGTGTTTCAGACTAAGTTTACAAATATACCAGTTAGCTTTTCATGCCGACACGAAACTGCTATCCCGTATTAATAGTGTGAGCTGCAACGGCCCGGGCCGGAAAAAGTCGTTCATACACATCGAACATCGTGCCGGCGCGGTTAGCCGAGAGTGTTTGGTGCAAGAAAAAATTGCAGTCCTCACTCTACTTCCTTCTAAGTGGGTTCGAGCCCTCGCTCCTTCTTATTTACTACAGCGACAGCCTGAACGGGTGTTCACATTGCACCAAAGTATGGCACAAAAACCTATCCGTTATTCGACGTTCCATTTTCGAGATCGGCGATGCGCACCTTCACTCCGGCACAGAAAATCTCGTCGAAATCACCAAATCCGGCACGATTTTCGTGGCGACCCAAACACTATCCGGTACTGTACGAACATACCGCGACGGCTACAAGAAAAGGCAAAAGAAAAGAAAAGGCTTCTTTGTCTTCCTATTCGGTGAATAGAATCCACCTGCGGCCCTTATAAGCCTTTGGAATCAAGCCTTATACACCGTAAATCTGAAAGATCTGTTTTAGCCCTAAAAATTGGGCCGTTTCGGTGAGTTAAATACAGTCCTATTTTTGAGTCTAATTTGGTTCCCCTAACCAGGGCCAATACATCAGTTCAATCAACTACAGCTGATCAGGACCCAAGGGCTGAAATGGGCCCCGTGTGAACTGGAATAGGGGCTGTTTTGGCTTAAATTTTGCGCAAATGGCTTCAGGAGGGGCTGAATCAGACTTTGGCCTGCGGGGCTGAATTGGCCCTTCTCGATTGAAGCAGATCTTCTTAATTTTCAGTGTATCGAGGCTGTAGGTACTCAGCATTAGCCCCCTAGCTCACAATGGTTTGCAAGGTCCCCTTATGTACCAAACGCTCAAAGCCACTACGTTACAGTTACTGGACAACCTCAGCAATGCCCTGTGATAAAGTTTTTTCCCGGAATCTTCTCGTGAACATCACTAAATATTATATTTATTACGTTGTATTTCATGAAAGGTTTATAACAATTGCCTTTATTTCATTTTTGTCTTATTTTTAGGGTTAGAAACGCTCGTCGGCTAGTTCAGAATTTCTATCAGCAAATATCAACGATCCTAACCGAGGTTTGATCAATAAAAGCCAAATCCTAAGAAAGTATGGTTTCATAAGAAAACATTGTTTACCCAAATGATGTAGGTACTAACAGACAGTATATAAAAAGTCTGATTTGAGAAAAATTATCATATTATTCGGAGATCATTTCAGACATCGTTAGAAAGAGAAACGGGTATTAAAATGTCAAGTTTTAAACATCTGTTAGCCTGGGACTATGCTTCTCATTGGCGGAAAGCGATAGTCTGGGTTGAGGAGGAAAGGGTGGCGCCCTTTTCCGCTTGTTTCTTGCTATTTGGCATCGTTTTATTTGCCTTTTCCCCACTGCGGAGTCTGGTCCCAGTCTAAACATCTGTAGAATTTCTGATTTGCCACACTATGATGACACTATACCACGTTTTTATAATTGTTATGCCGACATTTTTATCATCCAATCAACAAGGTATTATTCCATCCATTATGAAAGAAAAAATATTGTAATGAAGTATTTTCTAGGTTGGTTTAAGACTTAAGATAAGATTAAAGATTTGGTTAAAGATTTGTGTTGTGCGATATTTAGTTGCATTGAGAGGTTTAGCTGGGAGTTGTTCAGTAGTACAGCCGTTGAAGAAGGACTTACTTTTGAGCTGTTGATAAGAATAAAGAACACGAAGATGTCACCCTAGAATTGGGTTCCTCAGCGCTGCCCGGAGCGAGCGACTTACTCGACAATAGACAATATAAGACAATATATTATATTGTATTTGGGGTCCTATACCAGCTGGTAAATCGACGGTTTTTCCACAATATGTTGCATTTTTTTTTCTTTCTTTTACACGAACTTTCCATGTTTATTAAGCATATTGGACCTACGTTACTGTTAATTTTCAACATTGTTTAGGAAACAAATGTTCAGAAACACTCAAAAGTTCTTCACGCGCACACCTTGACCACTTTAAAAGTATATAAATAAGACATAGTTGCCGAGCAAACTTATACTGCGCTTTATTCAAGTGTATTATTATACTGCGAACTTGTAATTAAATATAGTTGACGGGTAGCTCACTTGGAGCAGTAACTGATTGCTAAAGTTACAGATGTTGCTCAGTAAGTCATTATTAATATCAAGTTACCTGCTACTAAAATAGCAGGTAGTTCTACTTAGGAAATTTGTGATCATATATTTTACCGAAAATCAAAGTTTAATTAAAAGACCAACACTTTATCAGTTTTTATTTATTTCTTTGGGAGGTCCTTACAATTTCGATATAATAAATAATTAATGGTCATATTTCGTACCAAGGATTAGGGGATAAACACGAACTGAAAATTATAATTTATTAATCCCTCAACCTCAAGGTGATTTCTTTTGTCTCCCTCGCCCCAGACTTAAGATCCATGTTTGGATTTTTTTTTTACTATAATAAAAGAAGATTTGTCAATTTGTTGCTTTTAAGCGACCGTAAAACAAGAAACATGACTTGCGTTAACATGGGACGAACAAGTCTTGCTCGAGCAATGAGATTAGTTCTTGGAATCTTAATCGGATTGGAGTACTGCATTTGTCACAGGTAAGTTCTAAACAACTCCTTTGTGTTGCTGCTTTGTTTGAGTGTAAAGGGATTTTGTCGCTCATCCGTTTACACTGTTTACATCGTCGAAAACGGTAGCGTTGCTCCATTCATTTAAAAATGTGCTTGATGAAGGAGAACAGTGAGCGTTGTGGAGAAGCTACCTTTATAGGCGATTAGGGGTGTAAATTTACACCAATTTTGAGAAAGAGGGTAAATAGATTAAAATATGTCAATAAAATAGAACGTTCTCGGAACAAATTAAAAATGTTATCAAAACAATGAATAAGGTTTTGCGAGTACATAAGATGCACATCGCGCAAATGGCCTTTCTGGAGAGGTTTTTTGGCAGTTGTATTGGGACATCTGTTGGGATGCAAGGTAGAGACCGCTGCTTGCGATTGCGGAGAGGTGGTCGTCTTGAGTCTTGAGACATCGGTGACTGCATGGGCTCCGCAAGCACGTGAAAAAGCTGATGAAGAGCTAGTAATAACTGTTAGTTTATATTGTTAGCCTCTTCTTTTCTCCAAGAGATTTCTCTCCGGTTTTCGGGTACTCCGTTTTTACCCTCTCCTCAAAAACCGAAATTTTCAAATTCCAATTCCATCTGAAACGCACGAACATTTCTAAAACGAGTTCTTAAGGCCGCGGGGACACCTATCTATGAATAAATTCATAAGGCAAAATTTTGCTTGTGCTACATGTTTTAAAACGATCGTTAATCTCGGCTGTTTTGGAGGCAATTTAGATAAAATTTTACAGAGACATTGCAGAATGATGAAAGTTTAGGAGGGTTGTTTTTTATCTGGCAGATCGCACTTTACGGCAATGCTTTGAGCCACGGTTGTACCAAATTGAGAAATCATAATTTAAAGAATAAAGAATAGAAGACAACACTCTATAATTTTATAAATAAATTATTGCTCTATACATGACACTCTCCAGTCTACCAAGTTTACCCCTCTGTAGTGCCAGCTCGTGAAGTATTGTATCTTCGCTGAATTCTTGGACACAAAATTGTCGGAAAAGTCAGATTTTGAGACTCCCGATGTCCTGACTAAGGGCCTGTTTACATGGAGTGGGGGACCCCGGTCTAGTGGGGTTTGTTTCTTTTGGTTTCACGCTCTGGGGGACACAAAACAAAAGAAGCTTACCCCACTAGACCGGGGTCCCCCACTCCATGTAAACAGGGTCTAAAGCACGAGTTTCAAGAAAGATATGTGATTATGGTAATTATGCTTAACTGCGTACATTCCATGCTTTATATTGTTTATTTAAGCTACAATGTTTTCAAGTTCATTCTCTCTTTTCAAGGACTTTTCAGGCAGAAAAATGAAAAAAAAACTACGAAGAGTTGGGTACTAGATTTTGTTGAAATTTCTAAAGACTTCCTTATTTTTACTGATTTAAAAATCAGTGAAACAAGGTTTATCCTCTCTTGGTAACAATAATTGATATTAAAAGTGCGGGTAATACAGCCAGAACCTCCTTAATACCGACACCAAAGGCCGAACAAAACCAAGTGTCCACCACAATACGGATAGCCTGCCAGGCGTTCAGATTGTGGAGACTGGTTGTCAGTAAAACGGGAGGTCGGGCTCGGGGTCGGGGTCGGGGCCTGGGTCGGGATCTATCTTTCTGTTAAAATACAACAGGAGCCTATCAAATGGAGCCTCCATCTCCCATACAAGCCCTTGGAGTCAACCCTTTCCCGAGTAGATTTATTATTAGAACGGTTCCCAGGGGAGACTTCGCGCGCCGACGGTGGGAAGAGCCAATCACAACGACTAAATGACACTGCTATTGTACTTCATGAAACATCAGGAAATCCGGTGCTGACAGGCCAAACAAAATCATAAGCTAGTGAAACGTGACTTTAGCGTTTTCATCCCTCAGAGATTTTCTTTCTTTTCTTTCTAGCGGGTAGATTATACTGTGGAGAGTTTTAAACTCTGACTATGTTAATCTTAATTTTGGTTGCTTGTCTCACATTGAGCTTGTCTGTTACATGCGCAAGGATTAACTTCTACCTGCAGTCTGTAGTTCTGACAGGATTCGTTTTCTTTAGCCATTTTTTTTGAGCGTTAAGGTTCTTATTTCGGCTAAATGACTCAGTATTAATCAAATTTCTAGTTTTTCAATTTTTTAGCCGAAATGCGGTTGTCTGAATAAATACTGTGGTTGTTTTGTCTGTCAGTTAGTGTGATGATTCCCTGCTATGTTTTGTAACGCCGAGCCCAGCCATTGTTTTCTCGCAAAAAAGTGATCTACAGATGCGAATTCGAAGGAAAGAACTGGCCTAAACTTCTACATTAATTGCTGAGAATTCTCTTGTTGGTCAGTCATAATTATTTGGGCGCAGATACAATCCATTTTGTTTTTCTTGAGATAAGAGGGTCTTTGGACTGGAGCACGATGTCACAAATTCCACCGTTAGCAAATTACTTTTGAGTTAGCTTCACAGTCGAGCAACTGTTGTCTTCTGTTCAACTTTTCTGCCAGTTTTATCAGGTCTTCATGGGATACAAGTCAGTTGTAAAGGAAGACTGCAATTTTTCTGAAGCATTCCTCCTTAGTGGCTACTTAGGTCATTTTTTGCACACGGTGCTTAACCGAAATCCACTCCACGGCGATGACAAAAATAAAGATCCTCACTTTTTCGGCGAAAACTTTCAAGTCGTCTACAGAACGCTTAATCGTCGACTCTTTTCAAGGTGCATGCTTAAATGTGGGATGTTGACGGCAAAAAAAAACAACAAAAACAAACACTCGCAAAGAACCTTTCCGTGATCCTCAGTTCGCTGCCTTTGTCCCATCGCTTCATGCTCAGTCTCAGTCGGGTATTTCATTAACTTTTATTTCATCCCAGATCCCAGCGGCTGTAAAACTGTAAAAATGGACGTATAGTAAAAAAGGAAAACGGTCGAAGGACGGGCTTCTGAGTTCGACTTCATCCAACTTTATTTTTTTCACGGTGACATACGAGACTCACGGAAATATGACACTTTTCGCGGGAAACAAGCCGTTCTATTTATAAATCTACTCGGGAAAGGGTTGACTCAAGAAATTAATGGAGATGGAGGCTCCATTTGATAGGCTCCTGAATACAAACATTAACCACAAAGGACTGCAAAGGACAGCAAACGAATTTGCCGAAGAACGTAGGATCTATAAAGAATTCTGTTTTAGGGTTAGGGTTAGGGTTGACACTAACCCTAACCCCAACCCTAAAACAGCATTCTTTTAAAAAATATACACCCCGACCCTGACCCCGACCCTGCGTTTTACTGGCAACCGTGGGGACTGACTTTGCGCCACACAGCCACTATCGAACTGACCGCAGGGAACAGGCTACACTGTGTATTAAAGTGCTAGGAGTCTTACGCGTTTCATTTAACGCTTTGTTTGTTCGGCTCCTTTTTAATTCTATTAGTGTTCGCCTTTAGTGCAGTTTGGAGTTCATTAATCGTTTATGGTTTATGCTCTTTGCGTTATACAGGTATCAATGTTAAGACCGCGAGACGGGTACGGGCTTAACCCCAAACTGCGATTTTTTTAAGCCCAGAGAGGGATGTTTTATCACATTTGAACTATTTTCCCATCCCCGGGGAAGCGAATTTGACCAAAAAGTTATAGAAAAATTCAAGTGCCGCACCTATGCCAGTACCGCCCCTGCCCCGCCCTCGCCCCCTCCGTCCAAACATTGATAACTGCAGGTGTTTTTTGCATATCGTGTTTAAAGCTCTGTTTGCAATTTTGGCGTCAGTTCTTCATTGTCTTTCGTTTTGTCCAGTTTACAGTTTCGTCTTTATTTCGCTATCATCTTTCCCGCATCGCCTTGATTCTATTCACCCGGATTGTTAAAAATTCTAGGGTAAAGGGTGCTTACCATTCCCACAAACCACCCGGGTGGAAATGTTATGCAAAAAAACAAAACTATAAAATTTGACGTGGTGGGATAACGACCTGCCACAATGCATATCGAGGGGTCAATTTAATAAACTTTTACAAGTGTAGTTTCCAAGTGTAGTCATTGTTTTAGACTCTGAAAACAATAGCTACACTTGAAAATTACACCGGTAAAAGTTGTATTAAATTGACCCCAGGTTAGGTAAACGGACTACGACAGGATTAACCGTATTACAGAGTTTAAAGATTGTACTCGAGAAGTTTGGATCTTGGGACTGTCCGTTATAGAAAGATGTCCTTAACTCGTTAAGGATCAAGGAGCCAGTTGACTGTAGGTAACATATTGGGTGTGTTTTCCATGAATTATGAATTCAACTCCATGGAAAATTACCTACATTTGAGTCGGAATAATCATGGCAAAGATGAAAAAACGGAAATAAATTTCAATGGTGACGTTTTAGCTGCCGTCACCGTCATTGTTTGTATATTAGTAGCAACTAAGACTCCAAAAAAGCGATCACCATGGCGATGGGTTTGTTGAGCAAAACAACAACTTTGCCCGTGCATCGCATTGTTTTTGGACATTTCTTTTTCGTCCCCATAGGACTACGTCGTGAAAATGCCTGAATTCACGCTTTCATGAGGGATGTAAACAACCGACGGAGAATTTTTCCTTCTCTTTCTGTAGGGCCTGTTTACATGGAGTGGGGGACCCTGGTCTAGTGGGGTAGGTTTCTTTTGTTTTGTGTCCGCCAGAGCGTGAAAACAAAAGAAACCTACCCCACTAGACCGGGGTCCCCCATTCCATGTAAACAGGGTCTAAATTTAAGTGCGGTCCTCAAGAAATCAACTCTAGAGAAATTCGCCTACATTAATTTTTCAGCTAACTGGAATAAACGCGACAATGTTTGAAAAAACGCAAATTCATTTTAAAAGGAACATTTTCGTTGCCGTCGCCGTCGTCGATGATAAAGCTCCCATGTAGATCAAGCAACAAATTATGTTGTACTTTCAGGTGACTTTCTCAAACTCATTAACAATTCATAAAGAAAATACAAAGGAAATTGATGTTTAATGAGTGTTTGGAAATCAGATGAAAAAATGCTCATTTTTGTCTCCTTAATTTCTACTTTACTATGTTTGAGAAGTAATATCAAGCATTCGACAAAAATTATCTGCGCGTCGCATTTTCAACTCTCTTCTCAGTGTTTCATGCTTGACACATTACTTCAATCAATTATCATTATGAATACTTATATGCAAATAAATTAATCTTTAGGCCTGTTTACATGGAAGTGGGGGACCCCAGGTAAGTGAGGTGACCCGCTTAGGTGGGGTAACCCACCTGTCCATATAATCTCTGATTTGAATGTGATCACGTTTACATGTTAGGTGAGGTAACCCGCCACATGTTACCTCACCTACCTGGGGTCCCCGGCCTTCTTGTAAACAGGCCTTTAACATTTTTGTTGTTATTCTACATTTCAGCAGAACAGATTTTTTACCGGATCAGAGGTTAAGCGAGGGACTGCAAGATCTCCTTCGTGGATATGATCCTCGAATTAGGCCAAACTACTCAGGTATAACGTAATACATATACACTTGACTACGAGATCCACGTTGGTTTTGTTCATTTCTTACATTTATTTTCTTTTTTTTTCCTTGTGAGAAGTTTATAAAGCTAAATAAACGAATAAATATATTAAGAACAACTTAGTGAATGCCACATCAACAACAAAAAACGCGATGTTTTGCCTCACATATAATTAAAAGTAAATGAAAAAAAAGTGTTTTATCCATCCGGAGGTAATTTTTATCAAGATTCGATGTTTGGCTATTTAACTCTCTAGTTCGGAAAGACTAAGAGCGTAGTAATATACTATTTTTTCCCTCTTTTCTTTTCTTTGTAAAGGAAATCCAGTTGAAATTCTAGTTGGTATTTCGGTCGCATCGTTTTCCAACATCAACGAAGTGGATATGGTAATACATTCTCGCTTTCTTTTCTTGTGGTTATCGTCATTGTTCTGTTAATATTAACTAAACTAAATTAGACGGTCAATCGCCTTCTACTTTCTCCTGATTTCACGCATTTTTATTTTCCGTGGCGGACCTCGTGTTAAATACCCCTCCCCCCCTCTCGCTCACTTTTGTCCAGATCCTTTTAGTTTGCATTGTACCAATAGAGCCATAGCACTAGTAAAATTGCCAAGATTCTCAGAGTGATTTATGGAGGCTGAAGATATTGCTCTGCTAAGTCGCAAAATTTTCCAGCAGACGTTTGAGAGGTGAGGGCAAAAATTTGCCCCCCATCATAAAAACGCGCCCGTGTATAATGATTTCGCGAATGATCCTTTGGACGCATTACTTTTAAAATTGGCAAATTTTCTAATTTCTTGCCGTTCTTTCCAGCAGTCTCGACAGATTTCCACTAACTGGTCCTTGTCAAAACTTTAAAAAAAAACTGAGGAAGGGCCAATTCTCTTCGCCCTGTCTCCCACTATATAAATTGTTTTATTCTTGCTGGTTGAGAATTGTATAATTTATCCCAGTTACCCTGACTGATTGAAGTTACAATTTCCCCTATTACCTGTATAAGTTTCATTTTTAATCGAAATGAATTTCAAATTCGACCATCCAAACTGATCAAAATTAACAAAGTTCGATTGCTTTGGATTGCGGAAATTCATTTACTGTGAGAGTCGAATGAGTGGTGTTTGATAACGTTTGAGCGATCAAACGTTCGATTTAGCTCGAGTAATAATTACTCTAGGTCATAGATGAATATAGTCTGCGTCTTAATCTCACCCTGTTTAACGGACTTAACTAGCGTTCAGTTCCGTGTGTTACGCAGGTTATTAAGTTGACTGATGCTACAAGCTGGGTGATATTATAACTCAACCCTGTTATTTTTAAATCATTTTTTAGGAATTCGGATTGGACATTTTTTTTCGGCAGCACTGGAAAGACCACAGGCTTTCTCACAACTTGACTTCCAAGATAACTCTTACTATGGGAACTAAACACCCCGCGGATTATATCTGGGTGCCGGACACCGTGTTTGTAGACGCCACCAAGTCATACATGCATAATGTACTGACAACCAATCACAAGATCGATATCTCAGCAGACGGACAGGTGGTTTGGGGAACAAGGTTGGTGTGTCTGATGGGCTCGCTTTATCCACAGGTCGCCCAAGCTCACTATGAGAGCCCTTGAGAAACACTACCCTGCTTAGCTAATTAATAATTCATACCGTAACAATTTGAGTTTGTACGAGAAATATTCTTCGTCTATTAAATTTGCTATTAGACTTACTTTTAGCATTTTCCTATGATATTTGTGTGCCTCAGGCCTCTTAAGCACGTTTTTAAAAATGTCTTCTCTTCGCTCATCTGGGTGAAAAACAGATGCTCAAAAAAGACATTTAAACTGTCAGTGTCTAAGAGGCCAAATTCAAAGCAACTTAGCTTTTCCAATAAGGTTTTTACATTTTGATTGTACTCGTCATGCTGTGTCAAATTAATTATTTCAGTTACATATCTAGTTGAAATTTGAATTTTACTGTCAATCTTTGAACGTTATTTTTCCCACAAAAACTGTTAAAATCGCCGACAAAAAAAATAGTCATGCAGGTTGTTCTGCCCACTCTAGTCGGATAAAAAAGGAAAAAAACAAGAAAAACCTACTTTCTAAAAAGCTCTTTCATGCGTTCTGCTGGCCCAAGCTTGTCGTTTTTTCTACGTGCTTTTTTGTTCACACTGTATAGCTTTTGCACCGCCAAGAAATCATACCGGATAGGGTTTGTTCACACACAAGAACGGTTGTGGCGGCGCGATTTCTGTGACAGAGCGAAGCTGCGCCGCACCGATCTCGAAAGCGGAGGGTCACATAACGAATAGGTTTTGTTCCATACTTTGGTGCAGTGTGCTCACTTATTCGGTCCGTCGCCCCGGGGCCTTTCCTGTTCATACTATATATCAGATAGCTTTTTCAGGCGCCAAGAAAGGCTTTCCATAGTGTGAACATCATTTTGAGGGAAGGTCGATATTAGGGGTTGACTGTGGAGGCCGACAATGAGAAGAGCGGCCGCTGACCAAGAGGTTAAGCCATAATTACGCCTACTAAATCAGTATCTAATTTAAATCACAGAGCAACTCTTCGAGCGAGATGTCACATGAATTTACGTACTTTCCCCATGGATGAGCAAAATTGTACAATCAACATTATTAGCTGTAAGTAATTCTGAAACAAAGAGAAATTAAGCTTTTAAGTAATTTTTACATATATATATAACACCAAGGGGTTGCTTTGTTTCTCGCATTGAGGTGTGGCCGAGGTCTTTGAAAGTAGCTTTGACCCAAGGCCTACCACCCCTTCCCCCCGCCTTGGGAGCTTAAGCTTATCCAACCTCGTTCAAAAAAAGTCGTCAAATTTTGTCAAATTTTTCTACTGATGAATTGTAAAGCACTACATCAAAGTTCAGAAAAAGAAAAAGAAAGTCGTTGTCTTGTTTTCACGCCCTCAACAAAACCGTAGTCATGCAGTGACGGCAAAGAAATGCATAAAAAAAGTGCAATGCACGTGCAAAGTTTTGCCTATTGCTTTTTTAAAGTTTTTAAGTTTTTTTCCCCACTTTTGGTGTGGAGGCAGTATAGATATGAACAATGGCCGTTTTCACATTACAGACGGATAATCCACGTTCAAAATCTGTCAAAATTGACGGAAAAACAGATGGATAAAGTCAGGCGGATTGTCCATCTAAAATTAAGACCGTTCCATTTTCAAATTAAGACGTATTATCTGTCTGACAACCCGTCTCAGACGGATAATCCCTCTCTAGTGTGAATACCTTTAATAGGTGCGGTTACACTAGATCTTTTCCTCAAAGCTCCCTTTTGGATTGGGCTGGCTGTGGGTTTTGATCACTTTCATGTCTGCGGTTACACATCGATAACTTGCCCAAGACGGAAGAAAACACTTCGCTGTAAACGTCTTTGTAAACACTGAAGGTTGACATAAATCATTTTTACCCTTTAATAAAACCTCCACATCAATGAAGCGTAGCAAGAGCAGCCCTTAATCATAACTATAACAAAACTCTCAAATCTGATTGGTTATCAACTGGCCTGATTTCAGTTTAATAGGACAATTTAGTACTGTACGTGTCATGTCGCTCGCGCTTAAATGGCTTTTTTTACTGCTTGCAAAAAAAAATCTTGGAATTTCTTGTGTTTTGATTTAAAATAAAAGAACCTTATACATCGCAAATTTTGTTAAAGTTATGATTAATTGGTAACAGAACTTAGTGTCGTCCAATTCGGTCTGTAATCATACTCGTGATTAAACAAATCTGACTCCTGCCTTAATGGAACCAAGAAGAGTTCAACTGTATCATGTTAGGCCTTGGCCAAACGTCGAACTTTTCGTGAGACAAACTAAACTTAGTGGTGTTTAAGTTCATGAAAAGTTCGACGTCTGGCTCAGTTAAGTTCGTCTGAATAAGTTTGGATCGTCCAACTCGTTCTATCCGTCTGCTTCAGACGGATAGAACGTCTGAAGATCGTCTCTGGGACAAACGTCGATCTTCACATGCGACGAACTAAACTAATATATACACAAATTGTATGATGGCGTATATTTAGCCCCGCGCGTTCGGGAGAAAATCGACGCTTCCTAGAGTTCGACTTCCAACCCAACGGACGAACTTAACTTAATTTAGGATGAAACGTTCGAAGTTTGGCCCAGGCCTTATTATAGCGGAACTGGCGCTTATTTGCAATGAAGTTGAGGGAAATTATTGAAAACGTATAACCAATGTAATGCCGCTTTGCCGCATGCGCAGTGCCAGCCTTGCATTCAGTTTTGTTTCATTTTACACATAAGTGACGTCTGGCTACAGCATCTCTTTAATTAGAGACCCTTCAAGGGGAACCAGTCAGCGACGGGGCTAAAGTGCAGGTCACAGGTCACAGGTCAGGTCACAGGTTACAGGCCACAGGGCACAGGTCAGGCCACAGGTCACAGGCCACAGGTCAGGTCACAGGTCACACATTAAAACAATAGGACACTGGACAAAACTGTTCTGGACTGAAGTTTTACTATACAAAAATAGAATAAGCCAAGGAACCTTGATGATATTTTTGTCCTTTAAACAATATTAAATTCCACACATGGAATAATATTTTCATGCTGATCATACGGCATATCCAAACTTGGTAACGAAATCACAAAGGTGTGCAAAATCATGTGATTTCTACGAAAAACAAATCACTTGTTTTGCACTGAAAGCGAAGTGTTGTCGTGTTATTAGAATGTCATATCCAAAGAAACATACATCAGCAGTTTACAGAGTCAAAGATTCAAGTTGTAATGGCGGAATGCTCCCACCTGAGGGCCACGAGGCAAACTCAACATAGTTATTTCAAGCTGTTGTGCAACAGAGCGTGAGAAAATGGCAAGCTCTTGGGAGAAGAGCCTAAAAATAAGGTCCAGCAACTATTCGAGAGGCCCAAATAGCAGTGTCTGAAGTTCTTGGCCGACTACACTTTAACACAGAGTCATTTTGTGGCTGGTACGAAGCGCGAGCAACAGGCCGCCATCTTCAAATCAGATGGAAGACCCATCTAGTGGCAAGAAGAGTTTAGGACAAGGAAAGTCTGATGAAAGTTTCCGTATTTCAGTGGTCAAATAAGTTTTAGATTGTCCTTAAGTTTTTTTTCCTTTTTTCCGTCGAAAGCTTTTCAAAACATCCACAAACATGTCATAATATTCTTAACGCAACAACCCTCTGTTTTGAGATTCGTTTTTTCTTACAAATCACGTGATTTTGCGTACCTCTGTGATTTCTGTGAAAGGTTTGAGCCCAGGAGGCTTGTTGTTGACAGTGACTGACGTTTCGACAACCTGTGCGGTAGTCATCTTCAGAGTCGCACAGGTTGTCGAAACGTCTTTCACTGTCAACAACAACATTCCTATTCAGGACTACGTTCACCCGGACGATCAAACTAAACCTACTTTTCTTTGTGATTTCTTTACCAACTTTGGTTACGCTGTGATCAACATTTGTCATGTGTGGAATTTGGTAAAGTTCAGAACAGAAAAAAATATAAGTGAGGTTCCTTGGCTTGTTTTATTTTTGTATAATAAAATGTCAATCAAGAACAGTTTTGTCCAGTGTCCTATTGTTTGTGACCTGTGACCTGGCCTGTAATCTGACCTGTGACTTGACCTGTGGCCTCTTATCTGACCTGGGGACCGTGACCTGTAACCTTACCTGTGACCTGACCTGCGACCTATGACCTGCATTTTAGCCCCGTCGTCGTTGGTTTATTTGTCAGTAAAATTAAAAAGTCACGATGTTCTTCGTAGATGCGTACCCAACTCAACACCTGGTTTTCAACTGGAAGTCACCTTCACTCGTAGTACTAGACAAAGAAATGGCGCAGTTTTACATGAACGAAGTGACCACTGCTGTCGGAAGAACACAGTATGTCGCAGGTAAGTAGATCAGTGTAAGGCTGTACCTAAAAATTTGAATCAATAAAAGTTTCCGTAAGATTGGTATTCGGTACCATTTTTTTTTTACGATTTTAATTCCGAAGTATTCTTAGTATTACTCTGTAAGCTAATAAAATAACGTTATACTTTCAGTAGTACTCTTATGTTAAAAGGTTTCTTCACCAGCAGTTCGAAATACTTATCATCTGATCGTTACTAACGACAGCACGCTCTTTTTCTCCTTTCCCACCTTCAGTGTTCTGTTGCGTTTTAACGGTACTTTTTAAGCTCATATACGGCAAAAAAGAAGTCGAAACAAGGAATTGAGGTCAAACCTGGGAATCGAAGTGTTAGGCATCTGTCAGCACACTAGCCAACTATGCCAATCCCAGCTAGGCCTGTCGACCCGATTGTGCTCATAAAATGCTGGAAAGTTAATTGCTGAAATGTCAAAAACTTGCTAAAAAATTGACAAAGATCCAAACCGTTGGTACCTAAATTTAAAAGTTGCCTCCTTAATTTATCGATATTTTTAAATATGTACGTTAATTAAGAGCTTTATTCTCCTCTCTTCCCAATAATTGTTAACAGTGATCAATGACAATATCTTGAAACTTACCTATAAGAGTTGTTCGAAAATATGGGCGTAACCACGGATAGCCCAAGCTCGATATGAGAGCCCTTTTTTTCCTTTTTTTCTACAATTGATCGAAATGTGCATTAATATTTTTTCTTTAAAGCGTTACCTTTACGTTGATACTGACACCTAAGAAATTCGCATAACTTGAAGATTTCTATGAAATCGTTGATTTTTTTCTTATTTCTCTTGACCTGCTATATTTTGCTTAAAAATTGCTCAGGAAGGTAAAAGTAGCACCAGGTTTCCAGAACCGCAAAAAATTCCTCCCAATGCCAAAGGTGCTCAAAAGTTGCCGAGCACAATCGGGAAAGTCCTAATCCCAGCTTCTTAATAATGATAATTATCATCATCATCATCATCATCATCGTTATCATTTATTTAATAGTATTGTGGGTCTCTTTGATGATTTTGTTATTTTCTGTTTCTTTTTCAGGAGAGTATTCACTCCTGCAAGCGGCATTCTCATTCAAACGAAGAATGGGTTTTTACCTGATTCAAATCTACATACCTTGTATAGCGGTGGTTCTTGTAGCTTGGATGTCGCTGTTCATTGATAGTCGCGCGACACCCGCGCGTGTGAGCCTGTGCATTACGACACTTCTCACCATATCAACTATCTGGGGCGCCGTCAATTCCTCCATGCCAAGAGTTTCCTACGTGAAAGCCATTGATGTTTATCTGATGACATCTTTCTTCTTTGTTCTCTGCACCATGCTAGAATATATTGGCCTTATACACCAAGAAAGAGCGAAGGTATTACTAAGCAATCTTACGAAGGAGTGTACTTGACTCTGCGACCGTACGAGCAACAACTGAAATTCACATCATGCGCAATCTCTTGTTCTCAAGGTTTTTTTTTTTTTCTCATTAAATAAGAAGACAGCATTTAAATGAAAAAATCGACTTGAGTTTTCCAGATCTTTCAAACGGACAAGCGTCCTTCTTCAGGGTAGACAGGGAAAGCCTTTTTAATTTAAATAGTGGAAATTTGATACTTTTTTTTGCCCACCCCAGTTTCTAAAGGAAAATACCTGAAAACGAGTGAGTAACAAAACTTTGTGGCCACTTGTCTACGGCTGTGCGTCTTATGATGTATGAGCTAGGAACAGGATTGCCGTAGGTTACCTCGCACAGTCATATCACCCGTGGACAAGTTCTTATAAGCGGACACAAAAATGACCAAAAATTAAACAGAAGCAGCGAGGGAAAATAAAAAATTCTTTAAAGAAACAATTGCAAGGAATGTAAGTCGCAAATCAAGCAAATATAGCAAGCGCAACTAACAAGGTATTCTCTGCAACTGCCAAACTGAGATGATTATCAAAAAAAATGAAAACTCTTTATTTACGAAATATGTCCTTTGCCTCTCATCTTGCATAAGATCTTAAGAGGTGAACGACGCTGAGTTTTAATTATGGCCTTTCTATATTTTTAGTGCTCTGAGGCGGTAAAGCGCGCCTTTTCCCTCAGGTGAAAGAAAATGATGAAAAAAGTGCTAAAATTGCCATTATTCATGTAGCCTGCCCACAGAAGTTTTTCTTTGTCTTTTTTTTTGTTGTTGTTGTTGGTTGGTTGTTTGTTTACTTTTCTTTTCTTCTTCTTTTTTTTTTTTTTTTTTTTTTTGACGATTTGACAGCGTGCGAGAGAGATGAGCGCAGTGCACGAGAATGAGTGCGACGCGCGAGAAAAAAACACCCAACCCCTTGCGCTTGCGTTCACCCCGGGGTTGTTATTTTCATACGCGCGCTTAACGATGTGTAAAATAGAGGGTAATAAACAAGCTAATATTCATGCTATATTTGCGACTTTTTTAACAAGCTTTTTTCCGTTGCCGTTGCAGGCAACATCTTCTTCGTTACTTTGGCTGTATTTCCTAAGCTGACGCTTCAACGGGGCGCGGCTTCTTTTCTCACTTTGCCTTCCTTTTTCTTTCCTGAATTTTCTACTCTAGTTCAAGCTATTCCTGTTTTCTTCACGTTAAATGCAGATGATGCAGATCATGATCGATATCCTTGTTAAATTCCTCTTATCTAAAACTTTGTTATTCTTGCTTTATACTAGACACCATAATATATGACTTTGCAGATTATATCCTTCCTTTCACTTTTTTTTTAAACTATTTTCGCTAAATTAGCGGCATGTAGAGAATCTTTTTGCCTTTCATTTTTTAAACCAGGTTTGCCAGTTATTCTTACTAAATCTGCATTGTTTGTTCACAATATATTTCAGTAATTTGACTTCCAGATAAAAAGGCTTGTCACTTTTTCTAGATTTGTTGGATGATAGATTTGAAGCATGTCGAGAGCCTTCTCTGTCTTTCATTTTCTTTGGAAACTTCCTGGGTTTTTTCAGTTATTTTTGCTATTTTGGGGATTTCGGCAACATCTATTTGCAGTTGCCGATAAAATTTACTTTCGCAGCATTTGCTTTCTTTTCATGCTGTGTTTTTTATTTATCAGATTGCTATATTTTTGGTAATATGACTTTACAACGAGAATCCTTGTCATAACTTTTATTTTTCTGTTTCTTCTATTCGTTTTCTTATATTTTTGCTACTAACTTCTTCTCTTCTAAAATTCCTGCAAGGTTTTTATTTTTAGTCACTTTTTGGTGAAATTGCTATCAACATGGCTTAAGCAAATGTTTGCTAGGGCTTTCAATCCTGGCCTCACAAGAATGTGAGAAAGGGTTGTTGGTATTACGAGTAAAACTGATTTGTCTGCATTTTCGTGTTTGTTATTTTATTAATAGAAAGGCTTATTGAGGATCAAAGCACCATTCTTCAGGAAAGTCGACCTCCATCGAGAATCATGCGACTTGACGAGTGAGTCCAGTCTCCACCAAGGAGAGTTGTGTTCTGTTGAAGAAGGGAAGAGGTCGCAAATCGAATTGAATGACGTAAAAAAGAACGAAGCATCTTCGGGGCAAGAGAATGATGAGATCGATTCGAGAGGTGTTGACTTTGCGGCAAGGATAGCATTTATGGTTGTCTTCGCATTGTTCAATTTCTTTTATTGGTTTGTTCTAATTTACTTCAAGTAAGCAGTCCATTGCTCTTAAACAAGATCAAGTCAAGAAGTAAAACATAATTAATTAACATATAATATTATGCTCTTCGAATGATCTCTTGTTCAAGTATAGCGCTGCAAAAGACGTCAAATGGCGCTGAGCAGGACTACAGCTGAGTTGTTTTAAGCGCTGCCCACACTTTGTTCCCGGAAACCAGTGTCTGAGTCAGCATAAGATTGTATTGTGTTCACTTTTTGAATACTCGATGTGACTGTGTACATAGTTACTCCATTTTGCCCTGGCATACGCCATTTTGAAACATGCCCTTATCGGCGATTAAAAAGTAGTGGACTCAAAACTAACGAAAACTGTGTGCAGGCAGGGATCCGGTTCCCACTTTTGTGCCCGACAACAAGGTCGAACCAGCACCGTGTTCGGATTCTGCATGGTTACTTGAAAAAAGGGTATGTTCAGATAATAACTGAGCGCCCAGCAGCGTGTACCGTACTCGGTACACGCTGCCTAAGGAATTGTCCGCACTTGGTTCCTGAGAACCAGTGCCTGGGTACTGGCACAAAGTGGTGTTGTGTTCACCGCTTGACAGTACCTGATACAGTAACTGCATACATAATTACGCGTTTTTGCTCTCTAAGACGCAATTTTGAATAAGAGCACGTACAAAGTAGTAGACTAAGCACTTGAAGAAAAGTTTTGCGGTTCACATTACAGTTTCCAGCGAGTATATGTAGCGTATTCCGGCACCGTGACCGGCAGGCACCAAGTGTAAACTCTGCCAAGTTATTTATTCCACCTCAGCTAAATTATTGAATGTATTTCTTCTATTTCGATTATTTCAGTCTAGTGTATAGTAAATTTCGTGACTTGTGTGACGTTTAAAAAAGCTGACAAGATGAAAGAAAGGATCCGAGAGGGGCTAATCAGCTAACCAGTAGCTACCATATGGAAGCAATAAGCATAAACAGAGCGTGTTTCCAGCCACCCTATTACTCCCCTGGCTGGTTTAGTTCACCAGGCTGGCCCGGCTGGAAAATTTCTGGCTCGGTTAGCCGAAATCCCGGCTAACCGGGCTGGCGTGGTTGTCATGTTGTCACGAAGTTGATCTTTGTTGCGTCTAAGTAACGTGCCGTGATCTCGGCAAATTGGGCCAGCCCCCCTGCTTTCACTTTTCATCGAAGTCACATCCCCTTGCCCAACTGCCCATTAATTTATAGGCCCTAATGAATGTCGGTAGGTGAAAAGAATCGTTCATACTAGAAATGGCTTCCTATCGCGTTGTGCGAACAGGACCTTATAATCAAGGAGCTTTGTGTCCAATCCTTTTTCTGAACTTCAGGAATCAGATCACTAAAAAAGTCCTCGAAGGCAATCGATTCCTGGTTTTTAGAAGAAAACTGAAACTAGAAATCGGAAATCGGAATCATAAATCAGAATCGAGAAAGCTGAAATCAAACATCATAAACAGAAATCAGAATCGAAAAATTTCCCAATCGAAAAATAAAACACAAACAGCAACAGATAAACATCGTGAAATGTTTTGCTCCCCCCCCCCCCTTTCCTCTCAACACCAGTCCACACCCTCTCCCCAAATCTTCTCACTACCAATTTATATCAGACTAGAATAAGTAATATTTGATATTGCTACATATCAATGAAAGCCACCTTCATTAATGTAATTTTAATATAATTTATTGTAGGAAGGGAGATCCTCTTAGAAAAGCTTTGACAAGTTTGCATAGCTCTTCCTGCTACAAGATGTCTTTTGTAATCTTTAATTTATGTGAGAAGATCTGAGTGGCGAAACTGAAAGTAAATAATGAATAAAAATGAAATAAAGTAATGCTACGAAACTGAAACATTATGGCTCTCTGTATTTGTCCTTTTAATTTACGAAGTATATTCACGGCAAACTGATCCAGGCGAGTAGGCGATGTAAGTAAACAAAGTAAAACAAAAAATATTTCAACAAATTTGCTCATTTATTATTTTGTATTTTTTTAATTGATTGAATTTTTTTTTTAACCTCTTTTTGTATTTTTTTACAATTTTGTTTACTTGTTCATCGCTTTTCGTCACGATCAGTTTGCCGTTTATATATTTTGCACACAAGCCAGTCAATTCCTCCGGATGGAAATCTTGTGCATAAACATGAAGTTTTACACGTGGTGGGAGAACGACCCGTTACACAGAAAGTAACCCAGAACTGAGGGATCCAGCACCACTCAAGGGTTAAGATTTTTGCCACCTAACTTTATTCAATAAATCACTGACATAACAGTTTAAAATTAGAGCGGTGAAGAGGTTTATCAGCTGACAATATTGAGGACACGTCCAGTCTTTCCAGTCCGTTCTTGTGGCTAGCACTTAATCTTTGTTCCCCAGTCTCCTTAGCGGCGCGGGGTTGACATCACAGTAAAAGTCCCGGATAACACGCCTTTTAGCACGTTCAGACATGAGCTGCAAGCAAAAATTTAAGTTCACGGAAAAACTCAGAAAACTGTGTCTCGCAGCGCAGTATAAGCTTAGTTCATATACAATACACACCGAATTACATACCAAACTGATGGTAAAGTTAATGATCATAAAGACTAGAGTTTTCAATACGTTGGCTGCTACACGTATCAGGGTTAAAGTTGCTTTACTTCTCCCTGGGCACCCCCCTGATCAAGGGATTTTTTTTAACAGCGTCAGCCATACGTAAACAGAAATAGATACAAGGTACTCCCCAGTTTTAACTTTCTGCAATGAGTATCCTTTTTTCAACTTATTCGATAAGACATCGTCATATCAGTCAAATTCTACGAACAAGATATTTGCAGCGTCACGGATTTTTCTTCACAAAGGTGAGGGTTAGTTGTTTACCCGATTCTAGGTCTCATTTCAATATGGCAGCTTTTAGTTCGGTAGCTGTTCTCCTATTTGAAAGGAAAATGTGTTTGATTAAGAGTGAGTCCATGGGTGCACCAGGCAGGTGTGCTACATGCTATCTCTCTGATTTCAATGAAACTTGGTCAGTTTAAAGGGTCTACCCCAAAACTCAAAATGACAAACTGGTTCATAGTTTGGATCTTTTTGGTGGGAGATAGCCCACCCAACTGGTTTAATCCCCTTAGGCTTAACCAGTCTAGGTAGTTGAGAAGCCAAGCAACTCTGCAGAGGGTTTGAGCCCAATCGGAGCTTCTGTTGATTAACTCTTCAACAAGCTCGAGAACGCCCGGTGAAACGTCTTCAAACCTATTCTCTGGCCATTGATCTTCCGACTGACGTAAAAACAGTTTTTTTTTTCAGGCTTCTTCTTTCCAATTGCTTAAATTGGAAAATTTACTTCGATAATCATTCTTCACTTTCATCTACAACCGCAGTTCAAAAATGAAAAAAATAATGAATTATTTTATATATACTTCACATAAGATCTAACTCTCGTCTAACTGCTGAGTCGATCCGCGCGGCAAGAGGCGCTCCTTGAAGCTCAAGCCTCGGAATGGTGACGCGCTTGATGGGTGCATTTCTAGATTTCCCAGTCACAAAGGCGCACTCGGTGAAACCGTCCAGATACTCAAAGCGCAAATAAGAAACAGTTCCATAACCAGATTCTGACGTGTCACAGAAGTGATGCAGTTGAAATGTGACTCCTTTATGTTCTAAACGACTTAAGTAGGACCTGGGAACAGTTATTTCCCGGAGGAGGGGCAGACTGCTCTTCCAATTTAACCACTTTTCAAGAGTTTCCCCACTGATAGGTTGTGACGCCTTCAGACGGTTGTCAGGTGAGGTAGGCTTTCGGACTTCGAACATCTCATGATCAGGGGCACCCAACGGCAATTTTCGGGAAAATATCTGTTCGGAAGACGATTTGAGATCTAGAATTTTCGGAGCATTTGTTGTAAAATTTCTTGCTTGCCTGCCTCTCCTAGGATTTTCGAACATCTACAAAATGGTATAATTACCCATTTTCAACGGATTTTGACCCTAAAAAAGGCCACCTAGAATTTTCGGAAGCCTTTTCCTGGCTGAAATGTTCGAGAAGGTACGTTTTTATCCCTATAATTTTCGGATCACTAGACTTTCAGCTAGGAAATCCGAACAGATGAAACGTTTTTAGGGGATAAAAATATGCCTATATCTACCGTTTGAATACTAAAATGCGTTCAACAATGCTATGTTAAGTGGTTTTGAACTATATCCTCGTTGGGTGCCCCTGCATGATCATAATCTACATCCTTTCCTATGAGAACGGTAACAGCTTTGACCTGAACCTCGGGAATCTCTATATCTTTCAGGTGGGGATAGCGACTGTTATCAATGTTCTCAGGAAGACACCTTTCTGGTATATTGAACTTTTCTGACACTAGCCCCTCTTCCACTTTGATAATTTCTCCTGTCCCTGTAGCTGACTGCAACTCGAAGCGCACCAACTGGAAATGTTCGCTCGTTTTCTCTACAACAGTGTTCACGGACACAAGCTGTAGCGGTCCTTTTAAACCCAGACTGTTCGCAATGTTCTTGCTGTAGTAATGCGTAAGTTGTTAGTGAAGAACCACTCGGCGCAATTACTTTAACTGGCACAACGTGCAGTAAGATAGTTCTTGAAGGAGCTTCTGTAATGGTTGCGTACTGCTCCATCGCTCTCGGATTTTGAGAAAATTGCGTCCCTTGATCCTTGTACTGGATGTCGGCCTGTGCTGCCTGTATCTTTCTTTGTCTGTCCAGATGGGGATCCTGTGCAGTAATGGCGTCTCTTAGTCTAGGGGGATTATGCAACAACCTGAGGTGTCGCCTGTCACTTCCACAACCACAAAAGATTCTGGATTAACACCGACCTCGCATATGACCCGACTTCAAACAGACATGGTACAATTTGTTCTGCTTAATTATATCCCACCGAGCTTGAATTTCATCAGATATAAATTGCTCACACTCAGCAAGCTCATGGTCCTTAGAGTAGCGCAAGCATCACCGAAGGTTGCGTTTCACAGGGTTCTGATAATTTACGCTTGAGAGAATTTAATAGGGTGCATTCCCTGAAGCATTGTTAGCTTTAGCAGGATAGTTGAAGTCTGGTTACCCTCAATAACGGGCTTGTCCCTTTGAGCTTCGTTCTTAGGCGCCTTGCACCCCTCCCCTGGTGGATCTTTTTTTCCCGCTCTGCTAAGGGTCCTGTTTGGGCTTTTTATTCTTATCATCCCACCTCGCTCTCCATTTCTCAATCTTTTCTTCATCACTCATTGTCGGTAGAAACTCAAAACCACCTTTACCCCCTAGACCGCGTTGGCCGCTGCTATCGCTCCTATCATCTTCTAAAAGCTGGGCCTCTTTCTCAGCTATTTGGATCTGAAATTTTAGTTCGCATGCTCTTTTAATTTCTTCTTTTCAAATTCCAGTTCAATTTTCTTTCGCTCCATGTCTAGTTCAAATTGTGCCAGTTCTTGCTCTCGCTCTAATATTAACTTTTTCATTTCGATATCCCTTCTTAAATCTTTTAATCTCGATCGTTTCGAAGAGGGCGCGGATTTAACTGACTTTCCTTTAGTACTCGTTTTCTTCATTTGCGTTAAACAATCATTAATTCTTATTGTGCATTCTTCATATATATACTGAACTACTACTTCTGTGTACCTGTCTTGCACCCGATCAAGTTCGCCTTCCGGCAAGTTCTTCGCCATATAATTCTCATGAAAACTGTCGTACAAGCGACTTACTTGACAATAGACAATATAAGACAAATTATATATTTTATTGGGGTCCTATACCAGCTGGTAAATCGACTGTTTTTCCACGATATGTCACTTTTTTTTCCTTTACACAAACTTTCCATGTTTATTAAGCATATTGGACCTGACGTTAGCGTTGATTTTCAACATTGTTCAGGAAACAAATGTTCAGAAACACTCAAAAGTTCTTCACGCGCACACTTTGACCACTTTAAAAGTGTATAAAGGCAGAGTTGCCGGGCAAACTTATACTGCTCTTTATTCGAGTGTATTATTATACTGCGAACCTGTAGTTAAAAATAGTTGGCAGGTAGCTCACTTGGAGCAGTAATTGATTGCTAAAATTACAGATGCTGCTCAGTAACTGAAGTCATTGCTAATATGAAGTTACCTGCCACTAAAAAAGCAGGTAGTTCTACTTAGGAAATTTGTGATCATCTATTTTACCGAAAACCAAAGACCAATATTTTATCAGTTTTTATTTATTTCTTTGGGAGGTCCTTACAATTTCGATGTAATAAATAATTAATGGTCATATTTTGTAACAACTCTTGAGGGATAAACACGAATTGAAAATTATAATTTATTAATCCGGCCCTCAACCTCAAGGTGATTTCTTTTGTCTCCCTCGCCCTAGACTTAAGATCCACGTCTGAATTTTATGTTTACTATAACAATAGAAGATTTGTCAATTTGTTTCTTTTGTGGCGACCGTAAAACAAGAAACATGACTTGCGTTAACATGGGACGAACAAGTCTTGCTCGAGCAATGAGATTAGTTCTTGGAATCTTAATCGGATTGGAGTACTGCATTTGTCACAGGTAAGTTCTAAACAACTCTTTTGTGTTGCGGTTTTGTTTGAGTGTAAAAGTGATTTTGTCGCTCATCCGTTTACACTGTTTACATCGTCGAAAACGGTAGCGTTGCTCCATTCATTGAAAAATGTGCTTGATGAAGGAGAACAGTGAACGTTGTGGAGAAGCTACCTTTATAGGCGATTAGGGGTGTAAATTTACACCAATTTTGAGGAAGAGAGTAAATAGATTAAAATATGTCAATAAAATAGAACGTTCTCGGAACAAATTAAAAATGTTATCAAAACAAACTGAATAAGGTTTTGCGAGTACATCATCAGTTGCACCGTCGTGCAAATGGCCTTTCTACAGAGGTTTTTTTGGCAGTTGCATCGGGAAATGTGTCAGGATGCAAACTAGAGACCGTTGCTTGCGATTGCGGAAAGGTGGTCGTCTTGAGTCTTGAGACATCGGTGACTGCATGGTCTCTCTGCCAGCAAAAAGCTGATGAAGAGCTAGTAATGACTGTTAGTTTATATTGTTAGTTCTCTTCTTTTCTTCAAGAGATTTCTCTCCGGTTTTCCAGTACTCCGGTTTTTCCCTCTCCTCAAAAACCGAAATTTTTAAATTCCAATTCAATCTGAAACGCACGAACATTTCTAAAACGAGTTCTCAAGGCCGCGGGGGACGCCTATCTATGAATAAATTCATAAGGCAAAATTTTGCCCGGGCTACATGTTTTAAAACGCTTGTTAATCTCGGCTGTTTTGCAGGCGATTTAGATAAAATTTTACAGAGACATGGCGGAAAGAAGAAAGTTTATTTTTTAGGAGGGTTGTTTTTTATCTGGCAGATCAAGCTTTATGGTAATGCTTTGAGCCACGGTTGTACCAAATTGAGAAATCATAATTTTGTGTCCAAGTTTACAGAAGGAATAGAAGACAACACTCTATGATTTTATAAATAAATGATCGCTCTATACATGACACACTACAGTATACCAAGTTTACCCCTCTGTAGAGCCAGCTCGTGAAGTTTTGTATCTGTGCTGAATTCTTGGACACAAAAGTGTCGGAAAAGTCAAATTTTGAGACTCTTGATGTCCCGACTACAGAACGAGTTCTAAGCAAGATATGTCATGGTAATTATGCTTAATTACATTCCTCGCTTTAATTTTGTTTATTTAAGCTACGATGTTTTCGAGTTCATTCTCTCTTTTCAAGGATTTTTGAGGCGGAAAACTGAAAAAAACCTTCAAAGAGTTGTAATACTAGATTCGGTTGAAATTTCTAAAGATTTCCTTATTTTTATTGATTTAAAAATCAGTGAAACAAGGTTTATCCTCTCTTGGTAACAATAATTAATATTTGAAGCGCGGGTAATACAGCCAGAACCTCCTTAATACCGACACGAAAGGCCAGACAAAACCAAGTGTCCACCACAATACGGGTAGCCTGCCAGGCGTTCAGATTGTGGAGACTGGTTGTCAGTAAAACGGGAGGTCGGGGTCTATCTTTTTGTTAAAGAATTCTGTTTTAGGGTTAGGGTTGACACTAACCCAACCCTAACCCTAACCCTAAAAAAGCATTCTTTAACAAAAAGATACACCCCGACCCCGCGATTTACTGGCAACCGTGGGGACTGACTTTGCGCCACACTGCTACTATCGCACTGAACACAGGGAACAGGCTACAGTGTGTATTAAAGTGCTAGGAATCTTACGCGTTTCATTTAACGCTTTGTTTGTTCGGCTCCATTTTAATTCTATTAGTGTTCGCGTTTAGTTCAGTTTGGAGTTCATTAATCGTTTATCGTTCGTGTATTTTTGCTCTTTGCGTTATACAGGTATCAATGTTTAGACCGCGAGAGGGGTACGGGCTTAGGTGCGACATTGAACCCCAAACTGCGATTTTTTTAAGCCCAGAGAGGGATGTTTTATCACATTTGAACTATTTTCCCGTCCCCGGGGAAGCGAATTTGACCAAAAAGTTATAGAAAAATTGAAGTGCCGCACCTATGCCACTACCACCCCCGGCACCATCCGTCCAAACATTGATAACTGCAGGTGTTTGTTGCATTTCGTGTATTAAGTTCTGCTTGCAATTTTAGCGTCAGTTCTTCATTGTCTTTCGTTTTGTCCAGTTTACAGTTTAAAAGTATTTTTTCGTCTTTGCTTGTCCTAGTGTTTCGTCTTTATTTCGCTATCGTCTTTCCCGCATCGCCTCGCTTCGCTCGGTTCGCCTTGATTCTATTCACCCGGATTGTTAAAAATTCTAGATTAAAGGGTGCTTACCATTTCCACAAACCACCCGGGTGGAAATGTTATGCATAAAAACAAAACTATAAAAAATTTGACGTGGTGGGATAACGACCTGCCACAATGCATATCCAGGGGTCAATTTAATAAACTTTTACAAGTGTAGTCTTTGTTTTAGACTCTGAAAACGGTAGATACACTTGAAAATTACACCAGTAAAAGTTGTATCAGAAACTCATAAGGGGTTCAACCCCTTATGAGTTTCTGGTTGCATTATATTGACCCCAGGTTAGCTAAACAGACTACAACAGGAGTAACCGTATTACAAAGTTTAAAGATTGTACTCGGGAAGTTTGGATCTTGGGACTGTTCGTTATTTAACAATTATTCCACGAGGGCGCGTTGGATATGAGATGATAGATAGCGTACACAGACCAGATATGGAGAGCATGGTATAATTGTTAAATATACCATAACGGCTAAGCCAATCAAAATGTTAGAATTGCATTATCCAATGATTCAGTTTTTAATAAAGAAAGATATCCTTGACATTAAGGATCAAGGAACCGGTAGCCTGCGCGCAGACGAAATTAAACTCTGGTTAACTCCGTCTGCGAAACAGCGCCGAAATCCTTGTTCTGGACTTCCAGCTGTGTACCCAGATTTGAGTACGCGCCACGATTGGCCAGTTAAAAAAGGCCTTTGTTTTGTTTGTCGTGATCGCCAATCAGGTTGAAGGGGAATTCGAAACGCACTTCCGGTAATTCGTTGAGTCCGTTGGGGGTCCAGAACAAGGATCTCTGCGCTGCTTCGCAGACGGTACTAATCAGAGTTTATTTATCGTCTGCACGCAGGCTAGGAACCGGTTGACTGCAGATAACATATTGGGTGTGTTCTCCATGAATTATGAATTCAACTCCATGGAAAATTACCTACATTTGAGCCAGAATAATCACGGCAAAGATGAAAAAACGGAAATAAATTTCAACGGTAACGTTTTAGCTACCGTCGCCGTCATTGTTTGCATATTAGGAAGCTTTAGCAACTAAGACTCCAAAAAAGCGATCACCATGGCGATGGGTTTGTTAAGCAAAACAACAACTTTGGTCGTGCATCGCATTGTTTTTGGACATTTCTTTTCCGTCCCCGTAGGACTACGACGTGAAAATGCCTGAATTCACGCTTTCATGAGGCATGTAAACAAGCGACGGAGAATTTTTCCTTCTCTTTCTAAACTTAGTTGCGGTCCCCAAGAAATCAACTCTAGAGAAATTCGCCTACATTAAGTTTTCAGCGAATTGGAATAAACGCGACAATGTTTGAAAAAACTCAAATTCATTTTAAAAGGAACAATTTCGTTGCCGTCGCCGTCGTCGATGCTAAAGCTCCCGTATAGATCAGGCAGCAACGGTGATGTATGTTGCACTTTCAGGTGACTTTCTCAAACTCATTTTAACAATTCAGAACGAATATACAAAGGAAATTAATGTTTAATGAGTGTTTGGAAATAAGATGAAAAACTACTCATTTTTGTCTCCTTAAGCAGAGTACCAAGCTTTTTGAAAAAAATCCACTTTTCAGCATAAAACAACCAAATCTGTCTATTTCATGTAAAATCAGGTGAAAAAGTTGGTAAAAGGCCATTTTTAGGTTTTTTGATTAACCCATTCACCCCTGAACCGCCCATAACCGCCCGTGCGGATCCAGGTCCTTTCTACCCTTTGTGACGTCATCAGTTTTAACGGTCAAGGACAACTTTCTTCGCTACCTTGTGCAGGGTGAAGAGATCTTTCAAACCATACCAGAATGAGCACAATTCAGTCAAGGACACCGGAGAAAGAAGCAAAAAACCACGTGACAAGGACCTGAAAATCTCCATGAAAATCTTGTTCCATTACCCACCTACCTTTCCTTTCACCTAATCCTAAGATCCTAAAAGCTTTCCTAAAAACTCTTCCCACCAAATTGAAGCCTACTAAATGCCCTGCAAGAGAAAAAAAAATGAGGCAAGAAAAGCGAAAAAAGAAGGGAGGAGAGAAAGCGGAAAGTAAAAGTCAAGACTGCTGTGTCACTTTTAAACCCAAAAACTGTCCAAATTTTGCTTTCTGCGCATGCCCGAACTTCGTAAGCTGATATTTTGCATCTGGATCAGAAGGCCGCCAAGTGTACGACCTGTAAACCGGTTTGTGGTAAGTTTTAGCTCTTTATAGCAGGACAGTGACCAGAAAACCACTCGACTAGAGTAGCTTCAAAACGCGTTTTTCGGCAAAATCTCCAGGAGCGAATGGGTTAATTTCTCCTTCACTATGTTTGAGAAGTAATATCAAGCATTCGACAAAAATAATCTGCGGGTCGCATTTTCAACTCTCTTCTCAGTGTCTCATGCTTGACACATTACTTCAATCAATTATCATTGCAAATACTTATATGCAAATAAATTAATCTTGATATTGTTGATTGTTATTCTACATTTCAGCAGAACAGATTTTTTACCGGATCAGAAGTTAAGCGAGGGACTGCAAGATCTTCTTCGTGGATATGATCCTCGAATTAGGCCAAACTACTCAGGTATAACGTAGTACTGATATACACTTGACTACGAGATCCACGTTGGTTTTGTTCATTTTTTACATTTCTTTTCTTTTTTTTTCCTTGTGAGATGTTTATGGAGCTAAATAAACGAATAAATATATTAAGAACAATTTAATGAATGTCACATCAAAGCTCATGAACAACAAAAAACATGATATTTTGCCTCACATATAAAGTAAACCAAAAAAAGCGTTTTATCTATCCAGAAGTAATTTGTATCAAGATTCGATGTTTAGCTATTTAACTCTAGTTCGGAAAGACTGAGAGCGTGTTAACATACTATTTTTTGCCTCTTTTTCTTTTCTTTCTAAAGGAAATCCAGTTGAAATCCTAGTTGGTATTTCGGTTGCATCGTTTTCCAACATCAACGAAGTGGATATGGTAATACATTCTCGCTTTCTTTTCTTGTGGTTATCGTCATTGTTCTTTTAATTTTAACTAAATTAGGGCCCATTTACATGGAGTGGGGGAACCCGATCTAGTGGGGTTGGTTTCTTTTGTGTTCACGCTCTGGGGGACACAAAACAAAAGAAACCTACCCCACTAGACCGGGGTACCCCACTCCAGGTAAATAGGGTCTTAGACAGTCAATCGCCTTCTACTTTCCCCCGATTTTACGCATTTTTAGGTTTTATTTCCTTGACGGGCCGCGTGTTAAATACTCCTCCCCCCCCCCCTCCCTCGCTCACTTCTGTCCAGATCCTTTTAGTCTACATTGTACCAACAGAGCCATAGCATTATTAAAATTGCCAAGATTCTCAGAGTGATTTATGGAGGCTGAAGATATTGCTCTGCTAAGTCGCAAAACTTTCCAGCAGACATTTGTGAGGTGAGGGCAAAAATTTGCCCCCATCATACAACCGTGTATGAAAGTTCGCGAATTTGCTGAGCATCCTTTAGACGCATTACTTTTAAAATTGGCATATTTACTTATTTCATGCCGTTCTTTCCAGCAGTCTCGACAGATTTCCCCTAACTGGTCCTTATCAAAACTTTAAAAAAAATGGAAGAAGGGCCAATTCTCTTCGCCCTGTCTCCCACTATATAAATTGTTTATTAATAATTCTTGCTGGCTGAGATTTGTATTATTTATCCCAGTTCCCCTGACTGATTAAAGTTACAATTTCCCCTATTACCTGTATAAGTTTCATTTTTAATCGAAATGAATTTCAAATTCGACTATCCAAACTGATCTAAAGTAACAAAGTTCGATTGCGTTGGATTGCGGAAATTCATTTACTCTGAGAGTCGCCTGAGCGGTGTTTGATAACGTTTGAGCGATCAAACGTTCGATTTAGCTCGAGTAATAATTACCCTAGGTCATAGATTTATTTTTTAAGGGAAAATGTCTTCCTTCCATTCATGTCCAACAACGGTAAACAGAGCCGTAGCTAGTATGAGGCCAACCGAGGCACTCGCCTCGGTAAAATTTTGACGAATTTCGCCGATCATTTTTATTTTACATAAGCGATCATCGGATATTTTTAACGCATCATGATATTACAAAGAATTCAGCAATTCAGTCAATATACTATGAAAAAATTACCATATCATCGATCTCAAGGGGCTACGTACGTTAACTCAAATTTTTTTTGAACAAATACTGATCAAAACCATTGGCGAGGTTAACGGTCACCCAGATTATGTAGCTTGTTTCTGATTATTGCTTTTTAAATTCCACTTAAATTAACTCGAAAAAAAGTTACCGAAAGGCCCAGAAAACGCTGCAAATCGCATTTCCGAGAGACTAAAGTTCAAAATTTCTCGGGGGGGGTGGGGGTGGGGTATGCCCCCAAACCCCTCTGCCTCGGTTGGCCATTTGGTCTGGCTACGGCACTGGTAAATATAGTCTGTGCCTTAATCTCACCCTGTTTAACAGTTTCGTGTGTGGCGCAGGTTAAGTTGAGTGATGCTACAAGCTGGGTGATATTATAAATAAAGCCTCTTATTTTTAAATCATTTTTTAGGAATTCGGATTGGACATTTTTTTTCGGCAGCACTGGAAAGACCACAGGCTTTCTCATAACTTGACTTCCAAGATAACTCTTACTATGGGAACTAAACACCCCGCGGATTATATCTGGGTGCCGGACACCGTGTTTGTAGACGCCACCAAGTCATACATGCATAATGTACTGACAACCAATCACAAGATCGATATCTCAGCAGACGGACAGGTGGTTTGGGGAACAAGGTTGGTGTGTCTGATGGGCTCGCTTTATCCACAGGTCGCCCAAGCTCACTATGAGAGCCCTTGAGAAACACTACCCTGCTTAGCTAAATAATAATTCATACCGTAACAATTTGACTTTGTACAAGAAATATTCTTTGTGCATTAAAATTTGCTATTAGACTAACTTTTAGCATTTTCCTCTTATTAAACACGTTTAAATGCCTTCTCTTCGCTCATCTGGCTGAAAAACAGATGCTCAAAAAAGACATTGAAACGTTCCTAGAGGCCTGACAAGCAGTCAGCATACAAATAAACACAAGAAAACGCTGAAGATAATATTAAAATTAAATTTCAATGCGCAATTTGCTTATTTATAGAATATAGAATATTTCTCATGCAACGTCTTAATTTTTGCGGTGAGAATAATTAATTAGCTATGTAGGCTGGTGTTGCTCACCGCTTGGGCCACCTGTGCTTTATCATGCATGTTTAAATGGGCCACCTGTGCCTTATCATACATGTTTAAACTACATCTGGATTTGCACTGCCAAAATCCACCCCTCCAACTCGTAGTTTTCGCTTGTGAAGTTCTTTTCAAACATTTTGTGAAAAGGTTATGAAATTATTGAGCCCATATTTTCAAAGCAAATTAGCTTTTCAAATAAAGTTTTTGTATTTGGGCATGATTGTACTCGTCATGCTTTGTCAAATTAATTATTTGTTACATTTCTAGTTGAAATTTGAATTTTACTGTCAATAATTGGATTGGCGGGGTCTTTCTGCTCAGTCTGCTGCCCTGCAAACCTTGAGCTTAATGGGATAAACAAAAAACTAAAAACCTACTGTCTAAAAAGCTCTTTCATGCGTTCTGCCGACACAAACTTGCCGTTTTTTCTATGTACTGTATCTTTAATAGACGGTGCACAGGATATATAGTAAGCACAAATAAGGCTTTGTTCCAACCGGATGGGGCTTTTGTTCACACACATGAACAGTTGTGGGGTCGGTTGTGGCGGCGCGATTTCTGTGACAGAGCAAAGATGCGCCGCGCTTATCTCGAAAGTGGAGCGTCACATTACGGATAGGTTTTCTGCCATACTTTGGTGCAGCGTGCTCACTTATTTGGTCCGTCGCGTAGGAGCAGTGACTGGAACCCACTGAGCTGGAAGTATGAGTACCGTTTCAACAGGCAGTAAATATTCAGGAGTGAGGACTGGAAATTAGTGCACCAAGCCCTTTCGTCCAGCCGCGCCAACACGATGTTTGATGCGTGTGAACGACTTGTGCGGCCCCGAGGCCGTTGCTATTCATACTATATACCGGATGGCTTCTCGTAGCACCACGAAAAGCTTTCCAGTAGAGTGTGAACATCATTTTGAGGAGAGGTCGATAGTAGGGGTTGACTGACGAGGCTGACAATGAGAAGCGCGGCAGTTGACCAATAGGTTCATCCATAATTACCCCTACTAAATCAGTGTCTAATTTAAATCACAGAGCAACTCTACGAGCGAGATGTCACATGAATTTACGTACTTTCCCCATGGATGAGCAAAATTGTACAATCAACATTATTAGCTGTAAGTAATTTTGAAACAAAGAGAAATTATCAGAAAGCTTTTGAGTAATTTTTACATTCTATATAACACCAAAGGGTTCTTTTCTTTCTCGCATTGAGGTTTGGCTGTGGTCTTTGACAGTAAGCTTGACCCGAGGCCTACCGCCCCTTCCCCCCCGCCTAGGGAGCTTAAGCTTATTTCATCTCGTTCCGAAAAGTTCGTCAAATTTTGGCAAATTTTTCTACTGATGAATTGTAAAGGACTACATCAAAGTTCAGAAAAAGAAAAAGAAAGTCGTTGTCTTGTTTTCACGCCCTCAACAAAACCGTAGTCATGCGGTGACGGCAAAGAAATGCACAAAAAACGTGCAATGCACGCGCAAAGTTGTTGATTTGCCTATTGCTTTTTATAAAACTGTGAAAGGATTGAACCCAGGAGTCATTTCAAAAGTAGGTTGAGTTTGATCGTGCTTGTGAACGTAGTCTTGAATAGGACTGTTGTCGTTGACAGTGACTTACGTTTCGACAACCTGTGCGGTAGTCATCTTCAGAGTCAAAGTGAGTTGTATCACGTCAGTTGATGGTATTATACTCTGGTTATTGATCTGATTGGTCAATTACGTCGCGATGTTATTGGTCGTCTGTCTGTTAAGTCGTGATGTTATTGGCTATGAAGAATCGTAATCAGTAATTGGTGCGTTTCGATCCGTCTATTGTTACAGTTAAACAGTCGTCTATTGTTAGTCAAATTGTCAGTTCTCCAGTCGTTCTCTCTCTGTCTCTCTCTGTCGAAACGTCAGTCACTGTCAACAACAGTCCTAGTCAGGACTACGTTCACCCGGACGATCAAACTCAACCTACTTTTGCTTTTTTTAAGTTCTCGATTTTTTCTTCACTTTTGGTGTGTAGGCGGTTTGGATATCAACAATGGCCGTTTTCACATTACAGACGGATAATCCAAGTTCAAAATCTGTCAAAATTGACGGGAAAACAGATGGATAAAGTTAGGCGGATTGTCCATCTAAAATTAAGACCATTCGATTTTCAAATTAAGACGTATTATCTGTCTGACGCGAATTATCCCACGGATAATCCGTCTCAGACGGATGATCTCTCTCTAGTGTGAGTACGGTTAATAGGTGCGGTTCCACTAGACCTTTTCCTCAAAGCTCCCCTTTGGGAAATTGCTTGGATTGGGTTGGCTCTGGGTTTTGATCACTTTCATGTTTGCGGTTACACAGCGAAGACGGAAGAAAACAGTTCGCGGTAAACGTCGTTGTAAACATTGAAGGTTGACATAAATCATTTTACTTCTTTAATGAAACTTCCACATCGATAAAGCTTAACAAGAGCGATTCAGCCGTTAATCATAACCCCCCATAACAAAATTCTCCAATCTGATTGGTTATCATCTGCCCCGATTTCGGTTTAATAGGACAATTTAATACTGTACGGTCATGTCGCTCGCGCTTAAATGGCTTTTTTTTTTTTACTGCTTGCAAAAAAAATATTGGAATTTCTTTTGTTTTGATTCAAAATAAAAGAAACTTATATATCACAAATTTTGTTAAAGTTATGATTAATTGGTAACACAACTTCGTGTCGTCCAATTCGGTCTGTAATCATACTTGTGATTAAACAAATCTGACTCCCGCCTTATGGAACCAAGGATTCAATTGTATCATGTTAGGCCTTGGCCAAATGTCGAACTTTTCATGGGACGAACCAAACTTAGTGAGTAATGCATCAGTCAATTCCAGCTGCGCCCAGCCCCCCCCCCCCTCCCGGCTGACCCCCGGGCATTAGCTTTTTTTTCGCCTTGCATGGCAAATTCCCGGGTGTGGGGACTCTTGAGCTGTCAAATCCCCCGGGGTGGGGTCGAAAAAAGAGGGCAAATGCCCCATCCTCCGTGAACACTGCAACATTTTTTATTGATGGCACAGTCGAGTAGTGCCATTTTAAGCATTTTAATGTGCGATTATTTGTTTCAATTTAACGTTTTCCTTTGTAATAGTAGTGTCAAAAGCTCGGGGTTGGCCCCGGGGTTGGCAAATGCCCGGCTCCCGGGCAGCGCAAACTTTGCAAATGCCCCACCCCCGGGACTGACAAGGTGGGCAAATGCCCCGAAGTAGCCCGAGGTGGGGGGTGGGGGCGCTGGGCCCAGCTGGAATTGACTGATGCATTAAGTTCATGAAAATTAAGTTCGACGTCTGGCTCAGTTAAGTTCGTCTAAATAAGTTTGGATCGTCGAACACGTTCTATCCGTCTGAAGGTCATTTGCGACGCAAACGTCGATCTTCACATGCGACGAACTGAACTAACATATAAAAAAATTTGTATGATGATGTATATTTAGCCCCGCGCGTTAGGGAGAAAATAGACGCGTCCTAGAGTTCGACTTCCGACCCAACGGACGAACTTAACTTAATTTAGGGACTGGTCAAAAAGTATAGGGGGGTGGGCCGGAGCATTTGGAAATGTGGTTGATAAAAAACACATGACCCACCCCCTCCCTTCGGCACAAAAATGACTGACCCACCCCTAAAGCAAGGTTGGAAATTGCATGACCCACCCCCTAGTTAAAACATGGATGTTCGGTTTCCTCTTAATAATCCAATAAAACCTTATTCTGTGCTTGACAAAATTTGTTGATACACTGCTACAAGCAATATCAAAATCACAGAAATCATACCTTTCACTAAAAAGACGAATGTGAAAAACTCGCGAACATTTCTTGTTTCAATGGATGTTATGAGTCTTGAAAATTTCAACAAAGACAACCCATTCCTACACATTACTTGCCGGAAATGCTTAGATTAATCCTCAACGAAAATTTCTTCCACTTCAGTGGAAAGCAATACCTACAAAACCATGGAACTGCAATGGGCACAAAGATAGCAGTTTTGATTCCTTTGCCAATATTTTCATGACATATATTGAAACAACAACTCTAAGCAAAACTGTCTTTAGAACAACGGTTTGGAAATGCCACGTACACGATATCTTTTCCCTATGGGACATGAGTAAACCAAACATCGAAGCCTTCATTGAACAAGCGACCTTACATCACCTAACTATTGAATTCACGGCCGAAACATTTGACACTGAGACTGCGTTTTTAGACACGGTTGTATACAAAGGCACAAGATTCAAGGAAAAATCTATCCTTGATGCAAAGACACATTTTAAACAAACGGAAAGCTTCTTGCACACACATTTCACCTCGTGTCACCCTCCAAACTGTCCAAATGTTAAAAAAGAATTTGTCAAAGGAGAAGCCTTAAGAATCCTACGAAAAAACTCCTCAGAAACAACCTTTGAGGAAAATAATTCAAATTAAAAAAAAAAAACGCTTGACGGACGGAGGCTACCCACAATTTTTAGGGGGGAACCAACGTCAATTTTCGGAAAATATCTGTTCGAAAGACGATTTGAGATCTAGAATTTTCGGAACATTTATTGTAAAATTTCTTGCTTGTCTGCCCCTCCTAGGATTTTCGAACATCTATAAAAATGGTATAAGTGCCCATTTTTAACGGATTTTTACCCTAAGGTCACCTAGAATTTTCGGGAGCCTTTTTTCTGGTTGAAATTTTCGAAAAGGTAAGTTTTGATCCCTATAATTTTCGTATATCACTAGACTTTCAGCTAGGAGATCCGAACAGATGAAAAATTTTTAGGGGATAAAAATATGCCTATATCTACTGTTTAAATACTAAAATACGTTTAACAATGCTATGTTGAAGTGGTTTTGAACTATATTCTCGTTGAGTGCCCCCTATCTTTGATAGAAAACCTACTATCAGAAATAAAATTCACAAAAGGGAGTCTAAACTCTTAAAACAAAACAACAAGGAGGAAAAAAAAATATTGTCATTCGTGACACAATACCAGCCCTCAGTGTCTACTATAAAGGAAGCTTGAATGAAAAAATGGAATCTTATACAAAACCAACTATAACTTCGATAAATTTTAAAAGAACCACCAATCATTTCCTTACAAAAAAGGAAAATCGTTAAAGGATATGCTCGTTAGAGCCGAAAAAAAAAGGTTGACAGAGGGTTCCATGCCCGTGTAGATGTGCGGCCTGTCAACCTTTGTATTTTCTCGCACAACAGGTTTGTGAGTATTTTAGCAATAATTACAGCTTGTTGTGTTTTATGTAACAAGTGTAGTCAAATGTTTCGTTAGTAGTTAGTAAAAAATAGGGTGACCCACCCCCCGAGGGTAGCTGAAAATTGCACGACCCACCCCTTGCACAAGGCTCAAAACCTCATGACCCACCCCCTCTCTGCTCCGGCCCACCCCCCCTCTATACTTTTGACCAGTCCCTTAGGATGAAACGTTCGACGTTTGGTCCAGGCCTTATTATAGCAGAACTGGCTCTTATTTGCAATGAAGTTGAGGGAAATTAGTAAAAAGGTATAACCAATGTAATGCCGCTTTGCCGCATGCGCAGTGCCAGCCTTGCATTCAGTTTTGTTTTATTTTACACACTAAGTGACGTCTGGCTACAGCATCTCTTTAACTAGAGACCCGATAAGGGGAACCAGTCAGTTTTATTTACGCGTTACGTAGACCTCTGCATTCAAACAGTTTTTCCAATGTAAACTCTGTGATCAGTGGTTGGTTTATTTGTCAGTAAAATTAAAAAGTCAGGATGTTGTTTTTAGATGCGTACCCAACTCAACACCTGGTTTTCAAATGGCAGTCACCTTCACTCGTAGTACTAGACAAAGAAATGGCGCAGTTTTACATGAACGAAATGAGCACCACTGTCGGAAGAACACAGTATGTCGCAGGTGAGTAGATCAGTGTAAGGCCGTAAGTAAAAATTTGAATCAATAAAAGTTTCTGTATGGTTGGTATTCGGTACCATTTTATTTTTGATGATTTTAATTTCCAAGGTTTCTTCACCATGCAGTAGTTCGAAATAGTTATCGGGGAGCTTAAGCAACAACGTTTTTGAGCGACGCACGTCAACTGGAAGTGGCCTTTTTTCATTTTTTGACGGTGGTTTCGCGCAAATTTTCAGTCAAATCGCCTCTTTAACAATAAAGAAGCTAAGGAATACAAATTTTATATCATCAAGGCATGTTAAGAGGGAAAATACCTCACTTCCGGTTGACGTGCGTCGCTCAAAAACGTCGCTGCATAAGCTCCCTATCATCTGAATAATGACGGCACGCTGATTTTACTCCTTTTCCCCACCCTCAGTGTCCTGTTGCGTTTTAACGGTACTTTTTAAGCTATATATACGGAAAAAAAGAAGTCGAAACAAGGAATTGAGGTCAAACCTGGGAATCGACAGTGTTAGGCATCTGTCAGCACACTAGCCAACTATGCCAATACCAGCTAGGCCTGTCGACCCGATTGCGCTCATAAAATGCTGGAAAGTTACTAAGTAAAACTGAAACGTCAAAAAGTTGCTAAAATAGTGCCAAAGATCCAAACCGTTGCCACCTAAATTTAAAAGTTGCCTCCTAAATTTATCGATGTTTTTAAATATGTACGTTAATTAAGAGCTTTAATCTCCTCTCTTCCCAATAATTGTTAACAATGATCAATAAAAATATCTTGAAACTTACTTTTAAGAGTTGTTCGAAAATATGGGCATAACCACGGATAGCCCAAGCTCAATATGAGAGCCCTTTTTTTCCTTTTTTTCTACAATTGATCGAAATGTGCATTAATATTTTTTCTTTAAAACTTACCTTTAAGTTGATACTGACGCCTAAGAAATTCGCATAACTTGAAGTTTTCTATGAAATCGTTGATTTTTTTTCTTATTTGCTTTTGACTTATATTTTGCCCAAAAATTGCTCAGGAAGGCAAAAGTAGCACCAGGTTTCCAGAACCGCAAAACATTCCTCCCAATGCCAAAGGTGCTCAAAAGTTGCCGAGCACAATCGGGAAAGTCCTAATCCCAGCTTCTTAATAATGATAATTATCATCATCATCATTATCATTATCATTTATTTAATAGTATTGTGGGTCTCTTTGATGATTTTGTTATTTTCTGTTTCTTTTTTAGGAGACTATTCACTCCTGCAAGTGACATTCTCATTCAAAAGAAGAATGGGTTTTTACCTGATTCAAATCTACATACCTTGTATAGCGGTGGTGCTTGTAGCTTGGATGTCGCTGTTCATTGATAGTCGCGCGACACCCGCGCGTGTGAGCCTGTGCATTACGACACTTCTCACCATATCAACTATCTGGGGCGCCGTCAATTCCTCCATGCCAAGAGTTTCCTACGTGAAAGCCATTGATGTTTATCTGATGGCATCTTTCTTCTTTGTTCTCTGCACCATGCTAGAATATATTGGCCTTATACACCAAGGAAGAGCAAAGGTATTACTAAGCAATCTTAAGAAGGAGTGTACTTGACTCTCCGACCGTACGAGCAACAACTGAAATTCACATCATGCGCAATCTCTTGTTCTCAAGGTTTAATTTTCTATTAATAAGAAGACAGTAATTATTAGAAAAAAGCGACTTGAGTTTTCCAGATCTTTCAAACGGACAAGCGTCCTTCTTCAAGGTAGACAGGGAAGGCCTTTTTAATTTAGTAGTGGAAATTTGATACTTTTTTTTGCCCACCCCAGTTTCTAAGGGAAAATACCTGAAAACGAGTGAGTAACAAACCTTTGTGGTCACTTGTCCACGGGTGTGCGTCTTATGATGTATGAGCTAGGAACAGACTTGCCGTGGGTTACCTCGCACAGTCATATTACCCGTGGACAAGTTCTTATACGCGGACGCAAAAATGACCAAAAAACAGAAGCAGCAAGGAAAAATCAAAAATTCTTAAAAGAAACAATTGCAAGGAATGTAAGTCGCAAATCAAGCAAATATAGCAAGCGCAACTAACAAGGTATTCTCTGCAACTGCCAAACTGAGATGATTATCAAAAAAAATGAAAACTAAAGCAAGAAGCAGTTTTGAGAAAATATCCACCGAAAAACTCTTTATTTACGAAATATGTCCTTTGCCTCTCATCTCGCATAAGATCTGAAGAGGTGAACGACGCTGAGTTTTAATTATGGCCTTTCTATATTTTTAGTGCTCTGAGGCGGTAAAGCGCGCCTTTTCCTTCAGGTGAAAGAAAATGATTAAAAAATTGCTAAAATTGCCATTATTCATTTTCTTTTTCTTTTTTTTTTTTGTTGTTGGTTGGTTGTTTGTTTGCTTTTCTTTTCTTTTTCTTTTTTTTTTGGACAATTTGACAGCGTGCGAGAGCGATCGAGCGCAGTGCGCGAGAATGAGTGCGACGCGCGAGAAAAAAACACCCAACTTCGTGCGCTTTCGGTCACCCCGCGGTTGCTACTTTCATACGCGCGCTTAACGATGTCTAAAATAGAGGGTAATAAACAAGCTAATATTCATGCTATATTTGCGATTTTTTTTAACAAGCTTTATGCCGTTGCCGTTGCAGGCAACATATTCTTTGTTACTTTGGCTGTATTCCCTAAGGTGACGCTTGTACGGGGCGCGGCTTCTTTTCTCACTTTGCCTTCCTTTTCCTTTCCTGAATTTTCTTCTCTAGTTCAAGCTACGTGTATTCCTGTTTTCTTCACGTTAAATGCAGATGATGCAGATCATGATCGATATCCTTGCTAAATTCCTCTTATCTAAAACTTTGTTATTCTTGCTGTAATATATGACTTTGCAGATTATATCCTTCCTTTCACTTTTTTTTAACTATTTTTGCTAAATTAGCGGCATCTAGAGAATCTTTTTGCCTTTCATTCTTTTAAACCAAATTAGCCAGTTATTCTTACTAAATCTGCATTGTTTGTTCACAATATATTTCAGTAATTTGACTTCCAGATAAAAGGCTTGTCATTTTTGCTATACTTGTCGGATGATATGTCCGCGGCATGCCGAGGGCTTTCTTTGTCTTTCATTTTCTTTGCAAACTTCCTTGCTATTTTGGGGATTTGGGCAACATCTATTTGCAGTTGCCGATAAAACTTTGCTTTTGCTGCATTTGCTTTCTTTTCATGCTGTTTTTGGTATTTATCAGATTGCTATAATTGTGACTTTTGGTAATATCAAGTCATAACCTTTATTTTTTTGCTTTATATTTTATTTATTTTCTTATATTTTTGCTACTGACTTTTTAACCTCTAAAATTCCCGCAAGGTTTTTCTTTTTAGTCGCTTTTTGCTAAAATTGCTATGGCTTGAGCAAATGTTCGCTACGGCTTTCAATCCTGGCCTCACAAGAATGTGAGAAAGGGTTGTTGATATTACGAGTAAAACTGATTTGTCTGCATTTTCGTGTTTGTTATTTTATTCATTATAGAAAGGCTTATTGCGGATCAAAGCACCATTCTTCAGGAAAGTCGACTTCCATCGAGAATCATGCGACTTGACGAGTGAGTCCAGTCTCCACCAAAGAGAGTTGCGTTCTGTTGAAGAAGGGACGAGGTCGCAAATCGAGTTGAATGACGTAAAAAAGAACGAAGGATCTGCAGTGCAAGAGAATGATGAGATCCATTCGAGAGGTGTTGACTTTGCGGCAAGGATAGCATTTATGACTCTCTTCGGATTGTTCAATTTATTTTATTGGTTTGTTCTAATTTACGTCAAGTAAGCAGTCCATTGAACTTAAACAAGATCAAGTTAAGAAGTGAAACATAATTAATTAACATATAATTATACTCTTCAAATGATCGATCTCTTGTTCAAGTATAGTGCTGCAAAAGACGTCAAATGGCCCTTAGCGGGACTACAGCTGAGTTGTCTTAAGTGCTGCCCACACTTTGTTCCCGGAAACCAGTGCCTGAGTCAGCATAAGATGGTATTGTGTTGACACCTTGAGTACTCGATGTGACTGTGTACATAGTTGCTCCATTTTGCTCTGGCATACGCCATTTTGAAACATGCGCTTATCAGCGATTAAAAAGTAGTGGACTCAAAACTAACAAAAACTGTGTGCAGGCAGGGACCCGGTTCCCACTTTTGTGCCCAAAAACAAGGTCGAACCAGCACCGTGTTCGGATTCTGCATGACTACTTGAAAAAAGGGTATGATCACGTAATATCTGCGTGCCCAGCAGCATGTACTGTACTCGGTAAACGCTGCCTAAGGAATTGCCCACGCACGGCACGAATAATTGGATTTACTCAAATTTACTCGGTGCAAATATGGTGTAAAAAAGTTCAAACTAGGAGGAAATCAGAAGCAAAGATGGTAAATACCGCATTTGCTTGCAAGTTTACATGGGGTTGTAAATTTGAGAGCAACTGCGGTATTTACCATCCTTGCCCTTTATTTAACCTTAGTTTGCACTTTTTTGCACCAAATTAGCACTGAGTAAATTTGGCCTGGGTACTGGCACAAAACGGTGTTGTGTTCCCACCTTGAGTACCCGATATGTAACTGTCTACACTGTACATAATAACGCCATTTCACTATCTCAGACGCCATTTTGAACATGAGCACGTACGGAGTAGTTGTAGTAGGCTGAGCACCGGCATTGTGCCAACATTCTCTCATGGGTCCTTGAAGAAACGTTTTGCGGTTTACTTTTATTAGTGTCCAGCGAATACCGTATTCCGGCACTTAATGAATGGAATTCTTCTATTTCGATTATTTCAATCTAGTGTATGGTAAATTTCGTGACTTATGTGACGTTTAAAAAAAAAACTGAGAAGTTGAAAGAGAGGATCCGAAAAGGGGCTAGCCAGCCAACCAGAAGCTACCAGATGGAAGCAATGAGCATAAACAGAGTGTGTTTCCAGCTACTCTATTATTCCTGTGGCTGGTTTAGTTCACCAGGCTGGCCCGGCAGGAAAAATCTGACTCGGTTAGTGGAAATCCCGGCTAACCGGGCTGGCGTCTTGTCATGATATCACGAAGTTGATCTTTGTTGCGTCTGAGTAGCGTGCCGTGATCTCGGCAAATTGGGCCAGCCCCCCGGCTTTCACTTTTCATCGAAGTCACATCCCCTTGCCCAATTGCCCATTAATTTATAGGCCCTAATGAATTTCGGTAGGTGAAAAAATCGTTCATACTAGAAATGGCTTCCAATTGCGTTGTGCGAACAGGACCTTATAATCAAGGAGCTTTGTGTCCAATCCTTTTCTGAATTTCAGGAATGACATCACTAAAAAGGTGATCGAAGGCAACTGATTCCTGGTCTTTAGAAGAAAACTGAAATCAGAAATCGGAATTAAAATTGGAATCATAAATCAGAATCGAGAAACCTGTCTCAAACATCATAAACAGATTTTAGAAATCAGAATCGAAAAATTTCCCGATCGAAAAATAAAACACAAACAGCAGCAGATAACATCGTGAAATTTTTTGCTCCTTCCCCCTTCCCCCAACCCCAGTCCACAGCCTCACCCCCAATCTTCTCACTACCAGGAGCCCATCATGGGCTCCTGTCACTACCAATTTATATCAGACTAGAATTAGTAATATTTGATATTGCTACATATCAATGAAATCCACCTTCATTAATGTAATTTTAATAGAATTTATTGTAGCTTTGACAAGTTTGCATAGCTCTTCCTGCTACCCTGCTGCTACTAGATGTCGTTTGTAATCTTTAATTAATGTGAGAAGATCTGAGTGGCGAAACTGAAAATAAATAATGAATAAAAATGAAATAAAGTAATGCTACGAAAATGAAACATTATGGCTCTCTGTATTTTTCCTTTTAATTTACAAAGTATACACACGGCAAACTAATCCAGACGGGTAAGCGATTTAAGTAAACAAAATAGTAAAACAAAAAATATTTCAACAAATTTTCTCATTTATTATTTTGTATTTTTTTAATTGATTGAATTTATTTTTAATATCATAGGTGAGGAATTACTCCTTAATGTTGGCGCCAAATTTCAGCGTTAATTTGTAATTTCACATGTGAAAGTCTAGTGATCCGAAAATTATAGGGATAAAAACTTACCGTCTCGAAAATTTAAGCCAGGAAAAGGCTCCCGAAAATTCTAGGTGGCCTTTTTTAGGGTCAAAATCCGTTAAAAATGTGTAATTATACCATTTTGTAGATGTTCGAAAATCCTAGGAGAGGCAGGCAAGCAAGAAATTTTACATCAAATGCTCCGAAAATTCTAGATCTCAAATCGTCTTCCGAACAGATATTTTCCCGAAAATTGCCTTTGGGTGCCCCTGAATTCCTTCGGATGGAAATCTTGTGCATAAACATAAAGTTTGACGTGGTGGGAGAACGACCCGCTACACAAAAAGTACCCCAGAACTGAGGGATCCGGCACCACTCAACGGTTAAAATTTTTGCCACCTAAGTTTATTCAATAAAACACTGACATAACAGTATAAAAATAGAGCGGTGATTGAGGGCACGTCCAGTCTTACCTGTCCTTTCTTGTGGCTAACACTTCCTCTTTGTTTCCCAGTCTGCTTAGAGGCGCGGGGGTTGACGTCACAGTAAAAGTCCCGGATAACACGCCTTTTGGCACGTTCAGACCTGCAAGCAAAATTTAAGTTTATGGAAAAACTGTTTCTCGCAGCGCAGTATAAGCTTAGTTCATATACAATACACACCGAATTACATATTAAACTGATGGTAAAGTTAATGATCATAAAGTCTAGAGTTTTCAATCCGTTTGCCGCACGACGTATCAGGGTTAAAGTTGTTTCAGTTCTCCCGGGGCACCCCCCTGGTCAGGGGATTTTTTTAACAGCGTCAGCCATACGTAAACAGAAATAGATACAAGGTACTCCCCAGTTTTAACTTTCGGCAATGAGTATCCTTTTTTCAACTTATTCGATAAGACATCGTCATATCAGTCAAATTCTGCGAACAAGATATTTGCAGCGTCACGGATTTTTCTTCACAAAGGTGAGGGTTAGTTGTTTGCCCTATTCTAGGTCTCATTTCAATATGGCGGCTGTTGGTTCGGGGAGCTGTTCTCCTATATGAAAGGAAAGTGTGCTTTATTTACTCCTTCTGTGGTTTCTGCACTTTTTTCGGTTATTTATGCCAAACTGTTTTCGTGGCAGAAGTGATGAAACACATAATGGAGAGGAAGTACTTGCATATACGGGATTATTCGAATTTTTAGGCGTAGATGCAAGCCCTAATAATTCCCTGTTTAATTCTGATTGAATAAACTTATGTAAGGTTAAGTTATGACTTTTTAGAGCAGTTAATGGTGCTTGTATGTTCCATTTGCTACCGAAGCTTGGCGAAATAGAAAACTAAAATTATGAATCAGTGAATCACGTATTTTGTGACGAGCATGGGCAATGTGCATGTTTGGTAGAGCTTTGGTGTACTGTCGGCAACCAAGCCAAAACTCCTTTTTTCCGTCTAGCATCAAGGGTTAGTACTAAATTAAATTTTAGTAGTTAAAAATGTAACTATAGTATACTGTCTAATCTCAAGGCTTATTTTAAGATAATTATTATGTTAAACCACCACTTTCACACCTTCCCAATACTTAGCGAAATAGAATATAAATTATATATGAGAACTTTCAATACGCTTTCTCCTGTTGGATATAAGCTTATATAGTCATTTATATCTGTAACACACTGTATTTTTTCATCCTTGTCTTTGCAGTATTTTTTAATATCACATGAATACCCCATGAATGCTTAAAAAATAATTTTTATCTAATACTCTCCTTATTTGGTCTGTTGCAGTGAACTTGTCCGCTGATCTTTGAAGAATTGTACAAATGTTCACCTGTGATATCGCAAGAAAACTTAAAATAAGATGTTCAGCAAGTTTTGGAGCCCACTTCATGAGCATGAACTACAAGAGGCGGATCCTATGATTGTTTATGGGTCTTTTGCAGGGCACTGGAAATGTGATCATTGTGGTGCAGAGAACAATTCTAGTTCGCGTCCATTTCACTGCAGGCAATGCTCCTTTGATCTTTGCTATTCATGTGTTTACGGTAATATAACTGAAGACTTTTTGGTGCATGACCATCCACTGTATTATGTAGAAACAAGCAGACTATACTATCAGAATCAAAATGGACTTTGGAGGTGTACAGTGTGTAAGAAGACAAGTCACACATTAAGAGAAACTTTCTCATTTCATTGCCCAACCTGCCCTGACTTTGATATCTGTCGAAAGTGTTATGTACCCTGCCAGCATCCAATTCATCGTCATGATTTAAGGCTAGTGGACACTTCACGCGTTTATATGGTTTCAGGAGGTAGCTGGGTGTGTGATGTCTGTGGCCGTCAGAGTAGGCCTTGTGAAAAGTAGGTGCTAGTCCTTTCTTGCCTTTGTTGAAATGTCCCAGGCGTTCGACCAACATCGCAAGGATCGAGCATTTCACAGATCTAACCCGGTTTAAATATGCATCCAATGTCATTCAAAACTGAGAAACGGTTGCTTTACAATTTCATTCGATGCTGCTTATTTTTCGTTAGCAGTGTGGTACATGTCGAAGATGAAAGTAGCCAGCAAGGGATGGCTTACTAGCCAGCGGTTTTGGCCGGCTACCGGCCCTTATTGACAGCCCTGCATTTCTTAAAAAATAAGTTAAGAGAATGAGTTTGTTAAAAGATCAAAACGTTTTTCCTTTAGTGATTATTTTATTAGTTTTCATAACCTTTACTCTTGAATATGTATTGATGTTGTTAGCAGAAAATTGAAGTTTAAAGAAGGACCAATCTGAGGCTTATTGCTTTTGTATAGCCTAATATAATTCTGAAAATGTACTTCAAAGGTCTTTTTGAGGAGCTAATTTTTGGAGGGAAATTGTTCACAGCACTAAGAAATACCACATTTCAGTACTCCAAGCTAAAACTATTTTGGCCACCATGGCAAGTGGTAAAACTTCTTGGCAACTTAAATTGCAGTGAAAGTCACCAACTTGGATGTTTGGTCATTGTCACATTGTTTTCTTGTTTGTTGTTGTTGTTGTTCAACATGGCCCTCAATCTGTACTCATTTCTTGATATTATAATTCTGGATTCAGCAAGTGAAAGACTCAAAGAAAGTTTAGCAGGAGTCAATTACAAGTAAGAGAATGACAAAAACTAGGACCAAAGTGTTCATCAGTGGCAACTCTGAAAATGCCTCTGTTGGATCAAAATTAATCTTTAAATGGCAAGCACTATAAGGTAAATTTGTAAGTAATAACCAGACTTGTGTGGACAAAAGTATTTTGAATCTGATGCTTTGATATCCAAACCCAGAATAGCAACTACTCTCAACATATAGATACATCTTTGGTTGATAGACTTTATACCTACCATATTATAATTTTTGTAGTTCATCATAGTGTATTGAGATTAGTTTCATTCTACAATCTGTGCTAACTTACTGTCTTTTGTACTGTTTTAGATTCTCTCGGCATTGTCAAGAATGTGAATTTGATGTCTGTCAAGAATGCTTTAAACCACAAAATACACCACTTCACCAGCATCCGGTTTACAAAGCTAACTCGCATGATGTGTATGTCCAGTTCAATGGAGGATGGAGATGTGATAACTGTGGTTCTGTTCATAATAATCCATTGGATCATTTCTCCTGGCATTGCCCAGAATGTGAATACGACTTGTGTCAAGATTGCATGGGTGGTGTAATTGAAGGTGAAATTTAACCCTTTAAACCCTATGATCAAAATTTTAATTCTCATTTGTTGCCCCTATTCATTTCCCACAGAAGTAGTGGGGAGAAGTTGATAAAATATCAAATAAATTCATCTTGTGTGATCATGTCCGTAAAGCATTGATATTACATGGAGAAATTTAATGCTAATCTCTTTTAGGGCTTAATTAAACAGTTTTAATGGGTGTAGCAAAATTAGGCTACATCCACACAAATCCAGATATTTCTGAAACTGCATACTTTTTTACACGGATTGGCCTTCTGTCCACACAAAAAAAGTGAATCTGGTCACTGAAATCACATTGTTTCTCCATAGTGGTTTAAGGTCCTGTCCCAGGGCTCAAAATAATTTCCAGTGAGTCTCCAGACACGATGACCAGCCAAATTCACCTTTTAGCTTGCTCACGTATTGTTTCTGGTCGGTCAAATTTATAAGATAAATAATATCATCATCATCATTATGCGGCCCTTTCGGTCAGGATATCCTTTTGGTTTGCTGAATTGACTGCGATTTACAATGCCTGTAGTTCAGAGTTTTTCATTTTCTAGGGAAATATTGCTATCCAAGGCCATAGAGCATTCATTCGCTATTTGCATGTTTCTCATATTACACATTGTTTGCCCCCTATAATTTTGCATAACCTTTGTTTTTAATTTCCCTTAGGCATTACAGTGTTCCCAAGAGAAATTGAAGACAATTCTCATGTATAATTTTAGGGGGCAAACAAGATGTATTATGAGAGACGTGCAAATGGCGAATAGCCTCGTGTTTGCATGGTGGCCATGGGCTCGCGAGGAGCTCATTGGCCCTTTGACAGGTCTTCTTTTTATATCTGCTGGGTGACATGCCACCCTCCTCACCAGCTAAAACTATGTACACTGCTGGAGGAGCCCATTTAGATGCCGACCACCCATCCATGTGGCAAGTTGTACTGGGTTGTAATGTTACTTATAGCATGGTTACCTACCCTTAAACTTCACCCTGATACAGTTCAATTCAACTAACAGTTCCTTTTCTTTTTTTTTTTTAGAAGAAAAAATTTTATTGACAACAATGCTAACTATTAAAATCCTATTTTACAATTAATTTGGTTGAAAAAAAGAAAAAACTATTCATTCAAAACACTATTTACAATTCCTGTTGATTTAAAAAGCACTTAATTTAGCTTAGAAAGAGTTAATTTAACTAAGAAAAATTATTCGAATTAAAAACATTTCATTTTAATAAAAAACTATCAGCCTCTAAAATTCAATAGTTTCCTTCAAATGTTTAAAAAAAAATAAAAAAATAAAACAGTTACTACAAGCACAAATGATAATAAAGGGTACACAAAACTATGAGAACTTCTGAAAGTGGAGATCAAATCTAACTGTAACCACACAGGCTGCCTATAACAGGCTTTTGTTATCTGCTACTTTGCTTGTTATTAATTTGTAATTTTTTATTTCTGTGAAGCTGCAGATCAAACTGGCCCTTCCCCTGCCCGCATTGGCAGAACCAGGGGATTCCAAACTCATCCAGGTGCAGTATGTGTTCTTTTAATAAGTAAACAAAGCACAAAGTTTCCAAATTGAAGCTGTGGTGCTACATTGGTGGTGGCGGAATAAGACACTGAAATGTGGTTTTATCAAACTGAGTTTATAAAATCTATTTGCCTTTGTAAAAGTTGGCTCCATCCCCAGCTGTAAGTGTCCTAATGTGCCCACAATTCTTCCCACCTGAAAATCACAGGTGCATTGAGACACTGTAGCAGCTGGAGACTGAGCCTACAACAGAAAATAGAAAATGAAAAATCTGAAATTTTGAGTGCTGGTGGTGTTAGAAATTGGCTGAGATTTCATAATAATGTATTATTGTTCGTCAGAAACAATCAGTCATGGAAATTATTGATCAATCATTGATAAATGAAAATTGGAAAAATCAGTTATAAGAATTCCATTTATTTTTCACCTATGTGAAAATCAAAAAAACAAACTTTTGAGGTCTTTTATTTTTGCGACAATTAATTGAACATTTTTTATTATCAGTTTATTTCGTAATTTGTTATCTTGTTAATCTGTTTTTAATAATCAATGTTCGCTTTTAATCAATGGTCGGCATACTGCAAAGCCTGTCGAAACATCAGTCACTGTCAGCAACAGTCATATTCAGGGCTACAATGACCTGAACGATCGCATTCTTTGACAATTCATTTTCTTTTCTTTGAAGCTCTTTCCAGCCGCCAGCCAGAAGAAAACCCATGGGTGACACGTGATCGTGTAACAACAGCTGAATCAGAATCGAACGCAGCCTGTATGGCACTTATCACTGAGAGAGGAAAGGCTTTGGCTTTCCCAGAAGACACTGACGATAATTCAAAGTGTATAATCTGTATGGAGCAACCCAAAAATGCAACAATCATTCATGGCGACACAGGACACTGCTGCTGTTGCTTGCAATGTGCACAGGTCTTGAAGTTAAGGGGGGACCCTTGCCCCATCTGCAGGGCTCCTATTGATCACGTGATTAGACAGTTTAATGCTTGAAGTTTAGAGGTGACATTTCTTGTATCATTTTGAAAATTTAATACTGTTTTTATGAGAATTAGTGCTTTTAGTTTAAGGTGATATTTATTGTGCATTATTAAAACTTTTTTTTATAAGCAGAAGAGTTCCTGCTACCAGGTTGCAGTGGAAACATTTACTTCTCATTAGAGGGGACCATTACATGTGTTTATAGTATGATTTCGTCCACAGACTTACTTGTTAGAACCACCTAGTACATTGTAAACCACTGAAACTACTGTTTATTACCACATCAAGAGAATCCTGCAATCATCGTAGTACATTGCAACTACTGAAACCATACTAAACCGTTGGAACTATTGTTTAACCGGATCGACTTTGGAACTATTACTGAAATATAAGGATTTGACTTTTAAAGCATTTAAAATTTCACTTTCAATATTGTAAACCCCAGTTGAAATATTGCAATTGTGATACCTAGAAAAATAAATAAACAGGCTGAGACTTCGGCCGTAAAAAAAAAAAGTACAGCATAATAAACAGTACCACAGAAAAGTGTTGCTCAGTAGCTTTCATTTGAATGGTCACACTTAGGATTTCATCCTCAGACTCAAAAGCTAGGACCACCTTATACAGCATAATTAACAGTACCACAGGAAAGTACTGCTCAGTAGCTTTCATTTGAATGGTCACAACATAAGATTTCACTCAAAGACTCGGAAGTTAGAACCACCTTGTGCTGCATAATGAACAGTACCACAGGAAAGTACTGCTCAGCGCTCAGCTGCTTACATTTGAATGATCGCAATTTTGAGTGCAAAGCACGAGATGCGCGAATGTAGGCAAAAGAGAAAAATATTTTTTCTTCTTCTCGTGTGACTTGCGCTTGGCGCTTAAACCCCATTCTGGTGGTGGTGAGCCAAAAGTAAAAGAGCCCTGACCTCTTTTCGGAAGAGATCCCGTGATTTTCGACTGTATATAAAATAGGAGATTGTATACAAGCCCTGAAACCAGATAACATAAAGTTGTACAATTTTTTTCTTCTAAATCGTAGACATTATCTCTATGTTAACAAGTTACGAAAACCAAACAGCAAGACTTTTATCGTATTAGTACGTATGTTAAACATACATAACCGTAAAATCATAATGATAAATGGAGATCACTACAGTATAAGTAATTATTTATTAGGGAATTTGAAGATGCTATGTAGACTTAATGCTAGTGTGAAATGTCACACGTTTCCACCCCCTAACCCGTGGTGGAGAGTTCTGACCTTTCAGACTAACTTTTCAGGGGCACCCAATGTCAATTTTCGGAAAATATCTGTTCGAAAGACGAATTGAGATCTAGAATTTTCGGAACATTTGTTGTAAAATTTCTTGCTTGCCTGCCTCTCCTAGGATTTTCGAACATCCAAAAAGTGGTATAATTGCCCATTTTAAAGGATTTTTACCCTAAAAAGATCACCTAGAATTTTCGGGAGCCTTTTACCTGGCTTAAATTGTCGAAAATGTAAGTTTTGATCCCTATAATTTTCTAATCACTAGACTTTCAGCCAGGAAATCCGAACAGATAAATTTTTAGGGGATAAAAATATGCCAATATCTACCGTTTAAATACTAAAATCCCTTAAAAAAATGCTATGTTTAAGCGGTTTTGAACTATATTCTCGTTGGGTGCCCCTGACTTTTATAAATGCGTCATTCACACCAAAGCTTAAATACGTTAAAAAAGCCGTTCGTCGAGACCTGTAGATTCGAGGACGAGGACGAGGACGACAAAGAGGACAAGATTTAAGTTATAGTTTTCTCGCGTATTCTCAAAACATATACACCCCGGAAAGCTTCACTGTACTTTTTTCACGAGAAAAGTTAGCGCGGGTATGTTAATGAAGGAGGTTACGCCCACTTCCTAGCTAATTCTAACTAATGATAACTTGTTTCCGCCACTGCTCCCTTAAACCCGTAGTAGAATGACGACGGCTATCACATTTTTCCGGCCAAAATGACACTGGTTTACGCGCGCGCATTTAGTATCAAGAAAACCTTGTCGTCGTAGTCGTCTTCGTCTTTGAATGTCAAAGTCTCTAGTTACGAACGGATACAATCGCCATTCATCGCTACGGCTCGTCGCTAGCGACGTTTTGCGATAGCGGCGTCGTCTCTCTCTTGCGAAAGGAGAGGTGATCGCTGAGCTGAAGAATGCGAGCAAGCGCGAACGTTCTCTTGCTAGGGATAAAACGTTGCGTAAGTGATTTTCTGCTGACGTTGAGGAAAACGAGTGTATAGGCCAGCTAGAACATTTTTCAAACACATAATATAAATATATAACTATAAGCTGTAGCTATCGTAGGCAATATTTGAGATAATGTTGGAGTTACTTCGTATGGCAAATTGCCTTTTTTTAATTTCTCTGGTTCACAGAGACCTTATTTCTATGTTATACTGATGCGCAAACAGATAACAACGAGCCCCCAAGGGGACAGAAAAGGGAGCTTGTTATCACCGCTTGCCGGCTCAAATTGAGGATAGCGATGGAGGAAAACCCTTGACTTTGTTGGCTGAATACGACCAATCCTTCTCTCTTTGAAATACAGACGGACTGAGGTGCAAAGCTCAATTAACACCCGGAGTATCAGTGTCCGTCCCTGGGCATTTCTCACCAAAATAGGGAGACAGTCTAAGAGATAAGAGGGGCTGACGTTATCCTACTTTGTTGTGCTGTATAGATGTTTCTATTCGAGGAGTCTGTCCTTAATAAAAGTTTTTTTTAATTGTGCCTTTTGTGAACTAACTTATTACCCTGAAAATGTTAACGTTTTGAACTGAAGATGCCGGCTTTAGCGTCACTTAAAAAGTGAGTTCGCGCTCTTATTCCGTCGTCTTCAGTTTACCTCCTAAATTAAACTTGAGATTAGGAAATTTTACGTTGTGGTCGTGAAACGACGACGCGAAAAAATTGACAGAAATACGCGTGATGCAAGTGCAAAAATGTTTTACTGATCTAAACCAGAAGCATATAACCCCGATTCGGGGTTATATGCTTCTGTCTAAACCCATTGCCTTTTTGCCGTGCTTCTTGCCATCGCCATCGCCGTCACTGCTTAAAACAGGCAACAAAAATGGGCAACTTGTTTCGCAACATGGCTGCAAAACGAGTTGAAAAGTGGATGTTGAGCGTTTTACCACCCACGTTCAAACTTATTAACAACTTGATTTATTGCAAGACAGGTTTGAATGTGGGTGGTGAAACGCGTAATATTGCTTTTCCACTCGTTTTGCAGCCTTGCAAAACAAGTTACCTGTTTTTGTGATCCGTTTTTCCGTCGCTTTAAGCTCGCCCAGCTCCCTATAGAGCGTTAACTAACAGCAAACAATTACATAAGACATATAATACGCACTTCTTATACATGTATACTCACTTGCCCAGCATCTAGGCAAATTTATTCGAAGAAAAGAAAAAAAGGAAAGAGTTCAACTCCCAAGGACTTGTTTGGAACACTGAACATGGCCGCCGTTTCATTGTTTTGGATCACCAATATGGCCGCCAAATTTGCACGTGCATGACACTTTTTCTGTACACTGACTACTCACTTCTCTCGTTAATGCACCTATCAATGTAAACCCCTTGGGGGGGGGGAGTGCGGGCAAAGGGTGGGGATTTGACAAATTTTAAAATTTTTTGATCAAATTCCCCAGGGTGGGAAACGAAAGGTCAATCAAAAGTGTCAAAAAAGCCCCCGCCCCGGGGAAAAAATCTCAACAAACAATACTATAATACTGTATAAAACCAGGAGCCCATGGGCTCCTGATAAAACGAATTAAAAGAACATTTCAAAAGTACGTCCTTACTAAACGTAAGCTCCGTTAAATTACTCGCTGTAATTAAGTATTTTCTTTCTCCACTAGCATCTCTTATTTTGAACAACAAAATCACTCTAGGAAGATTGCCCGACATTGGGATAGTCTCAGGCATCAAATCCCTGCCCCTTGCCCGCACTTCCCCACCCCCCTCCCACGAGATTTACATTGACAGGTGCATAACTCCTGAACGTATTAAGGGACCGACCATTTAACTCTTGAGGGGTGGGGTGGGTGATTTCTGGTCATCAAGAATTTTCTTTTTCTAGCAATCTGGTGGGCAGGATATTTGTTTCCCTTTTTTTCCCATAAGCTTTCTATTACATTTGTGCTGTATGCAATTTTTTTCTTCCGACAAGCGCTTGCAGAAAATTTTTTTTCAAAATCACTCACCCCCTCCCCCTCAAGAGTTAAATGGTCGGCCCCTAAAAAGACAGAAGTACTAAACTATATTCTAAACTATACGTTAGCCAAATTTTCGACTGTGACGCATTACGCGTGGCAATAATGGGCCATTATTTGCACGATGGCGTCACTGTACTACTATAACCACAATCCTTCTGATTCGCAGTTTTCGTTTCTCCTTTCATATTTAAATTTGATAATCCCAGCGAGGTTTAAATAACAAAAGTCCTAATTTGCAAAAGAAAGCGAAACCCCGAAAGATTCTGGTCACAGTAGTGAAATGATGTCATAGTGAAAATGACCTGCTGCTCCACTATCTTCTGTCCAAATCGTGGAGAAAGGATGAAAACTGAAACCCGCCGGGACAGCCGCGAAAAGACACAACCCCCAAAGTGGAAACTTCCTGACTGTCGTTTAATGTATTTCTAGTCCTATTAAATTATAAGGGGGACAAACTGAACGAAGCAAGACAAAATGATTCCCCTCGGCTTCTTGTTTTTTTACTTTCGCTCCATTCGCTCGACTTCCTCGCTCGCGTGACCTTGCTGAGGGACTGCCCGGGGTCTAAAATGATAGGGATAGTCAGCTTCTCGTCTAAAATCATGCAAAGTAACTGATAAAATTACGGTTTCGAAGAATCACCATGCATCTGCAGGCTACCTTCTTCCACTCGATCTTCTGTAGAAACTTTGTAGGACAGCCGTATAATACTGGGACAGGGGCACCCAACGAGTAATTTCGGTATAAAATATCTGTTCGGAAGAAAGGACCGCTAGAATTTTCGAATATTCGATCGGCGACTTTCGATTTTCGATTTCTGAACCATTTTCTGGAACAGATTTCCTAGATATTTCGCATTTTCTGACAGATTTCCAAGATATTTTTAAGATCCGAAACCGCACTTAAGAGGGCTAGAATTTTCGCAAAAAGACCTGAAACCTAAAACTGATGGGAGAGATAGACGGTGAGATAGTCATAGTTATGCCTCCCCGTTTGGGGGATGTGTCGGAGCCGAACTGGGGTAGCCTACGTAGAGTGGCGGTTTTGGTGAGGTGCGCTAAGTAATAAAGGCGGGCGAGGGCAGAGAAAAGGCGACAGCTCGACAAAACCGCCATGATACGCAGGCTAGAGCTGGGCCTGCCGTGAACATGTACTGAAGTATTAATAAACAATTGGTAAAAATCCAGCTAGCGGTCTGGACCTGTTGACTTTCTAATTCTTTCTGTTTCATCCATAATTGCTCGTTCCAGCAAGGGCGGTTCTAGGGACTATATTACGTGCTCCTCAGAGGATTATTACACAGTGTGTTCTCTGAGTTTTCAGGTTGAAGTTTTTTACTGCAAAAAAAAAAAACAAAGCAAACAAACAAACTACTGGCGAACATAACAAACAAAAGCAACAATTCCTTTCCCATAGTTACATCCGTAAAAGTTACAATTAGGAAAGTATGACAGCAATTTAGTAGGCGTTACATTTGCAAAAATAACTACGCCATCAAGCGCATACTATCGCTCGCCAGCTGGACCACACATGTGCAAAGAAAAATATGGTTGAAATAAACAAACAAGCAAACATAGGCTAAAACAAACGTAACTTGCTCTGTAAGTCATCCAAAAGCTCAAAATGTCAAAAATTGGCCGGGGGAATACACGTACAAGCCAAGCGTAAAAGTTTAACCAGGTTACGGCATCTTCGTACTCAACACACAGAAGCATGTAAAGTAATGTTACAAACTGAAAGGTTGTTACAAACATTAACTCTGTTTTTCTCAGTCTTCTTTTCCTTTTGCAAGAGGAATGTCTAAGCTTAAAGTAACGGCCTTGAGTTTACGCCGAAAATAAGAATGTACTACAGAATAGCGGTCCTCGTTGAAAAAGGACGAAACTGTTAACGACTCACACTCACTCTGTTAACTCGTTTCTAAGCCATCAATTCCGATCACCTTTGGCATAAAAGTTTTAACTCTAAAAGCCTTTTCGACATTAACTCCCGTCCGATATTTTTATCCTTTGAGCTAATCATCAAACTCAAAATTTTTAATAAAGGAATCTTTTACTAACCAATGTGACCAACTGAAAGAGGTTCTGAAACTCCGACCAGCCTTTTTTCGTAATAAAGAAATAAACTTTCACTTCGTCCCGAAAGAACTTGAAGTATTAGTCTTTTGATGTTTATGTTGGAAATCATCTTTGAGCAATCTGTTGTGGAAATTCCAGTCAGTTGTAGGGTCACAACAAAGTGTCCCAAATATTCTTTTATTGCTTTGGATGCTCTTGTGACTATTATTTATCTTATACTGTTAATAAATTCGGTTTTCAAAAGCCTCTTCTAATTTTTGATTAACTCATTGATTGTTGTTGGTAAATTTTACTTTCAGTTTCTCTAAACTGACAAATGACACTTTTAGTGATACCCCAAATTTCTAAGTTTTACAATGTCATTCAAAATCACAAGTACTTCATTCAAAAAATCATTCACTCAATTGAATCACAAATTAGTACTTCAAAATATAGTTTGATGTTCTTGCTTTGTGAATAGGAAATCATCAACCATATCGGCCGGTACGTGCCTGTTTTGTAGGCAGTAGTTAACACTGAACAAAGCCAAAAGTTTTTCAGGGTGACAAAATGAGGGCGGAGTATCAAAGAAACGACTGCTTACCCGTAATAGAAAACACTAAAAGGTGTGGTTCTTCATTTGAAGTGTCCAGAGATAAATTCAAAGTGCTCGAAAAGTGAAGCCATTTTGCGAATCTACATCATTTACATTTTTAAAGAAAAATCTCACTGTCTTATCATGATTTCAGACGATTTGTTTACATATTGGCTTCTTCGGAAGTAATGAAAGTTTATTTTGTTGAGAAAAAGGGAGAAATACCAATATAAGTGACCTCTTGTGAACCGTGACTATGATAAATCTCTTTGACACACATTCGTGATGATTGTCAAGTATTTATAACTCCCCTGCTGAGCTCGAACCGCCAACAACATCGTCAATTGCCTTAAGGGGCTGTGAACTCGCACTTAATATTATCAAAATTTCATAACGCTTCTTTCAGACAGTTGCTTAAGACCGTGAACCGTGCTCAAAATTGTATGCATGAGTTACAGTAAGTAGGTACTGATACGCTGTGAATTTTGACGAGTGATCTTGCGTGATGTCTACAAAACAGACAGTTTCAAGGACCAGGAGTCTGAAGGGAAAAGAAGCGCTTTTAGAGTGGTGCAAACAGCAAACTGAGGGGTACAAAGATGTCGATGTTCGTGATTTGAATGCATCGTGGAGAGACGGTTTGGCGTTCTGTGCCCTTCTTCACCGATTCAACCCAGAACTTCTGTAAGTATTTGGCGTTCAAGAAGGTTCTGTTTTTAGTGTGCGATAAGCAAAATGCAACTTAATATTCTATAATAAGCGAGGTCCCCTTTCCCAGAAATTATTTCACCTGAGTATGGCAAAATTGACTTGGGTGAGCAGAGACTGCTGAACATCTCAGCAAATTGCCTAACTCAAAATAAGTCCAGCTTAATAACTTTACGATCAGTAGTGTCCTAACTGACATACTCTAGCTGATAACCCCGTTTGTTTATCCACCGGGTAAAATAACGTCAAACGCCAAACTTCTGCATCATATAGGTGGATCAAAATTATACAAGATCCGTGTTTATATAACAGTTGTTGTGTTTAAAACCTCTCTCGCATTTTCTAATATTGTTTATCTAAGAAATAATATGTTTTCCAAGGCCACAATCTGCTATTGATAAATTCTCGTTACGACTGAAAGTTAATCATCTCATATGATAAACTTTCACACATAACAAGATTTTATAGTGTTCTGAACAACTGAACAATAAGAATTAGAGGAAGAAAAATATTTACAAGAAACACTAAATGATCTGTTGCACGAAACAGCGTTCAAATCTTAATCACATTCACGACCAGAAATATATAACTAAGAAATACATAAGTTACAATTCACTTCAGGAAAAAAAGAAGCTTGGAATGACGACCCTTAAGCTTTTATATCGCGAACAGCAATTAAACCTAATCAACCTTAAAATCAGATGGCGAAACGATGACAAAAGAACACAATTCACGGTTTACTAAATATTGAATAAATACACAAAACAGAAAGGGAAAAGATGTTTTTCTGTCCGTTTCCTTATCGTTTTGGAGGGAGGCCAGATGGACGGCCAAATTCATGAAGTTTCTTAAAGGTCACCTGTAAAAAACTGACCTTTATCAGGATTGACTACTACAATAGGTTTACTATTACAGCTTTGGATGCGTTAAATGTTTGTCCTGAGTGCAATAAGTTTGAATAAGTATCGATTTCTACCTTAAGTGGTTTTTAAAGGCCGCTCATGCGTAATTCGATAGGTCAGTTTGCACTTAAGATGACTTTTGGACGGACTCTTTTTCGTGGCATTCGGTACCTGCCGACAATTATTCGAACCGAAGGTCGATTTTACCGTCGCGTTCCTCCAATAGTTATTTTGATGGCTAATCAACCCTTTCAATCCAAATATCAATTCACAAGATCCTAATTTCGTTTTTTTTAAAATCCCAAGAATTAAATAGCAGAGGAGATTTCAATTGAATGGTAACATCATATGATTTCATCCACAGTTTTTCAAATCTCTGAGCGTGTATACATTGTTTGCGGAGAATGATATTTCATCGAAGGATGTTGAAACCTTGAAGCTATCATCGATAGTAGATAGAATGAACTTCCTTTCGTATGAATGAACTTCCTTTCATATGATTTCATCCACAGTTTTTCAAATCTCTGAGCGTGTATACATTGTTTGCGGAGAATGATATTTCATCGAAGGATGTTAAAACCTTGAAGCTATCATCGATAGTAGATAGAATGAACTTCCTTTCGCCACCTTCCGAAAATGGGGAAAAGGCGGGGAATTCAACCCAGACGAGCAAGCTCGCGGGGGAATGAAGACACGGTCAACTTAACAGAGTAAGCAGAAAGGGTGGGTGGGAGGGGTGACGCCAACCAAAGTTAGTCAGGACTCTCATATAATAGTTATATGCTATGCAAGTACTCTAAAGACAAAACAGATACTAGGTGAAATACTGCAGTTCAATTCACAGGCTCCTGCAACTCATGCATTGTCCTTCTTACATACTTACTTAGTAAGCTTCTCAATACTAATATATATATACTCTACAGGGGGGCATATATTTCACCTGGGAGGATTTTGCTGAGATCCTTTTTCTCAGTCGATCTCAAGATGTTTGTTCTTCCACATATCCAGTATAGTGCTCTAAGAAACCATCAATCCATTGATTGTGTTCGTGCACAGACTAGGGAATACATCGTCCCCTAGCTACTCGGTCCCTGAGATAACCTTTTGTTTCGAACGGGACAGCAAGAAGGTAGTTCGGCCAAGAATTAGGTGACCCAGGAGCCCATAGTGAGGTTATGGGCCCTGGTAACTGCAAAGCATGAAGTTTAGTCATCCTTTGCTCTGCATTGGCCCTCTGCATTTAGTTATGGGAAAGTCACGTGATTAGCCGGTGCACTGCTTGTCTTAAAGGTTTGGTTTCAAAATGCCGGTGAGGAAGTGAACCCTCCAAAAATTGGGTTTCGTCAACGGAGTTGACTTGGTGAAATTACCACTGTAAAACGGCTGAAAACCTAACGTTTTGGAACGCAGGCCCACGTTGTCTTATTTTTTAATTGATAAAACGTCTTTAAATAGCCATAAATGAAATAAAATAACTAAAACGGAGTCCGTGTCGGGGGTGAACTTTCGAACTTTGCCAAAATGTTAATCAAGAATTATCATTTTAGGGATTTTGAGAGCCTCTCAAAAGACGATGCAATGAAAAATAACGAGTTGGTAAGTCGAGATCAGTTTATTCACTGCTATTACCAAAACTCAACATAGCGACGACACACGTATGAACATCAGTAGACGTCTTGCTTGATACGATAAGCAATAAAAAAAGTAAACTCGCAACTCTTTTTATTCGTAAACTGTCGAAAAAATAGCTGAGTTGAAACAATGTCTCAAAATTTGTCTTTTCAGAAAGTCAAATTCTTTCATGTTTTATTTGCTGTGTTAAACCGAGTTTCATTGACCAAAATTAAACGTTCGTCTGTTTGTTTGCTTTCAGGCTTTCAAAATTGCCCAGGAGGTATTAAAGGTACCAGCATTATTGGACGCAGAGGACCTGGTGTCGATGGAAGTTGTTGATGAATTGAGTGTGATGACCTATGTGTCAATGTTATACAAGCGAATGACCAAGCAATCACGTTCTGGTAAGTGTTGCGTTTATACGTCACACCAAATACATATATATATGGTTTCTTCATTAGAGGCCGGCGGTATCTTCAAAAGACCAGGTATTCGCAGACATTCGAAAAACGGACGAGCAAATAAGGTTCTTCTGCTGGTCTTCTCCTTTCCTACGGTTGTCGCATGAGAAGGAGCTACAAGTACTTGAGAGAATATGACTGGAAAAAAAAACACTGCATATTCGAGAAAAAGAAGGGAGTAAAAGATAGAGTGTTGTTCCGTTATTGTTGTTACCCAACGCCTAGCGCCGTCATTCCAGCAGATTTGCAACCAACTCCAAGTTTACTGAAGTTCAAAATCATGACTGATAAAAACAAATTCTTTTCCTTTTTTAGCCCCCACAAGTCCAACTGCCACATCTCCGACAGGTATGGTATAAATTTTAAAAAATCTGTATTTTTTTGTTGAGTGTACGTCCGAGCATTAAAAATCCAAACTAGGCCAGTTATAACAGCTTTAAATCTTCCTGATCAGGGACGTAGCTAGGGGAAGGTCCTGGGGGTCCTGTGACGCCCATTTTTGTGAGATAATTGTTTTATGTCCCTATGATTGTGACCAAAACGCGCGAATCTGAAGAATTTACATGCAATAAATATTTTCAAGCGCTAGATAGTTCTATTCTCCATTTGCGGGACCGCATATCTGTAGTGGACCAGTGAGACTAAAATAAAGTAATTTATGTAACGTGAAACTTAATTCATCTATGCAGCTATTTTGTAGACTTTCCCTTCCCCCACGCTCACTGCTCAATCGAAAACATGTCACTTTTAGTAAAACGCGGCGTGGATGTCGACATGCCAATCTGGTAAGTACCCTAGGTGTGACACAGTGTGACCTCCCCCCTTTGAAAAATCCCAGCTACACCCCCTGCTGATCCAAACTAAGCCAAATAAACTTAAGCATAAAAGGTGATTTTGGATTTATATAACAATCTTTAACCCGAAGAGTTCAGATCTAATTCCTCTAAATCGAAAACCCATTGTGGAGGGCTCGAAACACTGCAGTTTGGTGCACATATTTATGTGTCCCTCATGCAGGAACAATAACTTTGTCTCTTGATTGCATTAGTTAGTTGGGTGGTTTTGTAATCACTACAGGCCGGAGAGGCTTTTACTGTTTGAAATTTGTACATTTGGGTTTTTGCTTCATTTTCAGGTCAAACGCGAAGAACCCTTTTCGATGTCCTCAAAGATGAGAATAACTTCTCTGAAATTTACGAGAAACGGAGAAATCGCCTTAGTTCTGGTGAAGTGAGCCCCACGAGCAAGACTAGCAGAGCAAGGAGCACATCACAAGAACTTGAGCAGGAAAATCAGGCTGAAAATGAATTCAAATAGGATGTGTAATATTCTGTAGCACCAAGAATATTTAATCAAAACCAGGCGTGTTATTGGCCAGTGTGGTTGGGCGTGGGACTGGGACGCGTTAACATGTCTAGCATTAGGGGGCTTAAGCAACGACCACAGCGACGGAAAAGAGAGCGGCAAAAAAGCAAACTATGCACGTGCATCACACTTTTTTGTACATTTCTTTGCCATCACTGCACAAAAATGCCAAATTTCACGTTTTGTGAAGGACAAAACAAGAGACGAGGAAAGTTTTCTTCCCCTCTTTAAACTTTGATATGGTTCTTATAGGAATTCAACTCCAGGAGAGCCTACAGTTGATACAGTAAGTTAGTAGTGGAATTATCGCAACGAAGATTGGAAGAACGCGACTTCACATGACTAATTTCAGCTGAAATTTAAACGACGTATGTTTCACTGCTTTAAGCTCATGCCGTTTTGTTCAGTTCGTCCAATGTTGGCAAATTCTCCTAACTGTAGTTGAATTATAAAAGACTGTATCGAAGTTTAAGAAAAGAAAACGAAAGTCGTGGTGTTGTGGCGTCCTCCACAAAACGTGAAGTCACGTTTTTGCTGATCTAAACCTGTTCCTTTTTTCGCCGTTCTCGTTACCGTCGCATATGCAGAGGTGACCGGGGTAAACACTGTCCCATAGTGCAATTCGACAAAAAACGTGCCTTGTCTCAAGCGCAACCTCTGAATAGCCAATACCCAGAAGCCTATGTGGTAAAAGAGCCAAAACCATATCTGTGGACGTTATATCAATATATAGTGTTTGATATAATACTTTAGCTTGCGTTTATACATAGTTGAAATGACTTTACTTGACACCAAGACAGACAGAAAGCAAGGGGCATATACACCAACCCACGACCTGGCTAGTACCTCACGCATGCGCAAAGCCATATCACCCGGGCAGTGGCAGCTATAGAAAGCTTTTTCGCCCTTAGCTTGTTGGGGCTCATCAGCATGACAGCCGCCAGACAAAGCCGTGTATTAAAGGCCCTTTACCGCCAAGGCGAGTGGAGACACTCCTTTAAGCGCAGTTTGTCCTATTTGACACTGTATTTTAGCATCTTATCTTTATTCCATGTATATTTTAATATAGTTTTAAAAACTGTACACAACAGACATTCAAACGTTAACTATATTACTCTTCTTTAAGTGTCCTTAATTTTTTAAAAAATACAGCGTTGACGCTAGGTCATACCATAGAATGGAAACAGCCCTCGTTGCGTTTGGATTAAATAGTCGATCAAATAGGCTAAAGAGGCCGATCCTTTCGGGCAGCCGTTACTTTCAGATGGTTTCTGAAAGGCAGACTGTAACTAAAGAGGATGGTTCCAGGTTGACCGTAACGTATAACTTAAGTGATTTCATTAAATGTTTGAATTATACCTTAACGCATACAACTTTTAACATGTTGCTTAGTCCCTGGCTGCAGTCACGCCGTTCCTTCCTGAAAACAGCACACAGAGTGGCTTAAACACGGAGAGTGTACAGTCCAAAGATTTTCACACATTTTATACATGCTCTCTAGACGTATCTGGTTATTTTAGTATTCTCCGTGTTAGCCTTCCGTCCACACGTTAACGGCGTTTTCGAGCACCAAAAACGATCCCCAGAGGGAAGACTTTGAAAACGAGTCCGGGTTCTACTGTTTACCGGGGCATGTTTCATTTTTGGGGTGTTTGTTTGTTTGCCTTGTGTGTATTTTCCCCCCCCTGTTTTCGGCTGTATGCATTTTTTCAGGTGAATATTTCATGTATGTAAAATTTTTCTTCATCCCCCCTCCCCCCGCCTGGATAACACATAACAGGCGCTTGTTGAACCAAGCTAGGCGAACACGGCAGTTTGCAATTCTCGCAAAATGCCGCATTCGCCTAGTTTGGCTCATTAAGTGCCTGTTTTGCACGCTAAAGGGCTCTGGGTATCTTATTAGTACTTAATTTCGCAAATTTGGCGAGACAGTATTTCGTGGTTTTATTTTAATTGCGAGATTTTAACAAGTAAACATGAAAAAAAGACATTAATTTTCGCGATTTAAGCGTTCTCAACTTCATTTTCTTTTTTTAAAAAGTCTGAACCTTTAAGAAAATTAGACAAACTGGAACAAACAATGTTAAAATCTTTGCAAACTAACGTTATTTCACATACCCTGGTCCCAGAGGTTTTTCTTGATTTTTCTTGGCGAAAGAGATCAACAGCAAGCCGCGATGCGGCGACAACGAGTCGCGTAAGCGACGAGGAGAGAGAGAAAAACCTCTGGTTACCTTGACCTCGAATCTCACTTCCATGCAGACGACAGCTGTCAAACGCGTCAAATTGCTAATAAAAAGAGTGACCAATGGCAACTTAGCAAACACGTGCTTATCAGCCGCTATTTTTTTAAGTGGGGGTAGACCTGGGGAAATTATGTTATGAACAAACCATCTTCACTTGGGTGGTAAAGAGTGATTTGTTAATCGGGGTCAAGCTAAAGCATGTGTTAACAATGGGCGACAGGAGTCCAGGAATAAGAAGACCACTTTATAAAGAAACCGACATTGTTCCAAATGAATGCTGCAGGATTTGCAGAATTTATTTGGGTATAATAACAAGGATTTTTCACAAACATTGTCATCTGTTCTGTCGGCAGTGTGCCAGCGGGAAGTTGTAAAGTTTGCAAGAGTCTATCAATCGCGCTTATTACATTGTTTACTTCTGCGGGGCGCGCCGTTCGCGTCGATGCGCGGGCATTCCCCTGAAAATAGTAATATTAATATGTATTCTGGCAATCTGGCTCGCATTTTGGTTTGGTTGCTACATTTCCTTTTTTTGTGGAACAGCGACGCTAGGAAGAGTCATGCAGCACAACAAACCCTTAAGGTTCGGAATGTACTTTCAGAGGTTTTTGTTGGCCCAATAGACCTATTCGGCTAACTCAATGTACCCAATTCAAACCCTCTGGGAATAAAACGTTTTGTTTCAGGAATTTCCATATCATTTAAATGTGAATACCACATTATAATGCAAGTGCAATACACAAAGAATCTTATCCCCGGGAGATTTGAATTGGGTACAACATTGAGTTAACCGAATAGGTCTATGCCAAAAATAGCGTCGGTTAGATCTTTTTTGGGCGTCGCAGGAAAATCAAGCTGCACCGAAAATGATTACGCACTTGTACAAAGTTGTATGTTTTTTTTTTCCTACAAGGAAACTTTCATTCCGTATTCGGAGATTTTTTATTTTGCTGCCCTAAACAAGTTAGTTTATTTAATGGAATGACAGTATTGTAACAGAAAATATACTTTCCATGTCCGGTTGATAAAATGGTGAACACATCCTTTCGACTCAACGCAGCGAACAAAGCTTTCTTTTGTTGCTCAGTGAGACTCGGGAAAGCGCTCATTAAGTACCGAGGTCAAAATTTCTTCGAATATTCTTGCAGGAACAACATCCATGGCGTGCCTCTACGTGCCTTGGTCCCGTGCAAATGTTATTGCGAGTGAAGCATACAAACAATTTTCTTCCCTAGTAGAGAGAGGCAAAATGAGGTGTGAAAATCCTCAGCGTCCCCTCGGTAGTTACAATTAAACGAGCCAATCAAATTGGTTTGCGCGTTTGAAAAAATATCAACCAATCAACGCCCGAGGGTCAGATCCTGACCCTGTCGTCTGCATGGAAGTGAGATTCGAGGTCAAGGTAACCAGAGGTTTTTCTGTCTCTCCTCGTCGCTTTCGCGACTCGTTGTCGCCGCTTCGCGGTTTGCTCTTGATCTCTTTCGCGAAGAAAAATCAAGAAAAACCTCTGGGACCAGGGTATATTTCACAACGAAAGATACAAAATGGAGCTTACAAGTAAGACCAGGAAGCAATTTGTGTTTGTCGATACATACTGTATATCGTTTCTAAAGATGTCAATAGGACAATTGAGGGTCTGGATGGGGGGGTACAAATGTCAGTTGTCAGTTAAATTTTTGGCCTTTTGTCAGTTAAATGATTATTAATAATTAACTATGAAACTTATTTGTTCGTTTTCGATCCGAAATTTAACTAAAAAGCAATGTTCTTACTAGGATTTTCTACACTGGGGTCGACAGGACCCATAGAGTAGCTAAAAGGGGGCCACGAGGGAGAAAAGCAGGTCACAGTATATGAGTACATCCTTCAAGACGACGGAGCTTCGGAACGCATCATTTCACACATTAGCATTCGCAGAAGTCGTCATTTTATGGACATCGCTGATTGGGTGTTTCGTAAAGTCGCTATCACCAACAGACCTTTTTACCGATACGTCGGCCATATTGAATTAATTCGATTTAAGGAGTATTATAGGATGCCCAGGGGGCATGAGCACATTTCGTTTGTATTTTCGAGCGCTTTTCGGGACATTTTTTCTTAAAATTTTCTTAGAATAAGATTGTAATGGCAAAAAAGATCCTTGTACCGTGTTTGGATGTAATAATGATCGCCTTGTTCTAGTTTAGTATTAGCAGAAACCAAGAGACTATAAAGGGGACAGAGAGGGCATCCCCCATATACACCCTATTCCATAGGTAATTCGTCTCGAGTTATTTTTAGAATCGAGATAAAGTTACCTCGCGCGACGCGTGGATGTTTCGTGGACGTTTCGCATGACCAAACGCCGTGCAAAACATGTCGGGCGAGAGGCAATGAAAGCGTAAAAAGATCGAGAGCATTCCTGAATATTGAAGCGAAATGAGTCGGCGCTCACCTGGGAAAAAGGAATCGCTGGACTCTTTGACAACCCGTGAAATCAGTTTAACTCGAAGTTGTCGTAACCTCAGTGCTTTAGTAAAATGAGAAATTTCGCCGGTCTATTGAAACCGGTCGTTTGTACAATTTAGGGAGTTTAAGATCCAACGACGCGGACGACAACTAGAACGTCAAAAAAACAATAGGTTTAATTAGCAAAACAACATCTTCGCACGTGCAACACACTTTTTTGTTCATTTCTTTCCCGTTTTTGCACGACTACGACGTGAAAATGCCTAATTTCGCGTTTTATGGAGGACGTAAATAAGCAACGACGCTCTAGGAGGGTTCGCCTACAATTGACAAAGTAAGTGGGTAGGAATAATCGCTATAAAGACTGAAAAAAATAAACATCAAACCAGAAATTGCTCTCTTCAAACTGTAAAATTATAAATGATCCTGAGAGAATATTCAGTGTGTTAAGGATTTCCCTGCTCTACTGTTAGCTCTATACAAGAGAGGAAGGGCGATTCTTTTTTAATTTCGGTTTCGCTGACACAGCTTTCGCAGAAGTCTCGCTGTAGTCGTTTTCGTCGACAAAGGGAATAGCAAAATCGCTCTCCGCGTCTTCCCCCATTTTGTTCTGCGTCATTTCGTGAAGGACGCGCGGCTCTCAGCGTGGGTCATCCACGCGGAACACATTCGCGCTATGTGATTGGCTGTTGTCTAATCCCCCTTGAGATCTGTGGTGTTAAAAATAACTCGAGACGAATTACCTATGGAATAGGGTGTATATGGGGGATGCCCTCTCTGTCCCCTTTGTAGCCTCTTGCAGAAACCCATAAGGGGTTGAAACGTGTAACTCGCTTCGCGCGCGCAAGGAGCTCCGCGACAATCGCGAAAAAGTGGCAGGCTAGGTTACATAGCTGAATATCAAGATGGCGGCTCAGGTGCGTCTTTTGGTTTCCTTTCAGTTTGTGAAAAGATATATAAATCAGGCTTACAGCCATTAAGCCCGGGCTTAACAAAAATGTGGGTTATAATGAGCTCAATGTACTCGCATGTTGACAGAGCGTGAAATAGCATCTCATACAGACACTTGTAATTGTCTGCTTCCGGCTGCTCATGGAAATGTTGTTGTCTGCAAACTAGCTAGGAAGTCTGTTGCTTTAATAACGCGCCATCTTACCTAGCTAGCCAACTAGTTTGTATTGTTTGGCAGAAGGATGCGATAAGTGCTAAATCGGAGCACCGAGCACCATAGGAGTTGTGAGCCATAATTCAGTTCCGATTCCACATGAACGGTTATTTCGATTCTCGAGTTTCGTTTTACGACTCTCCGATTCTTCCGATTTTCCGATTCTTGCCCGGTTGTTTCGATTTTTGCAATTTATTCTTTTCAGTTTTCTTCGTTTTGCGATTACGATACTCCTCGTTCTTTAAGTCATAAAGCGATCTTAAGAAAAAAGCACGCTGCAAATGTAATACTCCTCAACTTCCTCGTTCTAGAAGTCTTAAAGCGAAACAAGCGCGCTCCTTCAAAATTTTGAGAATCGTACAATCGGAGACTTGTTACCGCAGCCATTTGGGTAAAATCACACAATAGCACACTACAGTTGTAAAATAGTAAAATCGGGAAAATTGGAAGAATCATATAATAGGAGAATTGTCTTAAAAATAAGTTTTCTTGATTGCAGAATAGCAAAATTGGAATGTAAAATCAGAGAATAGTACCCCCCAATCGGTTATACTCTTTTCCAATTCCAGTTCTTTAGTTCATGTAGTACTTCTCGGCTTCTAATACACTCTAATTGTTGTCTTGTTCTAGGCAACCTCTCTTGAAGTTATAAAATCTGCTGCAAGAAAATTTATAGATTTTGTCAACAATGGTCCTTCTCCATACCATGGTAAAAAAAAGACTGCTTCTATTTGTTAATAAATATGTACCATGTTGGGTGTCTAGAAAACAACGACCTTGAAAATGTCAACCTAGAAAACGATGGCCTAGAAAATAACGACCTAGAAAACAATGATTTAGAATTGTGGTTGGGGGAGAAGGGAAGTGAGAGCTCAGGAGAATAGGGGCGGGAGAGGAAAGGGTGGTAGGTGGGACTTATAAAAAGGGTGGGAAATGGGAGAATCAAAAGAATTATTAGCAATGCTTAATATGTGGCAGTCAAGAAAACAGCTAAAGTTGTTAGGCCAAGTGTTAAAGGGGCAGAAGACTGGAATGAAGGTAAGGAAGATGGGCGAAACTGAAGCAGCGAGGAATACAGTTGACTCCAGATAAACTTGAACTTCCCGCTAACTCAAAGTAATTTTTGTTTCTTCTCAGATCATTTCTATATAAATTTACTCTTGATAACTCAAACCATGTTTTGAGCGCTTATAAAGTAAAAAAAAAACAGTGTACTGGCATCCGGAACATTGAATTTTGAATTTATACCATTGACGTGTTGCAGGCAGATAGCTTACTAGTGGAGGCTAATGTTGTTAATTTGTCACAAATCTAACGTGAAACAGCTTTGCTTCTCAAAATATTTAAACTCCTGCTCTATTTAGGCTATGTTGTGTAACTTTACTCTCTGGAAAGTTCTAAGGGACTAGATGATATAATATTTAAAGAAAGGAAACAGGACATTTTCTGGTATTTTTAGATTTAAGGATTTCTTTCAATGAATGTAGCTGATAACAAGAAAATGTAGAGAATTTCCATGATGATAGATACCTATAGTATAGTACTTAGCATTTTTATTAAAAATAATTGGTAATGCCATATAGATCTTTGTAGGGTCACTGAATGAGTTGAGGTCAATGCCATTTTATTTCAGTTGTAAATGAATGTCGAAAAGTTCTAACACTGGCAGGATTTAAAGAGCTTAAAGAAAGAGACCATTGGGATATTAAACCAAATGATAAGGTGGGTAGGGAATTGATAGATGACCTAATTGTAATTTTGATCATTCCTTTGCTAACTAAATGCTCAGATCTCCAGCCTTGAGATGAACTTAAGAAAATGACATCTTACTGGTAAAGTCCTTCTGGTAAATGATACTCTCTTCAATTTTGCTTGTATGTGTAGCTGTAACTGCACAGTATCTCTAGGACTTACAGTCAAAAATGCTTATAAATAATTAATTATTCACTAACTGACTACTTAATGCAGGTAAAAATAACAAAGAAAAATACAGGATACCTAAATAGTGGCTGCAGCCACTTAATAGAGGTAGCAATTTAATACAGGGCCGTTGTGTACAGGGTCCACTGTATACATGTACTTCTTTTAGCTTACATATATACCCAACCAATGCAAACTGATGAAAGTCCTTTGTTATTTTTTAACTTCCATCAGCATGTGGATTACTACACTGTAAACGTCATTATACTTTATCAAGTATTATAGTCATTAACATTGACTTCCTTTCTGCAGCAGGACTAGCTCACTCAGTAGAGTACTCAACAACACACGGTTTGCACGGGCCTTGAAAACTCCTTGAAGAACTATCATGTCCTGTAAAGTCCTTGAAAATTGAAAAATTGTGGGATATTCTTGGATAAAAATAACCTTCGTTAAAAGAAAGTTTTATGCAAAGGAATGATTGAAAACACAGCGACACACAAATTTTCTTGCCTTGGTGATCATGAAAGTGTTATCTTATGATTTCGGTGTTCGCAGCATAGTTCATTTTCCATTACACATTTGATTTAGGTTTTTACTTCATGTTACTGTAGAAAAGAAGTCCTTGAAAAAATGACTTTAGTCCTTGAAAAGTCCTTGATTTTTTCCCAAAAAATTCTGTATGAACCATTCAACAGAGCGGGAGGTCCAAGGATAAATCCTTGCGGCCAGACCTACGCATGGCTTGGATGAACTCATACCACGAGGAGACATAAAAACAGTACACTCAATTAGTATTTTCATGCTAAATATGTTGACACTTACAGCTGTACCAGTAAATTGCCTTGTTTTCCTCATTAGTAACCTAATGTATTCCACTATTGTTTTTTTTATAATAAAATATTATAACAATGTTTCCTATCAGTGTTTTGTGACCAGGAACCATTCAACAATAATTGCATTTGCTGTTGGTGGAAAATATCAGCCTGGAAATGGTTTCACCATTGTGGGTGCACACACAGACAGTCCCTGTCTAAAGGTAATAATACTGCTAATTGCAAGTACCCTTACCACCTGTAATCAGACACCCTTAGGACCAGAAGTAGTGTCCACTATTCAAAGGTGTCGATCCATGGTATAGTGGTCTTGGGCCAATACAATATTACCGAGTGTAGCCCTCACACTTTGTTAGGACCAGAAAAGTGTCCACTGATGGGAGATGTCTGTCTGTGGTCTCAGTCCATACTGCATTTGGGCTGATATATTACCCAGTGTAGCCCTCCCTCCTGGCGAGGACCAAAAGTGTCCACCGACCAATGGGAGGTGTCCATTATGGTCTCAGTCCATACCGTTGTCTTGGGCCAAATTGCCCAGTGCAACCCTTGCACTCAGTGTCCACTGATGGGAGGTGTCTGTATGAGGAATTAGGTTGAAAATAATAGTTGTTTTTATGTGCCTGACTGGGAAGGTAACAATTTATTGTCCAAAATTGACCCAGGCCCCAATGGGAATGACTTAGAACATTATATGACGTCTTACATGATGTTACATGATAAAGAGGAGGTATCAAGCTGTAATTAGGAAGGTAATTAATGCAGTGTTAATATATTTCCTGGACTATAATTTTACTAAATGTCTGCTTAAGGGAGCTGGCTGCATATGAGAAGTGTCCCAAGTTAGGTCTGTTCAGGTAAGCCAAGCAGAACATGGGATTCACCACTTCATCTTACCCCTTGCAGAACCAGCCATATAATGAAAACTAATTTTTGAAGTGCTATTAATCAATGGCAGGTGAAGCCCAATTCTAAGAAGTGTAGTAATGGATACCAGCAGGTCGGTGTGGAGTGTTATGGAGGTGGAATCTGGGCCACGTGGTTTGACAGGGATTTAAAACTTGCTGGCAGGGTGGTAACCAAGGTATGCCAATAGAATTAATTTTTATGTTGAAATTCATCAGATTCAAAACAACGAGAAGTTAATACAAGCTTTTTTTTAACTGATCGGTGTTTATTTTACAGAGAGGTGATAAACTGGAACACCATCTGGTTCACATTAACCGACCAATCATGCGAGTTCCTCATCTGGCCATTCACCTTCAGCGGGATATCAATGACAAGTTTTCACCAAATAAAGAAACTCACATGTAGGTATTAGTGGTGTTGATGTCACCAATGAAAAATGATTTTATTGTACAAAAATATAATATGTAAAACAACATTTTGATTATGCATTTATAAGAAAATGCAGAGTAAATTTCAACTGATCAGCAATAGTGACCCCTTTTAATTATTAGAAACTGGAAGTTCTTTTTTCTGACAGATTCCCTCTCTCTTAGTGACTTGTTCAAAGAATGATCAACTAATAAATTTATTCCAATTTTGCATCATCATACTGTTTATATGAGTTTCGTAATAATTATCAAGTAAAATTTGCCAAGTTGCAATGTTATGCCTGAAAATTATGGATAGCATTCTGAAATCTTGAGCATTTCAAATTAAACTGAAATGGGATTACCATGGTCAGTTAGTGTACATCCTTGTGCACAGGAGGTTCAGATTTTGATTCCCAGGTGGGACTTCAAATCTTTGTTCAACCTTCAAATCTTTGTTCAAACTTCAAACCTTTGTTCTTTGTTCCTTTCTGTGGATCAGTACTGAATCTGATGGAGACAGGGGGGTAAAATGAGCACACTTTTGGCCTTAGGTTCGTCAGTTTAAGTACTGTTACAAGCTACCAACATAAGATAAGGGCCTTTGCTTTTTTAAAATACCACACCTGTGTTTTAGCAGATAATTAGGATGGACAGTTTACTTAAGTTTACTGCCCTGCTTGCAAAACATCTTTGTGTACTGTTTATCAAAATGCCAAATTATTTTGTAGTTTCAGAAGTTATCCATACATGTACTGTACCTTCTCCACCAAATGAATTCTGTCGAAGTTCCAAAAGGTTAAAATTTCATTGCTCCCAGCTGGATTGCCCCCTCCTCCCCCAGGAGTTTCCAATTCCTTCTGTGAGGGGGCGGGGGGAGGATTTGTTTATTAACTTTTCTCAGTCTAAACTAGTATTCAGCTGAGGTTACCAGGGTTTACTAAGGACAATTCTGACAGTGAAGTACTGGTTTTGAACAGAGAAGAGAATTTACCTAAACCAGTGTTTAGCATTTTAGTTATTGCTTTTCCTCTCTGAATTGTAGTGCTCCTATTTTGGCAACTTGTGTTTATGAGGGACTGGTAAATGGCACATGCAAAGATGACAGTGAGAAGAAATCAGAGGAAACCAAAAAAGCCTGTAGGGTGAGTACTAATGAATCAGGTCGAGTCATTCAGCATTTGATAGTGATGACAGTACTGTATATAGCAGACATTTTAAAAAATACAAACGCAAATCTTTTCCTATATACTGCATGTCTGAAATATTTTTAGTGCCCAGATTAGCCAAGCTATTTGCAGGTGAAACAGTTTGTAAATTTTCCACTTTAATGGTGAAATATACTTGATTTTGATTTGATGTAATTTACATGTGCTTGTAGCTTAACGTTGCATTCATTTAAACAGATTGATTCTCACCAGTCAGAGTTGGGCAGACTATTGGTGCAGGAAATTGGCTGTCAGCCACAGCACATTTTGGACTTTGACCTTCACTTGGCTGACACCCAACCTGCGGCAAGTATACAAAAATGTTATTGTTTACATATCTATGTACTGGTATGTTTTTAAAAATAGTAAACTGTATGATAAAAAATTGATCAGGAATTAATTAATAATAAACGTATGATGTAAAAGAAATCAGAGCAAACATGATGGTAAATAATAGTAATATTTTATTGCACTGTCATTCAGACCAGTCATTTGGACTGAGTTGTTAAGGAAATCATGGAGCCTGTGCATTATATAGTGGAACCCCGTTAACACAGTCACCAAGGAGCCAAAAAGATTTGACCTTATTAATGGGTGACCTTATTAACAATGGTTTTCACAAGAAAATGTATGGCCGTTTTGCCGAGCGGCTAAAAAAGTGGCTTTAATAACAAGGTGACCATATTACTGAGGTGGCCATGGGCTGGGTTCCACTGTATTTACCATTTTTACTTCAGATTTATACCATGTTCAGATCATCTTCGTGATATGATTTATTTGGTTCAACTTGTAGCAAGAGGTATCCCTGCCAGAGAAAACAGAAGATCTGTAACCAGAATACATGATGTGAGAATTTTCAAACTGTTCTCTGATTGAAATTTCTGGTTAAAAATCTGATCATTCAACAACCTGTGACTGTTATGATTATTACTATTAAGACTTGTAATTTCATTGGTGTGTTTCAATCCGTCTATTGTCATAGTTAAACATAGCCAATAACATCACGGCTTAACTGACAGACGATCAATAACATCTTTTACTTAATTGACCAATCAGGTCAACAACCAGTGCCGGGTTCCTAGAAAGATGGTTAAGTTTAACCCAGGATTAAGGGAAATTATAAGCATGGTTTTCTTGCTAAGAGCATGTAACTCAAGCTTACAAAATACTGTTGACCCTTTACTTGGAGACACAGTAATGATGTGGAAAACACGAGTACACACCAAATAGTTCCGAAAATCTTACTAAGTTTAATGTCCACTATCCTTAGTCCTCAATGTAATAACGAAACCGAACAACAAAGTTTTTCTGCGAACTCGATCAGTCTTTCGAACCACGAGGTCCGTAAAACTACTACTCAAAACGAGGCTTGATAAACATGACTTCATGTAACAGTCACGAATGTTCAAACGTTCTCAACACCCTCCCCCCATTTAAGTGTTTATCAGCTTAAATGTCAGTCGCCATCTTCAAATTCTTGTGCAGCAATGTCTTTGAACAGCTTATTGGCAATCTCTTTGGTCCTCCTGCTTGACCTCACTCTTGGTACGAACACTTCGGCTTCAGGGTTAAGCTTGTAATCAGGATTCTCTCCTCCAATTTCCAAGTTACACACAAGTTGCAGGGGACGCTCGACAACATATCCATTTCCTTGCCTCAGCTTTAATCCGCGCACCACTCCATCTCTGCCAGTAATCCTACCTACCACTCGTCCCAGCTTCCATAGCGCTCTATCCCTAGCTTCACCTTTCAATAACACTACCGCCCCTGTTTCCGGGATTTTTGCATCGTCTGCAGTGGAACTAGATTTCCTTTCTCCAAGGGCGTGCACGTATTCTTTCAAAAACCTCCTTCGAAGCTGCTCCTTGCTTCTTTGCAAGAATTTCATCCTCCTTGACACTTTCTCTTCGCCAATTGCCTCAAGATCTTCGTCCAAGACTGGGGTTGGTTTCCCTCTTAGTAAGGTGTTTGGGGTAAGCACTGGTTGCTCAAACTCCTCTCCCTGATAAAGTAGTGGTCGATTGTTCATACAGTTCTCTATGTCAATCAGGACATCTTCCAGCTCTGGATAGGTCAGAAGGCTTCGTCCGACCGCCTTTGAAAGTGCCCTCTTCATGATACCAATGAGACGCTCAAAGAAACCTCCCCACCATGGGGCTCGGGCTAGGTTGAACTTCCACCTTATATTCAGAGCTCCAATGTAACTTGCAAGATCGTGATCCTTCTTGAGGGTAGACAACCATTTCCCTGTAGCCACAAATGTTTTTCCATTGTCACTTACAAGGGTCTGAGGGCATCCTCGCCTGGCAATAAACTCCTTTAGGGCTCTTTGAAATTCAGCAGCAGAGAGATCACGACAAAGCTTCAGGTGTACTGCGCGGGTGCTGGTACAGGTAAATAATGCAATGTAAGCTTTGGCAGTAACAGATTTCTTCACCCTGTAGTAAACTGGACCAGCAAAGTCCACCCCTGTCACTGCAAAAGGGTCAGACATCTCGACCCTAAAGGTTGGCAGAGCTGCGGTTGTCACATGTGAGGCAGATATAGGTTTCTCCCGGTAGCGCTTGCAAACATTACAATTCTGAATCACTTTTTTCGTCAATGACCTCAGTTTAGGAACCCAAAACTTCTCTCGCATGCGGCACATAATTACTGAAACTCCCCCATGCAGCATTTGTTTGTGCACTTGTTGAACAACCAGCGATGTTAGTTCACATTCTCGAGGTAGGAAGATTGGATAATAACCAGGGACTCTGCTAACACATCTCAATATTCCATCTTCATCCCTTTCAAGGTTTACACCTGATTTTGGAGCTCGAACCGCTTGTGCCTGGGTAATCCAGAACCTCTCTGCTGCTTGCAATTCTTCTGTCTTCAGTGGTCCTTTCTGTTTCTCTGTTTCTTTGCAGTTGTTAACAAATAGCTTGACATAAGCAGTCACCCTTAGCAGTTTCCAGTATGATGAATACCTGTGTAGAAGCTCGTCCACTATCAGATCCTTCTTTTCTTTTTTGGCGAGCATTTGGTTCTCCAATTTAGGTTTCACAGTCTCTGCTACTGTCTCGGAGGTCTCACACACTTCAGGTTGCGATGGCCACTTGTCTGGACTGCTTAGCCAGTTCGGTCCCTCAAACCATAGCCTTCCCAACTTTCTGGGCTCAGCACCTCTGCTTCTTTGGTCGCTCGGGTTTTTACTGGTGGGCACATAATGCCATTTCAGGTATCCTTTGTCTTGAATAGCTTGAGTTCTATCACGCACAAACTGAGTCCAAGTTCCTTGTCCTTTAATCCAGTAAAGAACAGTGGTGCTCTCGACCCAGCAGTGATACTCTTCAACCAGCTAACCTTGAAATACTTCCTTCACATGATTCATCAGCTTGCTAAGTGTATGTGCAGCGATAAGTTCCAAGCGTGGGATTGAGGGTTCTCTTAGAGCTATCCTCGACTTTGCAACAAGGAGATTCTGACAAACTGGGGTAGCTGCATGAAATACAAGAGTGTAGATAGCTGCTGAAACTGCTAGCTTGCTGGCATCAGAAAGGCCATGAAGTACTACTTTTGTCACATCTTTGTTCACAACACTTCGGGGAACTGATAGCACTGGGCACTCCTAATCCTCTCAGCCACTTTTTCCAGGATCTCCAAATGTCATCAGGTAAGTGCTCATCCCACTTCGGTTTGCTTTAGCAAGTTTCACTGTACAGGATCTTTCCTGTGATCACCACTGGTGCAGCAACACCCAGCAAGTCACATACACCATTGATGGATGACAGTATTTTCCTCTTTGTCGGTGGGCCTTCAGGAACTGCCTGTAACGGTTTCATGAAGCCAATGGAAGGTTTATCTTCTGTTTTGTTCCATGGAACTCCCAGTATTTTTGTTTCCTTTGGACCAGTTCCTACCTCTAGCTTGGCATAAGTCATACTTGCTTGAGAGGACACTGCATTGTCTTCAGTTCGCTGACATTCTTCCAACTCTGATAGGTTACTGTACCATTCGTGGAGATAAAAACCACCTTCCTCCATAATCTTTGTGGCCTCTTCTTTAAACTTAATCAACTGATCGCTGTGATCTCTGCCTGACTGGACATCATCCACATAAGTGTTGTTCAGCAATGCATCAGCCGTATCAGGAAACTTTTCAGTATACTGGCTCACATGTTTCTTGAGTGTCGCCCCGAGAATGTAAGGACTAGGTCCTGACCCGAAAATCACTCTAGTGTATCGGTACTCTGTAACTGTCCTTGAGTCAAGGTTCTCGTACCACAGGAGCCGAAGGACATCTCTATCCTTCGGATCCACTTTTATCTGAAGAAAGGCCTTTTGGATGTCCCCGGTAATACACAGCAAGCTCAGGCGATTTCGTAGAAGAATGTCAAAGATCATGGGCTGCAAAGGGGGTCCAACTTCCAGACAGTCATTAAAGGAAGGTACTTGAGAATTGGCCTTAGCTGAGCAATCATACACTATCCTCATCTTTGTAGACTCTGCCTGGTCTCTGATTACTGGATGGTGGGGAATGTAATGTATTGCTTCTCCAGTGGGTATTTCTGGCACCACCTCTATGATTCCTTCTTCTAACTGCTGCTCCATAACAGTATGATACTCCTCAAGTCTCTGCATCCTCTCCAGCTTTCGTGTGACACTTCTTAATCTCCCAACTGTCAGTTCTTTGTTTGAAGGTAAAGAGATATGATTCGGTTTCCAAGGCAGTTTCGTGCAGTAGGTACCATCCTCCAATCTTTTTAGCTGATCTATGAAATCTTCATGGAAGGAATCACAGACATTCTCCAAATCTTTCAGGCCAAGCACTTCCTGAGAACACATCTGCGCGAATTCATTCTGACTAGAGTTCATGAAGAACATCTTTTCTGCCTCAGCACTCAGAGGGGTAGACTTTCCAGCGATGACCCATCCCAACATGGTGAACTCTGCTCCGGGATCAGTGTCGGGGTTAAGACCTAGAACTGGGGGCTCGGTTGACTTGATTCGTTGAATATCAGCTGCTCCAAGGATTATGTGTACTGGTAACTTCTGAGCAGTCGCTTGCTCCTCACTAAATACCAGCCTTCTTATGCGATGATTCTGTTCCTTCAGTTCAGAGATTTTAGGGTTAGGCAGGTAGGTTAAAACAGGCTTCTCAGCACTGACACATTGCAACTCTATTCCAAAACTATCAACTACATTTGATTCAACATGGACTTTGTATATTTCAACTCGTTTGTCCACTGTCCCATACATTTGCTCAATCACTCTGCTTTCAGTTCGGCACGGCTTAATGTTCAGTTTGGTCAACAGGTTGGCACTGATGTATGAGCTACCTGCTCCACTATCAAGCATGATCCGTGTCTGCACACCATTTACTTTGGCCAGCACTGAAGAGTGCAGGGTTTCTTGATGATCATATGCCCCATAGAACCTGTCCGAGGGAGACTTTGACTTGGGTGGAATGGTTGTAAAGGTTCTTTCACAAATAGATGTATGGTGTCTGGCATTACACCTTCCACACCCACGGGATTTGCACTGGGAAACAGCATGTCCAGATTTTGCACAATTAAAGCAAAGTCTGTTCTTCTTTAGAAACTCCCTTCTGCTGGCAACATCCAGTATCTTGGTACATTCTGAACTTCTGTGTTGGTGAGAGTTACAGTATGCACAGGGTGCGCAAGGTGGAGGGAGCCTAGGCAGTCCTTGATTTGGCCCAGACATAAACATTTTTTCACCTCTTCTCCACTGATTTCCCTGATTCGATCCTACAGGTTTCTTGACATCCTGGTTCTGTGATGACGTTTCAGGTAAAGGATTTCTGTCAGTGTACTTGCGTAGGCTTTCTACAAGCTCCTCCAATCCCCACTCTTCCCATTCATCATCCTTTTGAACTAAAGCTTCCCTCACTGGTCCGAGCTTGTCCATAATGCTGTAAACATAGCTTTGTGCACTTTGCAATTTCTTCATTGTGTTTAAGGCTGTCACAGTTCTAGACAGCTGTTTGTAAAACTCATGGATCTCTTTTACTTTAGTGAGGCTTGTAATGTTTGGAAGCATTTCCAAATCCTTGATCAATGCCTTGAGAACCTTAACGTTTTTACCATAAGTAAGTTCTAGGATCTTTTTTGCTTCTTCATAGCCTTCAACAGTGTGCGGTAAGCCAAGAATGTGACTCTTCGGTTCCCCTTCCACCAGCTCAAGCAAATAATTAAATTTGCTTATCTCAGAAATTTTGGAGTTATCAACTTCTACCACGAACTGATTCCAGAATCTGAGCCAATCTTTGTAATCCCCTTTAAATGGTGTAATAGAATACTTCTGTAATTTAACTGCCTGTGGTTTACTCATTTCCTGTGCAGCCTTTTTTGCATCTAAGGCAAGTTCTAGCTCAAACTTTTTGTTGAACCAATCTTCCTCTTTCTTATGTAATTCCTGTTTCTCTAAATCGCTTAACGCCTCCTTCAGTTTATCTCGTAGGTTTCGCACAGGAATAAAATCTTGTTTACGGGTGTCTGACCACGTTCTTACCTCATCAAAACTAGTATCAGCATCCAACATGGCGTCTTTAACACCGTTCGCAGAATCCTCGAGTGCTTTGTTTATGTCACATATTCTCTCGTAAGCCAAGCGTAAATCCTCTATCACTCCATAGTTAAGTTTTTCCTCAATTTCTCCGACGTAGTAGGTTGCCTTGTTCAATGCCTTCTTGTAATTTCCTTCCGCAAGATCCACCATGTTAATAAAGTAATCTCCCAGTCAATGTCAGTGTTCCTCAATGCAAGATAGTTTCACGTGTCTTCAAGTCAGGTCCTGGCAGGGTCGCCACTTTTGGTGTGGAAAACACGAGTACACACCAAATAGTTCCGAAAATCTTACTAAGTTTAATGTCCACTATCCTTAGTCCTCAATGTAATAACGAAACCGAACAACAAAGTTTTTCTGCGAACTCGATCAGTCTTTCGAACCACGAGGTCCGTAAAACTACTACTCAAAACGAGGCTTGATAAACATGACTTCATGTAACAGTCACGAATGTTCAAACGTTCTCAACAATGATTTACACAAAATGTTTCTCTAAGCAATACATAGGAAGGTAAATACGGAAAGTGGAACAAAATCTTAATCCTGGATTAGTGCTAATCAGCCTTTCAGGAAATGGGCCCAGAGTTTAATACCATCAACTGACTTGAAACAACTCGCTTTTGACTCTGAAGATGACTACCGCTCATGTTGTCGAAACGTCAGTCACTGTCAACAAGAACAGTCCTATTCAGGACTATGACTACCCAGACGCTCATACTCAACCTACTTATAAATAGTAGTACTACTATGAATTAACTATCCCTCCCAGAAGTATTAAACCTGAAAACTACATGTATTTACATTAGAGGTAAATAGCTATGATAATAATCATAAATCGTACAACTAAGAATAATATTAAAGCATAATTTTACAAGGCTTTTTTAAAGTCGTCAATTCCTTTGACCTCTCTAATTTTAGTGGGCAAGGAGTTCCACAACATGGCAGTGATGTAAGAAAAACCCTCCCTAAAAATATAATATTATTAATGGTTAAGCTAATTTTGTCTTCCCAACCTTGTCCCCAGAGTCTTCTCATTTTCCAATATCCTGCCTCCGCCATTATTTACTCACCATATTATTATGTTAAGTACTGTTTTAAATATGACATTAAAAAATCTTATTAAAGCCAAGAACTTCCTGACACATACATTTGTAAAAAGTCATAAATAAACTGTACATACAAAAAAAGATACTACACGAGCGCAACGTTTAAATTGCAATATTTTGGATGGCCATGGTTGCCAATTTTTATAGATATAGTTGCAAGTTTCAGCGTGATGGTCTTTTTCATGCACTTCATACATGTAGATGCTTAGGAGAATGGCCTCAATGTTCCCCCTCAAAGAAAACTCCTGAAAATATTACCTGTTTTCTGCCAACTTGCAGACACAAAGTTTGACACTTTTCTTTTTTCTTTAGACTCTGGGTGGTGCATTGGAAGAGTTTATTTTCTCTCCTCGGCTGGACAATCAAGTTAGCAGCTTTTGTGCTCTACAGGTATAGATACAAATTCTCTTTTCTTGTAAACCCAGATTCCTCAAGGCAAGAGTCAGGGGCACCCAACGAGGATATAGTTCAAAACCAGTTAACATAGCATTGTTGAACGTATTGTAGTCTTTAAACGGTAGATATGGGCATATTTTTATCCCCTAAAAACTTTTTATCTGTTCGGATTTCCTAGCTGAAAGTCTAGTGATCCGAAAATTATAGAGATCAAAACTTACCCTTTCGAAAATTTCAGCCAGGAAAAGGCTTCCGAAAATTCTAGGTAGCCTTTTTTAGGGTAAAAATCCGTTAAAAATGGGTAATTATACCATTTTGTAGATGTTCGAAAATCCTAGGAGAGGCAGACAAGCAAGTAATTTTACAAGAAATGTTCCGAAAATTCTAGATCTCAAATCGTCTTCCGAACAGATATTTTCCGAAAATTGCCGTTGGCTGCCCCTGAAGAGTGGGAAGTTAATAACAATGAAAGAGTCAATAGACCTTTACCCATTCTGCTCGAGTGAGCAAGCTTAAAGAAATGAGGTAGAGGCTTGGGTGGATTTTGTCTATCCGAGCCTTGACTTGATGCCTTTTTTTGGAGGAATGTTGGAAAGGTCTATTATCAATAATACTCATTTCTTCTTGAATGCTGGTCTGAGTATAGGGCATAAACCTTCTTCACCTCCATGCCTATCTAGATCTACGTTTTGAAAATTGAAAGTCTTGCTTCTTGTATTATATTATGGCATGGCATGGGGCCTTCACATCTCACCATTGTAACCTGGGTTCAAATCCCGGTGTTGATGCAATTTAATGTGGGTTGAGTTGTGTCGAAGAAATGGGATCCTTTGGTCCTACTCCTCATCGTTAATTGTTGATAGTTTACAAATTTATAGTTGTTTGCAATTGACCTGCTTGCTCTTGAGACAGAATCCTTTTTTAAAACATGAACTAGCTTTTTTGAATTTGCGTTGTTTCCTCATTGTACTGCTTGCTACTGAAGGCGTTTAAAGGAACAGGGGCACCCAACGTCAATTTTCGGAAAATATCTGTTCGGAACACGATTTGAGATCTAGTATTTTCGAAACATTTGTTGTAAAATTTCTTGCTTCCCTGCCTCTCCTAGAATTTTCGAACATCTAAAAAATGGTATAATTGCTCATTTTTAACGGATTTTTACCCTAAAAAGGTCACCTAGAATTTTCGGGAGCCTTTTTTCTGGCTGAAATTTTTTGAAAAGGTAAGTTTTGATACCTATAATTTTCGGATCACTAGACTTTCAGCTAGGAAATCCGAACAGATGAAAAATTTTTAGGGGATAAAAATATGCCTATATCTACCGTTTAAATACTAAAATACGTTTACCAATGCCATGTTTAAGTGGTTTTAAACTATATTCTCGCTGAGTGCCCCTGAAGGAAGAATATTGTGGTCAACTGCAGCTTTGATTTACTTTAATAGCTGTTTATGTACATTTTAACCGTTTTATCGATCTAACAATAAATTCCAATACAAATCCTTATAATTTGGCTTCTAGTACGTAGGCTGTTGTGAGTCTGGGTCCCCTCTGATAAGATTCCATCACTGAGTCTGAGATTGACTGGGACTGAATGTTTTCAACTCTCTTTCAAGTGAGGATTTTACCTTGTAACTTTTAATCTGTAGGCTCTTGTTCAGTCTTTGGAGGGTCCTTCATTCGCCTCTGATCCAAACATCCGTGTTATTGCTTTGTATGATAATGAAGAGGTAAGTTTCTTTCTTTAAATCAGTTTGGCAAAAATGTTATTGTGCTATAATTTCATCACTGCGACTTAAGTCTCGTCCATCAATAATGGAATAATGGGAAGTTGTCCATGACTAGCTGTTTAAATTTCTAAGTGCAGAACTCAAAACAGTGAAACTCAAAGAGTTCACAGCTATACAAAGACGAAATGGCCAAAGTATTGACCAAAAATGAGAGGAAGAATACAAAGTCAATGTATTATGCAAAAAATATCAGTCAGTGGATGTTAACTGCTTTTTGAGGACCCTCAGTATCTACCAAAAAAACACTTTCGTTCATACTCTGAAACTGTTGTGGAACATACAAACGTTATGTCAGCAGAAAGTCTCCTTGAAGGTGAAGATGCAGCCTGCAGTCCCAGTCAAATGGATAACATGCTCCTTGATCTACACAATAGGTCACTTGCACTAAGAGGTCAAGTGACCAATGCTTCCTTTAAACCTGAGTTGGAATCTTGCTGATGCCAAAAATTGAGGGAAGGCATGAAAATTATCTTACACCCGAAATTTGAGAGGAAACGCTTTTAAGGAAGATATTTTATGGCACTTTGATTTTTTAACAAAGTAGTATGATTTGTATTGGTCTCTTGCCCTCTAACATGGCTTCCAAAACTAGTTTTTGCTTGTATCCTATTAAACGTTTGATAGTTACGCTCAGATGTGTTGAAAACGTTAGGACATCATCTTAAGTTTAAGTGCAAAACTTCTGCACAGAAAGAGGTACATTCGATTAACCGCCCTGGGCGCTTATTAAATTTTTGGACCTTGAGGGTGGGCGCTTATTCGAGGTGGGCGCTTATTCGAGGCTGGGCGCTTATTAAATTTTCAGTATTTTCAGCAAGTGTAGTATGTTTATTTTGCAACAAAACAATAAATGGTAATGACAAAACTCGAAGATGTAACAAGGCAAGGTTCCTGTAAAATACTTTGAAGAAAACTCCGTCTTCGGGGAAGTCTCTTATTAGTACTTATTCAATATTTTGGGGGTGGGGTGGGGTTGGTCGCTTATTTGAGTTTGAGTGGGAGTGGGAGGGAGGTGCGGTGGGGTGGGCGCTTATTCGAGGCTGGGCGCTTATTAACTTTTTCTGCCTTTAGGATGGGCGCTTATTCGAGGTGGGCGCTTATTCGAATAAATACGGTAATTCATAGTTTCAAAAATCACATTTTGGACACGTGACCAGCTACGAACTGACTCATTTTAAGAAAATGGTGCGGGTTTGAAAAACTAAATCACTAATGGTTTTTTGAACGCAAAATCATATAACTTTCATTTTCATAGAAAATGATGTCACATGACTTCTATTCTTGTTGTTATAGAGCTGGATACTTTTTCCTAACAGCGCGCGCTCTCACTGGTTACTTCGAGGTCACATGACATCTAACAATGAAACCGTTTCCCGCCAAAATCTCTGAGCGGACAACATTGCAAAATCTATGGCGTTTGAGGGTAACAGCGCACTGTTACTCGCGCATGTTGACCGACGACCGCCGTTTAAGCGAGGTTTCATGAATTTCCAGCTTGAAAATTTCCAGCTATGTAACAAATCACTTAAAGACTGGTCCCTGGTCCCTTTAGTTGTCTCAGAGTTCATGTAGTAAAAGATGGCCAGTGTATACAGTCGCCTTCCGATAACTCGAACCCTCTATAACTCGAACCTCCCGCTAACACGAAGCAATTTTCATTTCCCTTCAAATCGTTTTCTACATAATTGTACCCAGTCGGTAACTCGAACTTTTTTCTATTTCCCTTGAAGGTTCGAATTATCGGAAGTCGACTGTAGTTTTTTTAAGCTACCTACTGCAGTTCTTCTTGAATGACAAATGAATAAGCTCCATTTTTTAACTTCTTTTGTCTTATTAGCTCTAAATTAATTATTTATTGAAAGAATTAAACGAATGTTTATAACAACAGGTTGGCTCTAACAGTGCCCAGGGAGCAGGCTCTATGTTAACAGAACATATTTTACGCCGTTTAGCTGTGGGTAAGTCTACGAAAAAAAGGTAGCTACTTTTTATCCCTTGGATACCCTTTGGGTATCCAAAGCGTTTTCGTGATGGTTTTTATTAAGCAAATGTATCACTCGCTCACTTTGCGTTGACAGAGATCGCCTCTTCTAAATCGGCTCCAAGCCGAACTGTTTGCACTCATAGCCGGTAATCATATTGATCGTGGAAAGTTATCAAGGCTTTGAAGTTCCAGCCTATACCTTCTATAAGTAGTTTTCATTGTAAAATGTGGTACAAAAGTCGTTGCTTCCCGAGCAATTCAGTGCTCTACTACTCGTTTTGTGTGTCTTTCTTTTGTGGTTGAGATACAGCGGCGCGAGAGTTATGAGGTCAAAGATGTGAGACGGCCGGGCAAGAAGATGTTCTAAACAATTATCCATTGGACGGGTTCCCCAAGCATATTTGTTACTTTTCTTTTAAAATTATGGAAGTAAACTCATTACTGTATTTGCTATTTTTTTGTTATTCTTACACCATACAGATTCACCACAAATCAGTGTACACATAAAAAGGACTATTCCTACAACAGCAGTTTACATTACAATTTCATCAATTGCATTGGTTTTGATAAAGACAACGCAGCTCAGTTCTTTTTTTACTTGCCCTTATAGTGTGATTCACTTAGACGAGCTCTCAACTGCTTCTTTTATCATTTTTAGTGATTTGGTCAGATTACTCCTAAAAAAATAACTTTTGTTTTTCGGCTCCTTTTGTAATAATTATAAGAGCTGTTTTAATGTTTTATTAGGAAGCAGAAAAGATTGAGAGCGTCAAATATGTTTTTGAAAAACATATAATTATTCAACTTTCTGATGGACACCATTTGTCCTAGCGCTGAGCGTAAATGTACATGCGGTTTCCACCTTATGGAGAATCCACAAAAATGACTTAACTGTTTTCACTGTTCCTTTTAAGGTGGAACGTCGACGAGTTTTGAAGAAGCTATTGCCAAGTCATTTCTCCTGAGTGCCGATCAAGCCCATGCCGTCCATCCATGCTACTCGTATGTTTGTTGTCTTAATTTATTATTATTTTTTTCGCCTGCCTTGCGGAAGAAGAAAGGGAACGAGGACTGGGGAGGGGGAATACGCTAAAAGAAGAGAGGGTATTTCTAGTGTCGGAACCCCTTCCTCTACCTCTCGCCTTTCATCGCGCGGTCATTTTCACACGTGCTAACGTATTTCGTCCGCCCCACTATCTCTAATGATGAATTAGAATTCTGTTTTCATAAATCAAAATATGGAAAGAACAGTTCAGAACTCACTGGCACTCGTTTACTCTCAATATATGCATTTTGAGGTGGGTGTCCGCTTACTAATATGTCTAGGCTCCGCTTAAAACCCCTTTTTTGTTAGACTTTCAACAAATGAAAATTACTGAAATCCCACTTCTTTAAGACCTTCACTGGTATACCTTTGGTATAGTCATTGAAGCATGTATATAGACCTTGAAAAATTGACTTTTTGTTTTTAATTTTTCATCTGTTTTGGTTATTTCAGAGATAAACACGAAGAAAATCATAAACCCGCTTTGCACAAGGTAGATTATTGTCAGTATTCACACCGGCAAATCTCATGTCACTTTGGACTTCACTATCTCAGGGACTTGATCTTCTTGGAAAGACTAAATGGTCTCACTCATTAAGAGCAATGCAGCAGAAAAAAATGGAATTTGCACTGTGATTTAAGAATTCAAAATTACAGCCGCTTAATGGTCAATGTCCGCCCAGAATGGAGACAAAACATCCACTCGCCATTTGTGTTGATCGGTCAGACGGTCACGGTTGCTCTCAGTTTTGTATTGAACTAACAGTCGAATCTCACCTGTACATCCTATATTTTTGTCTCTTTGAAAAAATACGATCACGTTCACAAAAAGAAAATTACACAAGGATCAGTTAACTTTTTTTTCCAAAATTAATTTTTTATAGGTCAAAATCAAAACTACCCGGCGAACAGAGGTTTGTCTCTTGCATGGCTTTTAATGTTTACGCAGTCCTTCGTGTGGCTAGTCTGTTAGTTGGTTTGTTTACCCCATGAGAAACGGTGCGTAAGCAAACCAACTACGCGACAGACAAGCCACGCTAACGTCTTCGTAAACGCCAAACGCCATGCAAGAGACAAACCTCCGCTCGCAGGGTAAATCAAAACTTGACTGGGCAAAAATTTATTTGGCCGGTCATTGTGTCTGGCCACTGTCCAAAACGTATTTTGAGCCCTACATTGGCTTTCCGATAAGCTAGCTGTTTCGTTCAGGTTTGCTAGTTTTTTCCCAGTTTATTGTCTTACCCTTTCATGTGTAGACCAAAGTATGGCGAGATCATTTGTACCTTAAACTTTTACATCTTTGCACAAAATCCTGCGGTGTTTATACCATTCCAGTGAAGCCCCCACGGAAGAACATTTGTCCAGCAGTATTGATTTCTTCGGATTTGACAAAAATAAATTTGATTTTTTTGGTCATTTTTTTTCCCTGGCCTTTGTTAGGAATGACAAGGGTAAGGCCTGATTTTTTTTCGCTGTTGGTCAGAGTATTGTAAGGACTTTTTCCTTTTCATTTAAACTAAGCTAAATATGTTTTTTTTTTTGTGGACAGGGACCAGTGATTAAGATCAACAGCAATCAGCGATATGCGACTACAGCAGTGTCTTCAAGTATTATAAGAGTGATAGCTGAAAGTGGTGATAGCAATGTGCCGCTTCAGGTACAGTACATACAACAAAATCGCTCACTCGACTGCATATTAAGTTCGGCTTGTACTAAGCATGCCCAGGGAGGGTGGGGGTGGGGGTACTGCCATATATGAGCTATATAGTATGTGCCGCTGTGGAGGGTATGGTTTCGACTGTAGTCTGGAATTGTGAATAGGATAAGAGAGTTTGGTGCTAGAATAGGAAATCATTTTCCAGGAAACTGATCAACTGGTTCAAGAGTTTAGTCTAGGCTAGAAAACCTGGGAATTGATACTCAAGAAATATAAACAACCAATTGAAATTTACCTGTAAGTCAGTTTAATAGCAAAGAAATCCTCGACCTTAGTTGTTTCTGTAAAATATCGACTCTACTATTGGGTTTAGTCTGGTATATAGGGTAGAAAAATTGAGTTGAACAAGGTGTGGTATAGGCCATGGCTTCCGGGATCCCAGCAGCAGATCATCACCCCCATCCCCTCATATGCCGTCCCATTCTCAAATTCAAATGTCCACAGTTTGATACTAAGTGACTCGGTGCGCCACGATTTCTCTCAGTAAGAGCTGTTTCAGTAGCTAATGAAACAATAGGTGAATGAGCCCTTAAACCAGTAGCATAGAAGTGTTGATTTTCAGAGGATAATAAAGACCTTTAGATGCAAGGACGAGAACCACTACGAGGACGAGACTTAACTATCAAAAACCGCCTCTTCTGAAAAAATAGACACGCAAAAAGCTGCATTGTACTTTTTTCACCAGTAAGGTTAACTCGTTTTGTATTGAAAGGTTGAGCCCCACCCCCCATCGCAAGGTGATGCAAAACGTCGAACCTTCGATAACTTGTTTCCGCTACTATTCGCTAAAACCAGAAACAACCCCTTATGAGTTTCTGCTAAAAGCCATAGTTGATTAAGACGTTTTCCCGCCAAAATGACGTTAGTTTACGTGCGCATACTACTAAGTTTTGAAAAAACTAGTTCCAAATCCCGTGATTAAAAGGATTTAAAGGTTTTTAATGATAAAAGACCTTCTTTGTGGTTCCAGAACAATCCAAATTGTTATTTCAGTTGCCCCCCGCCCCTTCCCTCCATCACCCTAAACTTCTTGACACAACCCTTTGAGTTTTAATATCTGACTGTCAGTTTTCTTCTCTTTGTATTGCAGGAGGTTTGTGTAAGAAATGATTCTCCCTGTGGTTCCACTATCGGACCAATTCTATCTGCCAAGCTTGGTCTGTTAACATTAGGTACGTCAAATTTTTATATTAGATCAGACTAGCGACTGCTCAGCAAAGTTTTCCCTTTTATAAAGGCTGGGCTAATACTGCTATCTTGCGACAATGATGTGTTTGGCCATCTGTTTGTACCAGAATGGCTTAGTATGTTGTAACAAGCAGCAAATACTATTGAAGTCTACCAATACTGTTGGCTATGCTAGAGTTGACCTAAAATTAAATCAATATATTGATTAATATGTTGAACACACCCCTAGTTTAGTTTGCGATGTAGATATTAAATAAATAAAAATAATAAATAAAATTAAATAAACCAGTTATGTCTTAGAGGTAGTAGATCCACATTGTGTTTCTACGTCTCCAGTTCCTGATGGAATTGACATTTTTTATCCATGAATTATTTTCGTTGTTTTTCTTACTTTTTAAACTTTTATTCATTTTCTATGAGGAGGCTGAAAACTGGATAACCCAGAAAAAACCTCTCACGGCCAAGAGAGGGAGGCAATGACAAACTCAACCCACTGATGGCTTTCGCTTCTAGAATTCGAACCTGGGCCATATAAGTGTAAAGCGAGTGCTCTCATTACTGGATTAATATTGCTCATGTCTGTACTAATATTGCTCATTACTAGATTGATACTCGTCAATGCTGGGTTAGTACTTGATTAAACAAATCTTTAATCAGTTCACCGGTGAAGAAGTTTACAAATACTCTACTTTCTTGTGCAGCCAAGCATGTGTGTTATTTGAGATCACTAACTAACTTGTAATAGTTCTCTGTTCTTAGACATTGGTGGTCCCCAACTGGCCATGCATTCCATCAGAGAAATGTGCTGCTCCTCAATCATCCATCAAGAAACGACGCTATTTAAGGTATTACCATATCTCTATTTTTCACTATACTTAAGTATCACAATAGTGTTTGACAAATCTGTTTTTTCCCTTAACAGAATTTCTTCGAGCAACTTCCATCAGTACTCGAGTCCTTCACTGACTGCTGATTACAAGTGGAAGCAACATCGCATTACACCAGTTCCGTCGTATTTCTAACGAATACATAAACGGATACACATCTGTTCATGTTGTTTTCAACAGAATTCTTTCTACGTTAATAAGGCTGTGTTCACACTGTTTAGCTTTTTCGCCGCCACCAAAATCATACCGGGTAGCGCTTCTGTTCATACACAAGAATTTTTGAGACGAAGCAAAGCTGCGCTGCGCCCATTTCTTAAGTAGAGAGTCACATATCGGACGGACAGGTGTTTCACACTATACTGGTTAACTTTTCAAAGCGCCACGAAAAGCTAACCGCTATACTGTGAACATAGTCTAAATAAAATTTTCTTAGATTAAAAAAAAATTCTGCCTTTTTTTTCACTATGCATAGTACTAATGCCCCGTCCACACGTATCCGTTTTTGTTCGAAAACGGAGAATTTTTCCTTCGGTTTGTCCTACGCCCACACCTATCTGGTGAAAACGGTCACGGAATACGCATCTTTTCGAAAACGTTCTCTAGAGTGGAGATTCCTGAAAACGCTGCCTGCTCGTTTACGTGTGGACGGACAAAAACAACGGGTGTTTTCGAATACGATGATGTCAAAAATTATTTCGTTTTCCATCGTTTAACGTTTTGGTGTGGACGAGCAAAAACGATTCGAATGCTCTACGTGTGGACGCGTATTATTTCAAAAACGGATTTTCTCCGTTTTCAAAAATATCCGGATACGTGTGGATGGGGCTCAAAATATGTGGGAAATTTGTCTTTAAAGTAAAAAAGCGCATGCGTATTTGATTAGGATTTGCATTACCCTGTACTTCTGTAGTTTAACGTGGTGTATTGTTACCTAAATTAAGAAATTAACTTTTAGTAGAAGTAAGAAGGACCTAAAAGCATTTATGTACCTTGGAAAACCTGAATTTTACTCTTTCTCGCTGTATTACCAACTCGATTCTCCTTTTGATCAGTAAGGGTTTAAAACTTCTTAATGTAGTCTTGTCGTGCAAAAATGAAACAAAGCCTTTTTTCGGAGTCCCAGTGGTATGGTACCGGAATAAAATAAATTTAGGACAACTCCCCTCCGCCCGGCCGGAGATAAAGCCGCTACATTGTCGCTTCTATAGTTAGAGAATTGATAGTTTATAGACGTTTTTGCAATTTGGTATACACCTAATTGCAATAAGGTTGTCATAGAAAAAAGCAAAAAGTTAAATAGGAATTAATGAGCATGTAATTATCATAGCTTGCAACATTCACAACACACACGCTTATAGCTGAATATTAATCACGTAATATGAGAGAAATCATTTGCATCAGTTTCTTGATGTCATTCTAATGCAATTCGAGGTTGATTCATCTTGCGAATTTCAAACGTGCTCGAATTACAAAGCACATCGGATAACTACCAAAGAAATAATGGCTCATTTTTTTTTTCAATAAATATAGCCTGGGGTACATTCCAGGAACTCAACCCGTGTTTTAGATTAGTGCTGAATAGAAAAGCCAGTCTGCGTATAGTTTGCAGAGCACAACACCATCTGATCACAATTTTCAAGCAACAAATCAGGGGCGTAGGCAGGACTTTTCGTCGCAGAGAGGGTAAGGGGGTCCTCCGCCAGTTCCTCACGTGAGCCACAAACCAAGCTTGGTTTGTCAGGACATAATAGATTGGCGACTGAAATTGCGACAACTGAGACTTAATATTGTTCGCGTCAATTTACCTTTTTCTTTTTCGAATTGTGCGACTTCTGTTGATGGAGAATGTTGGCTCTAAAATGACTATGGCGCCTGTCTATCTTACAGCGTGGACTTGTTATTGTGAACGAATTCCTAAATATCTGTTAAATACTGAATTAAAATACGCAAATGCAAATCACATGGCTACTTTATTCCTATTTGTCTTTTTGCTTTTTTCTATGACAACGTTATTGCAATTAGGTGTATACAGAATAGACCTAGCAATTATTTATTTGAAAAGAGAATAAAGACCAGCTTGCTATCGAGACTTTTCTGTCGTGTTGTGATGTGCAATCGTGAAGGGGATCTGTTGGTCACATTGAGCGCTTGCCATTTGTACGGAAATTTCGTTAAAAAGTTTTCTGACAAACAGCAAAGGGAATGAGTTGTACCTAGCCACTCTCATTGTAAAGGTTACACTGACCGTGAGGAGTCGTAGAATGAGAAGAGAAGAAGAAAATTCCAGTGAAGCCTGCCGAGAAGGCTAGTCAAGAGCTGTACGTACCCTTTACAAAATACCGGTAAATTAAACCTTTGATTTGAGAGGGAGCCTGGCACTAGTTATCCCTACAACTACAAAAGTAGGTCAGGAGCCGGCTCCTGAGTAGGTTGAGTTTGATCGTCCGGGTGAACGTAGTCCTGAATAGGACTGTTGTTGTTGACAGTGACTGACGTTTCGACTCATCTTCAAAGTCAAAGTGAGTTGTATCACGTCAGTTGATGGTATTATACTCTGGTTATTGATCTCATCAATAACCAGAGTATAATACCATCAACTGACGTGATACAACTCACTTTGACTCTGAAGATGACTACCGCAGAGGTTGTCGAAACGTCAGTCACTGTCAACAACAATAGTCGTATTCAGGACTACGTTCACCCGTACGATCAAACTCAACCTACTTTTGAAATGACTCCTGGGTTCAAACCTTTCACAGTCCTACAAATACAGTAGTTCAGAAAATTTCGGTCGCTGAATCGTTGCATTTGAAATCTTGTTACTAAACAGTGCTACGTATTCGCCGCATTTCAGTATTGTTTATGGCTACACTTGTTTCACACTTATTCGCTTTTTAGGCAAGAACCACATCAATTATTACTGGTAAACAAGTCAACACGTTGCCTTGAATGCCATCTTGCACCAATTCTAGCAAAATTGATTGCTTATTTTTGTGCCGTTAGTGCGTGCATTTCTCGTCGCATCCAGGTCCGAGAAACATTAAATAAAAAAAGATTCCGATGCGAAAGTGCGTTTGTATTTTCAAACTCAACAAGGCCTCGTTCCCGCCCGGAATCTGGACATTTTTTTGAAAACACAGTTTTTTTACCGGATTAACCACTCTGGAAATTTGTTCAGTCAAAGAAATGTAGCTTCAGATTCACTGATTCGTGTTAAAATGTACGTTAAAAATATCCTGGGTTCGTGTCGACGTGGCCACAGTTCATTTCTCAAGTGCGGATGAATTTAAATCGAGCGGCGACTTGATTCCGTTGTGTAAGGTTTATTGTTCGACTTGATCATCTCTCTGACAAGTGCACGTCTGTTACCCTTGCTAATTGCTGTTTTATTTGTTGAGGACTAGGGGTAGCACCCGGCAGGGCGGCGGCCTCGGAAACTGTTGGGAACCAAACATAGCATAGCCAACGGCTAAGAATCTTCGTGCGCACCACTTGAATCAAGAAGAAAGCAAACCCCTTTCGGGAGAGGGAAGGTTGATTTTTACCAACGTCCCTATTCAGTCTTAATACAAATTGTGAGGATCGATTTCCGCCTCTTTTCGGGTCCTCGTTTCTTGTAAAGCGGCTTGTAATCCAGCTTATCTAGAAGACTGACGCGAGAGAAATGCAATAACCGTAATGTTATTTGGGCTATTCCCCCGCGCTGCGGATTGACACTCACGCGCGTTCAGTTCACATGGTGAACAAAGAGTCAAAGAGGACCTAGACCGGGGTAGGGGTATGTGATCATTTCGCTCACTTGATTGTCAAACACTGCCTGATAGGATAATATGAAAATAGTTAGCTATTAAAATAATGAGTTTTGACGTAGTTGGGCAAACTGAATCAATATTTGATTTCAGTTTTTCATTTGTTCCTTCATTTATTCTTATTAATGATACAAAATTTTTTCGATGATAGAGTTAAGTTATTTCTCTAATTCTCTGGGCATGTTGCTGAAAGTTTTATTTGAAACCCGGAATCTTGTGCACAGTCATTACTGAGTAATCAATAATGAAGCTTTGCGAGGCTTATGTAAACGTTTGAGCTTGCCTTTATCTCATATGTCACATTTTGAAAGGATATACTAACTCTGTATTTGCACATGCGTTTAATGGAAAAATAGCCTTGGTTTAACGGCTAGCTCGTTTTTCAATTGCTACTAATCAAGGCAGGCATTAAATTGTGGCCCTGCTCATGAGAACTTAGTTAGATCGAGTCGTTAAACTCTGGCATTGGCTTGGATTTAATATTCGTTGGGAAAAGCTTTTTGTAAAGTTAATTGATGAGTATCATGATAATGAACTAAACTTTCAAGGGCTTTAGGCGGATTATTCAATAACACAGTCGAACGACGACTTACAGCCGCCTTTACGATCCGAGAAAGTAAGTTACTGTCTCCAAACGCAAGTCAAATGGAAAAAGAGCAATCAGATGGTCCTATGCAGAAGTGTCCAGTCGAAAACCTTCGCCATGATCACTTTAGCCAGTCAGCAATGGATAAATACGAGTTGAATTCAAGATTAACTAAAGACGTGCCAGTAAAAATTAGAAAGAAACATTCAACCCAAGACACAATTCCACATCGACAAGCCACAGTTGGTACTGCTAGCAAAACGACTTTTTCAGGTTCTGTGAGTCGTTGCTATCCAGCCAGAAAACGTTCTCTTTTGAAGCGTTTCAAAGACTGCAGCTTTTCGCCTTGTTCAGAGGAATACAATTCCGTCCTGCAACATTTTACAGAGACTGCTGAACAACAGGAAAAAGCTATTGTTGCGGAGCCAAGACGGACAAGAAATCGGAAAATATCATTACATGAACCTAGACGAGGATCCAAATACAAAACATCATCGAATTTTGAAACTGAATTACCTCGATCCTTTAACACTCGGCCACGCTGCAATACGCTTCCCTCACGGATCAGCGTGGTTAGAACTCCTGGTTTTGGAAATACTGAAGAAACGGGCGAAGATAATTTCGATACACCTTTCCGTTCAAACGTTAAACTAGCCTGGCAGGTAGACTATGACGATTTTGGCAAAAAAGAAAAAGGAATGCATAAGTCAGAAACACCGCCAAGATTATATTTCAGTAATACACACAAAGAGACGGGAAAAAAAGTATCCGAGACTTCCCCTCCTTGTGAATTATTGAGCCATAACGATAAAAGTCGAAAGAAAAGACAGAGGAAAAAAGCAGAAGTGAATTTACCCAAAATAGAACAAAAACTCTTTATTCACGACTCACAGCTAAAAGCTGGCGGTGCCAAGTTATTTTCCGATGAAGCCAGGAGAAAAATTTATACAGCTGACCAAACGAATGTCGGACATGACTTAAGAGATTTTTCAAAGAAAGATTTGTCGCAAGATGGGAATTGGTTAAAGAGAGAGCGAAGTTGTTCCACTGGACCACATTCAACGGACAAGAAAGATACCACCCATTTGAAACAAAAAAGTTTTCATTCGATATCATCGCCGGCGGGAACTAATCACCCTAAAGCCTCCGAATTAACTTCGGCTCCTCTTTTCGATCTTCGGAATGATAATTTTCAACTCGCAACATTCAATGAAAAATCGCCAATGATTCGGCGAACGGATCAGTTTTCCATAACCCGCGCAAATATACGCCGTGTTGGCAAAGCGACTCTTGCCGCTACGAGACTTCTAAAAATACATTATAGGGAAAATGGAGGGTCGAAAAAAGATGTCACAATTACAGAAGACCACAAAAAACTGGATAAATTGTTTGAGGAGATGAAAGACTGCCGATATTTAAGACAGAATAGTTCCGAGATGCGCACTTAAACAGTAGAGAAAAGACTGAATGCACTGCACTTATGTTATTGTGATCAACCCGCTAATCTGGCTGTGTTTAAAATGTGATTCGTTGAATTTTCTTTTGTTTGATTGTGAATTACGAGAAAACACTTCCAGGAAATGAAGTTTTATGAATTATATTTTACATGTAAAGCTAGTATTCCAAACGACAGTTCTTTCTTTATTGAAACTATTATATGTTAGTGATTTTTCAAAACATCATTTGAATGTCTAAACTTTGCTAAATGTGAGTATAGATTTATTAGTTCTATATAGATTAGATTAAATGACTAAGATGTGTCTTAGTTGTTTGGCGTAAGTTGTAAAGCAGATGCGAAAAAACGTGACTTGACTTTTTCCTGGCTGCCAAACGTGCTTTGAATCTTTTTGTGGCCCCGAAAAAAAAAAACAAAGAGTGTTTGTCACTTGTGTGATTAGAGAAGCAAAGGAAAACTAAAGGAAATTAATTTTTTTGTGTGAACAGAAAGGTGTTAAGCGTCTTGAAAAGGTGCTGATTGGTGTTATAAAAAAATTATGAGTAAGGTTAGTTGGTCACGTATTGAGGCCGCACTATCATGAAACCGCCACAGGCTCAGATCCGACTGAACAGGGTAAAATTTGCCAAAGATTGCGCGCGGCCGAAGCGTTTCGGGTCACGTGCTTCGAGCGAGTTTTTGACACGGGACGATTCGCAACGACGATTTTTTTCTCAACAGCGTAGCAATGTTGGAACAATGTTGCAACGATATGAAACAATGTCGCAACAATGTTGAAATGACATGTTGCGCTAAAAATCGTCGTTGCGAATCGTCTCGTGTAACATCACCTTAACACTAGGACCTCGGCTGGCAATTATCGAAAAAAAAAACGTTCGTGATGTTTCTTGTTTTAATCAGTAAGATGTCATTTATTACAAAGTGAAAATATCGATAAAGATGTATGAAATAATTTCCTCAACATAATGAGCTTCTTTTCGTTGTAAACGCTATACTTCATCATTAATATCGAGACTTTTTAAACGCGTGATACACGTACTTAAAAGTTTTCATTACGTCTACACCTTCAGGACAGTTTAGTAAATTAACAGGAAGGTTTTTATTTCAAACTTTGAACATGTGTCGCAATAACCTTACTTTGCAGTACTTAGCTTATCTTTCGCAAATTTCTATAGTTTGACGGCGAGAAAATTCTGGTCAGACAGCCAAGCCTGAATTTCAGCCGAGTATACTATTTGTCAAAGAAATAAAAATCAAAATAGTGGCTGCAGTATATTAATGAGGGGTGTTGGTGGCTTGCATTTGGGGGCAGGCGGCTCTGTACGTGCGCAGGCTATGATAAACAACCTGAAAACAAACCTTTTCATTACTGACGGTTCGATCGCTCTTTAGGCCGAAAACTCTGATGAAAAGCCAGTAATTTATACAGCTGTTTAAACGAGCGTCGGACATGGATTTGGAGAAATAAAGGGTTTTTCACAAGGTGCAAATTGGATCTTGAAAGAAAGTGAATTTCGCGCTCTATTGAACCTGATTTCTAACTATGAAAGAAGGCAAGGACACCGCTGGCGCGAAAGTAAAACTCCTATTTCCCGTTGAACCCTATGCCGAAGCTTATCCTTGAAAAACTATTAATTAACCATGACTCTTTTTCTTGAACTAATAAAAAGCTTTTCGAAAATAAAAAAAAATCACCAACGATCATTCGAAACTAGATTCGAAAGAGGTTTATCGGTACACAACTTCTGAAAAAATAAAAACTTTCAAACCCCGTTAATCAGGACAGTGAGGGGGCCATAGAATGTGCCCATATTAACTAGGTTTCCGCATTAAGCGAGATGAATTTAGGGAAATTAATGCGAGAGACGGGCTCTCTCTTCTCAGGGGGAGTGTTGTAGCAGCTTGCCTAAGGTCTCTTCTGATTGGCTAATAGCTAATTCTCCTGTTTTTATAATTTCTATTTATGTCTCTTTATAATTGTTTTAACCTGAGATGATTTTTTCTGGTTGATTTTAATTAAAAGTCGTTAATTTAAATTTGATTTATCCTTGCCATTCATTTTAAGAGCCGAGCACAATAAATGGAAGCAAATATAGTTAGAGAACAATTTGGCTTATAAGAAGCACACCTTCGTTCAACGGAAAGCTAGACATGGTCGAAGAAAGTAGGCATTGCGTATAGGGAGCCTGACACATAAAGAGACAAGCAGTCGTCCAAAAAGGAATAGGAAGGGGATAAGGAGAAAGGGGAAAAAGAGAGCCTTTCTCCCCCTCTCCCTTTTTGCGCCAGTTACGGAGGCTAGTGTACTGAGACATGAACAAATGTGAATGTAGAACGCTCAGTCTTAGTCACTAAGGGTAGAGGATGATTTAGAGTGGATTTGGATGAAAAGAATAAAGGCAAGTTATCAAAATTAAATGGTCTCACGTTTTAAAATAAGGTAATAAAGTTTTCCTTAGCCCAGAAATCTAAAGGGTTTTCATGGATTGTGCGGATTCAAGCGTCGCATAGGTTTCCAGCGTCGCATAGGTTTCCAGCGTCGCATAGGTTTCCAGCGTCGCATGGGTTTCCAGCGTCGCATGGGTTTCAAGCGTCGCATGGGTTTCCAGCGTTGCATGGGTTTCCAGCGTTGCATGGGTTTCAAGCGTTGCGAGGGTTTCAAGCGTTGTGAGGGTTTCAAGCGTTGCACTGGTTCCAAGCGTTGCGAGGGTTTCAAGCGTTGTGAGGGTTTCAAGCGTTGCGTGGGTTTCCAGCGTTGCGAGGGTTTCAAGCGTTGCACGGGTTTCAAGCGTTGCACGGGTTTCAAGCGTCGCGAGGGTTCTAAGCGTTGCACTGGTTTCAAGCGTTGCATGGGTTTCCAGCGTTGCGAGGGTTTCAAGCGTTGCACGGGTTTCAAGCGTTGCGAGGGTTCCAAGCGTTGCACGGGTTTCAAGCGTTGTGAGGGTTTCAAGCGGTTTCCAGCGTTGCATGGGTTTCCAGCGTTGCGAGGGTTTCAAGCGTTGCACTGGTTTCCAGCGTTGTGAGGGTTTCAAGCGTTGCGAGAGTTCCAAGCGTTGCACGGGTTTCAAGCGTTGTGAGGGTTTCAAGCGTTGCATGGGTTTCCAGCGTTGCGAGGGTTTCAAGCGTTGCACGGGTTTCAAGCGTTGCGAGGGTTTCAAGCGTTGCGAGGGTTTCAAGCGTTGCGAGAGTTTCAAGGGTTGCGAGAGTTTCAAGGGTTGCAAGCGTTGCAAGGGTTTTAAGGTCTCGGTAAAGGAAAACGAGGTGCCCACAGAAAAAAATTCTAGTCGCGCGAGTATTTTCGCCACAAAGGCAAGTTATATATCAAATTAAAGCTAAAAGACTAAATTACCTTATGAAAGATTTTATTTCATCGAATTTCAAAAGGCGCTTAAGTTTTTTGCTCTCGAACTCAGAGGTATCGAGTTTACTGCTGAAGCTCCAGCCCTTTCGCGTTGTTAAATATTCACCTCCTTTTTATTGCATCTGATTGACAGATAAAAGACCTAAGAAAGGGTGTGAGAAAATTTGCATATGTCTCGTATTAGCGGAATTATTGCATTTCAAACTAAAAAGTCGAATCTCGAGCGCGATTTACGCAAAGAAACTGGCATAAAATGAGTTACAAAGGGAAATCGGAAAATTCCTCACACCCTTTTTGAGTCTATATCATTATCCATCATATCTGAAAGTTTCAAAGCGATAGCTTAAAACCTGTCCCGACTGGAGGTCGGAGAATTTTGATTTTTGCGTCTAAAATAGAGTGAGAGAAAATCAGCTCTAAAGATTTAGCGCGAGGTCCACGCTTGGCTGGTTAGCTCAGAAAAGGCTCATTTTAGAAGGGTTAAAAAGCACTTTCTGATTTTCTTTTTCTTCCAAAATAAAATTTAGGACCCACTCATGCCAAAAATCTCAAAAAAACAAAATCGAGCAATGTACTAAAATTTTCATTTACCGAGACCTTAAGTGTTGCAAGGCGATAAGCTCGAAAATCACGTTAACAGAGGAAAGAGAAAGATATAGAAACTAAAGAACTAGGGATAATGGACACTTTGAAGATAGTTTTCGGCCAAAAAATACCTTCTTGTCCATTTGGCGGTAACATTTTCATATATACAGCAAAATAAACCCTACAACAAGTAATTAATATATGTCTCAGTAAGCCCTATTCTATGTGGATAAAGTGGCTAATTAAAACGAGTATCACATACGATCCTCGTAGTCTGTCGACTAAAATAAAATGAGGCCAGGACGCCAGTTTTGTGAATCCGAAGTACAGGCCTCTACGGAGTAATTCTGGTCCGTTGAGATCTGTGAGGATGCGTGTTCGCTAATCAGAACTATTGAGATATATTGTATCCATTGGAGGGGGTTTTGACTTGCATGTAAGTATTCTGTAGACCATGACGATTAGACTAAGAAAAAATCAGTTAAAAGATATCGAGGCATATATTTATGTTTTGTCCCAAAATACTAATGGCTGACAAGAGGATGTGAGCAGAGAAACGAGACCAATGGTCTCACTCTCGGCTTCTTAAAACAAAGGAACAACTTTCTGTTGGGGTAAACCAAGTACGGGCGTATTTTAACTTTTAATTAAACCAAGGTTTTTTGTGATTTATTTGAGCACAACAAGACAGAATGATAACGCAAACTTAATCAAACGAAATAACTACGGCAAATTGAAAAAAAAAAAGGAAATAAATTGATTGGCTTTATATCAACAGTTTCGTATCAAAAAAATTCTTTAATATTGGGCTGGGGTACAAAATAACGGTCGAAACAACGCCTTCCCTCCTATGTTCTATGTTTCTATAGCTACATTGCACCCATTTTATTTTCAGTAATGTCTCAAAAACCCGTACCCTTGACTTGTATGAGATTCGGATCACTGAACGTAAAATTGTTCAGTTTAAGGACTTTCTCAAGAAGGCAAGTCAATGTCTTGGCGGAAATATATTCCTTTGAGCAGAAAAGAGCTAATGTATTTTCTCC